CAGTTTTCCTTGGACAATCCCGAAGCATAATGCGGTTTCCCGACTTTCTCAAGTACAAACACGGATCGTTTTCACTTATTTCTTCTCACTTTTTTGTAACCCAGAAAAATCCTCGATATCGGATGCTTCCCAAACCCATCCATTTGCCTCTTTTCGGGTCGCGCCAGCCGCAATTACTCTTTTCTCCGAAAGTCTTGTCCCTTTTATTATAGCCTATAAGGCTGTCGAGGCTCCCCGAATTCGTCTTCTTCTTCTGGGAAAAGCACTCTACTGATGAGAAAATGTCACGAACTTTCATCGTGGAATTCGAGAAAGTAACACTTTTAGTCTGTACAAACTAGCGCCAGAACTGCCAAACTGTTTGTTTTTGAGTTCAAAGGCGCGGCAAATTTTCGGAACATTGTGAAAAGATCAACAAAAGTAACAGAAAGCTGTTGTTTACAGGGGCAAATAGTGAGAAAGTGGTTAGTCACTATTTACGTCGTTAATCCTTTTTCTTTATTTTCTTTTTCTAGATTTTTTTTCTTTCTATTTATAGTTTTCATTATCGTCTTAATTTTTTTTCACATTTAGAGGAACGTCGACTTTTCAAAAAAGAAGTTTTTTAAAAAGTTTTCTTGAAGCTTTAAGAGTTCTATAGAGCACGTTTAAAGGATCAGTGAGCTGAAAATGAAAGCTGAATTTTAACGTGAATATCTGATTTATAATCAAAGTACTTTTTTCAAAATAGTCTGCATGATATTCAGGAATTACCAAATGCGAAGCTTCTTTCTAGCTTTTTTGCAGTTTTTCTCGTCTTTTTTATACTCCATGACGTTATCTTCCTCCACAAAACGTCCGCCATCGTACAGAAGGCTCTGAAAAATAATTTTTTTTTTTCGTTTTATTTTCCCACAGTTTTCCAAAAACCTCTCAGACATCTATAGAGTAGATTGATTTTTACAACGGTCTTATCGAGTTATACCGAGTATATAAGCTCTTCGAAAACTTGTCTTTCTTGAAAAAAAAGGCAGAACTCTCCATCGACTCGACTAATTCCGAGGCATTCCCGAGTCAGCGGCCAATTACGACGCTCACTACTTCGCATCCACTCCATATAGGACGAGATGTCCCCTTCCTGCGTACTGTCCACTATATACGGTCATTGTATTTGACTCCTCACCTCTCCACTCACAGTCCAAACATTCGTCACCTTGAGTTTCCCTTTTTGCATACCTGCTCCAAGCAATTATTGCGTTATACCGTCGAAAGTTAAGCGAGTCTTCCTGTTTCCATTTTTTTTTCTTTTCATTTTTTATCGGCGTGATCTGCTAGATCGAAGGTACGATAAATTCGCAAAAAGATTTCTCAAGGAATTGTTACAATTCTCAGCTTCTTGAAACAGCTCAGAAATTATTTAATCCACTATTTTTGTTTTCTTAGGTCCGAAATCATATATTCTTGACCGAAGGAATTTCAAAAATTCTCTTTAAAAAAGAACGAAAAAAAATCTTTCCAATGTTCTGTTCTGGTGACGCTAAATTATTCGGCATATTTTTCTAAATTTGTATTGAAAATACAATTTTCGTACTTTTGGAATCGACCACAAAGTTCGGATTTTGGCGGGGTTTTGGCTGATCGCCAGGAGTATTAGCAGAGGTGCGCGTTTGCTCAAAAACTTTTTACGACCTTTTTTCGAATGTAGCAAAAAATTTTATTTATTTCTCCAACGATTTTAAACTAGATTTATTTTTTCAATTTTTACATTATCGCCATTTAAAAAGCACTTTGGTCGTTTCTGCGGAGATAAAATGAACAATCGAAAAAATGGGAGAATTTCGAAAAAAGAAAGATTTTTTTATATCGCACTTTCTCTTCTCTTTTTGTGCGGCTTTCTTGCAACTTTTCTCTGCTGTCCATCGGCCTTAGCAAAATGTTTACTTAGCGTTATCTCGTCAGAAAAACATTTTCGTATAGGTCATTTGCGTGTTCTTAGTGGAATGATTATGTACCGCGTTGAAAAAAAAGCACATTTTTTCTTAATTCACTAAATGTAAGATATTTTACGACAAGGAATAGAAAGATAGTTCATCTTAAAAATTTTTGAGTGTTTTTTCTTGAAGACGAATCGAGCGGAAAAAAGGGGAAATCTTGTATAATTTTTTGTTTTTATTGTTATGGTAGAAAAGTTTTCTCATGCTCATTCCCACAACTGTTAGATAATGTCATTCTCGACCCGGACTGTGTACGTATTATGCAAATATTTGGTGGAGCGGCGTTCTACGTGCAAATGTCTGCACGTCGCTTATTCGTGTATGCCTTATTTTCACGACCTTTGGGATATTCTCACAGATTAAGTCATGTTAACGTGTGACGGTATTTCTTGCAAATATTCCTTTTCGAAGCTTTTTTCTTCTTCTTCACTCTTTGAAGTGTTAGACGGAACAAAAAGCTTCTCTTTTGTAGATGAAGTGCGTAAAAGAAGCCGGCCGCCGTTAAGGAGCCACTTTTTTTTTTCTTATTTTCTCCTGTTTTCACCTCGGAGAAGCAAACATTTGATTTGACCTCTCTTTTTTCGGTGTGTTCTCGTTGGATTCTATTTTACTCTCTTTAAAAATGTTGTTCTTGTGTGGATTTTTCGATTATTTTAACGCTTGCTGGAGAAAAAAATTTAGAAATATTCTGAGATTTTTTAACTTCGAATAGAAATTTCGGAAATCGGAAAATCGTTTTATCATTTGTGTTTCTTGTTTTGAAAAAAAGTTTGAATAGATCTAGCAGCATAATCAATACGATAAAAAAATAAAAAAATCACAAGAATCAGAAGGACTTCTGAATGAAATATCAAAAAAATTTTCGTGAAAAAAATATGTTTTTTTTTTGTATTCTGTGATCTACTCAAAAAAATTTTTTTATGCTTTAGAAGTCAAGTATTTTTTTCCATCCGAAAAAGAATAACGAGAATAAAATGGCTTTTCGACACTACAATCAATTGTTTATTGCCCCTCCGAACATCAGAGTATAGATTTCTTCAAAAAGACTAACTTTTTTTCATTAAAAATTTAAAATTCAAGTAGATTTTTTTTTTTGACATATTCGTAAATTCCTCAGTCATCATGCCTTTCATGTTTTTTTTTCAAAGTTCTAGGACCCATCTTCGTAATTAAACTCTATTCTATTCAGTATTACCTTATAAAATCGTATTTTTTCCGGTTTACCAGTGTAGAGCGTGTGAATTTGTTTGGTGGCGGTTGGGAGCAGGTGGTTTTTTGGCTGTTTTCGATCAGCCGCGCTTCATGGACAACCGGTATGCGGCGAGGGCCACGGCGGTTTTGCAACGGATGTTAACCATCTGCCCCTCTTTTTTTGCTCTTTTTCTTCTTCTTGTTTTTTCCAAATAAGTTTCGATCTTTCTTTGAGGTGTTTAGCCGAAAAAATGGATTTTTTTCAAAGAATTCTTCATCAAAAGTCTTCTGAACGTGTTCCCCTTGGTTTCTCTTCGCTGAAAAAATTTTGAAATTGTTAGTCCGTTTTGAATATATTATTATATTTTCTATGAATTTATTGGCTTTGCATGGGTTTTCCGACGTAAATTTGACTCAATAATCATTGGAATCGAAATTTTCCATAAGCAATTGTTCGTTAAAAGCTTTTTGAAGACTTTTATTGATTTTTGGTGACCTAGGATCTTTCGAATAGTCGTATGATAAGATTTAGAAATGATCTATGATTTTTATTGTTGAAGAAAACTTCAGCAAACGCTAAAATTCTTGAACTGATTTCACAATAAGCGAAGCTGGAAAACGCCAAAAATAGTAACAGTCCTCCCACACCCACGCAGATGTCGATTTATTCTCTCCTAAGCACAAAGTCTTCCCATTTTTTTTTAGTTGGATGGTCGGGATGAGTAGAGTTGACGGCCCTTTGTCCTGCCTATTTGCCTGTAAATCGCATTGAAGTGTCCCTCCTCGATATCGAACCGACGGAGGGAGGGATGGATGCGTGGCCGAGCCGTTTTGGCTTATGCCTGGGCTCGGCGAGTGGTCTCCCACTGGTAAACAATACAGTGGCAGAATGCCTCGCGATATTTCTCGCTACTTTGTTTGCACTTTGAATGGCCCTTTTGATTGGGCCACCTCTTCTAACTACTCCCACACTCGTAACCACGGAAAAGAATCCTCGCTACCTACTCCACGCTCGTTTTATTGAGTTTCTTACTTTTTTCTTCAACTTATTGAAAATTAGCTATAACTATCTTTGGCGTACTAGAGCGAGATCCTGAAGGTCTCAACCTACTTCTCATTTTTCAAAAGTTTCAGTTTCTTGCGCAGTATTCAGATAATTACCTTTCCAGACATCCGCTCTCCAAAGTCAGATTTTCGTGCAGATTGAGGTTCTTCTAATCTTCTTCTAGTTCATGAAAGGATCTTTTAGAGAATTATTCGATATTTCTTATTTTTAAGACAAAACTTCTTTCTTTGTAGGTTTCTATGGGGGGTCATTTTAGTGAATTTCCCTCTTTTTTCCTTTTTTTAAACTTCTACATGAAGCTCAAAAAAAAAACTCCAAAACTTCCATTGTAGAATTTTTCGTCTTTCCATTTTTCGCACTTCCAATTTTTTCCTCCATATTCGCTCCGGGATTTTTTTCTGCGACAAAAAAGAACTTTCCTAACAATCAATTTTTTTTTCAGGATTATATCTCTGCATCCACGGATAAGCACTCGATAAACGGGATTTTTGACGAATGAATGTGAGTTTATTTTTTCGCGTTAAAAATTCAGGTCTTTTTTCAGATATAACGAAGTATGGTTGAAAACAAAGAAAACGTCTCGACGACCGCAATAAATGGCCTGACTTCCAGTACTCCGAACACAGAAAGGCGCAGTTCGCAGGTTCATTTTTATTTTTTTATTTAAAAAAATTGGAAAAAGCATACTTTTTTTAATCAAAAACTTAATAGTACTTCAATTTATTGTTTCTTATTATTTTTCTTCGATGAATTCTATAATTTTTTTCAGGATGTCAAAAAAAGCGACACAGGCCAAACAAGAGAAGGCCATTCTGCACGAGTTCGAATCGGCATGTAAAGGTACTTTTTAATGATACATTTTTCATGTTTTTTCATAAGGAAGCAATATTTTTTTTGTACTTTTGAGGTTCAGTGTTACGTGATCGGTGGTTAACAGTTATTCATACTTTACTGAAAGTTAGAAAACAATTATAATCGGTAGAGGAATGAAATAAAATAATTTAAGCAAAGTTTCTTGTATTTATTTTCCTCGGATAATCGTTTTTTCTTGTTAAATTTGTTACCCGCTTCAAATTAGTTAATTTCTCTTTATCTTTCTTTCTGTAGTTTTTTAGCTGAATTTTCCCGATTGAATAGCGTAAAGGTGTGCATACAAAACACTGGCTCGTTCGAATAGCGATATTTGAAGATTTATCTTGGCTTTTTTTTTGGTTTCGTTTTCATTTTAGGCTATTTTTTCATTCACGAGCTTTGGTTATACCTTCAAGGGAAATTTATCTATTCATTATTTAGTTGTTTTCTGATTTTACTGAAAGCGGTTTGAAGCTGTTCACCCATTTTTCTTGTTTTTTAGTGAGCCATAGCTGAATAGTTGACAAAAATTGATTTTGACTGTGCCAAGTAAGAAAGATATTATTTTCACAATAAAAAAACCGGGAATAACGGAAAATTTATCAATTAATTTTTCTAATAAGGGAGACTTTTTCAATATCTTCTTTCGATGATAGAGATAACTTTTGTCCTAATCTTTTAAAAAAACTTCCCAAGACCTCTATAACGCAAACTGGGCGTTTCTGAGCACTCTAGGCATCACTCAAGATTTCTTACACTGCTAAAGGGGTTACTAGGAATGCTCAGAAACGTTCGGTCTGTTACCAATGCCCGAGTAGCCTGTAATTCTTCCCGTGAACGTCTCTCGCCAATTCATCGGCGAAAACGCTGTATTTTCCAAAAACTTTCAAACGCGTTCTATCACAAAAAGTGTGATATGTTATGAGAGATATCGCGACGAAGCTTCTTATACCTTGGAATCATCGAGGTGGAGCGAAACGAATCTTTCTGCTCGAACACATCTATCAGCCGGCTTGTGTATGTGTTGCCGTGCGTGAGCCACTGGTGTGTGTCACTGAAGCTCTCGCCCTGGATGTAAAGTCTGTTGGGAGCTTCTCCACCTCAGGGTTCCCCCTTCGAAATCAGCTTCTTCTACCTTTTTCCACCTGTTGTTTATTGTTTGTTTGGACAGTTATAACTTCATTAGCGAAGAAAGAAAAGCTTCAAATGAACTTAAAAATTTCTTAGAAGTGTTCGTTCAAGTGCCTCACTGTATGCCTTGATTTACCTTTTTGCAGGCTCTTTATTAACTTTTTGCTTTTTGATTTTAAAATTGTTCATTTTTGAAACGTTTTTCAAAACAATAAGAGGATCTCGTAAGTATTTTTCAAAGCTATTCCGCGAAATTGAAGGAGTTGTCAGAGAGCGGAGAAGGTAACTTATTTTTGAGAAGTCAGATGCATTTGAATTACGCGCAAATTATTTTGAATACGGCAAAAAATCCCAATCATTTAGTTTTTCTGTGAATAAGCTGAAAATTCGCACAATTATATACTCCAAAAATTCAATTTCATAGTTTTTTTCGACAACCAATTTTCGTTCCCTTCCAGACTGACCGAATTGTGAACTTGCCCATGTTTAGTCTTGTCCAAACATACTTGGAAAGACCGCTTTTGGCGGCCGCCCACTCCAGTCATTTTGAAGATTCCAGCCTCGCTCTCATTTTTTTAAAATTTTTTTATAAAGAAGTTTCTGAGATATATATATTGTGAAAAAATATGTGGCTTTATAACCAATATTAGTGTAAATTGACCGAACTGAAAGCCTGAAAAAAATTGAAAGAGCTGGCCAACATAGGAAAGAAGGTAGAAAGATTTTTATTTCGGTTCAAAATTCATCCAAATTTCTGATAGTCTCATACTTGCTCATACATGATCTTTTTATTTACGCTAATGGCATTTCACTATTCATTTTTATAAAGTCAATTGCAGGATTTCGAAATTTTTCATATTTTTTTTTGATTTTGCTCCTACAAGTTTATTTTATTTGAAAGCTTTTTCACACATTTTCTCAATCGAAACCGAATTCCTTATCTTTCGTTCTCTTTTCTCACCCCTACGCTTGACTATATCTTTTTGGAATCAATCTTTGGCCATTCTCTTCTTTTTTTTTGCGTTCTTTTCTTTTTCCGAACATTTTGTCTCGTGCTACCGCCTCGAATAGTGCGTGGTTCGCAATTAAATGAATCCCTAGTTGTCGCGGATACCGATGTGAAATGAGCGGCCGCCTGCCCTTGTGCGCCTCGATCGGCATCGATCAGCAAGTCCTTCACATTCAAGGTTCAGTTTCAATGAGGGAAAAAGTTATGCGGATTCTTCAAAGAGGGTCTATTATATCCCTAGATTTTATCGGGTTCCTCTCAGTCTACTTATTTGATTTTCCTTCGTAGCAGAGCTAGAAATCGGTTTCTCTGAAAATTTGTTTAGATGGGCTGTCAATGTTTCATGATTAATTTTTATGGCTTAGAATTCTTTGAATTGTGATTGCTGCTTGTAGGATTTTGTAGCGGCTTCAAAGTTTTCGAAATGAAAACGTTGTATCTTAACTGAAGAAGCTATTTGCAAGGTAATTTATAGATGTGAGTTTTAAAAAGAACTTTTTTTTTTTGAATTGAAGCTTACAGAATTTTTTCAGAATATATGATGGAAGTAAAAATACGTTAAAGTGAATACTCATCTAGCAAAATAAAAAAAATTGGGCTTTTATCAAGCTTGAGAACTGAAGAGGATTAGAAAATTTTTAAAGTACAAAATATTTCACAGTTTTTCATGCAGGAGAGAGTGTTTCTTTAGAGAGATTTCGAAAAAGGATTATGCAAATCTTCTGAACAGATTAACTAGATCATACTTGTTGAGGAAACAACTTAAAGTGCCTCAGTGGAGATAACAAGATGAAAAAAGGCCGAATGATCCAACAAGATATGATACCGAGGCGAGAGCATCTCCGTTGATGTTGAATAATCGTATGCAAAGCGAGAAAGAGACCCCGGTGTGTCGTCGTCGTCGTGTTGATTGATTGGAGGACCCATGGCTGTCCAGTCCGTCCAATACTCAATAATTTTCTCTTCTCTTTCATTATTTTTGCACTTTCTCCATATCCTTCATCCTTTGTTGCAAAAAGAGCAAAAATTGAGCTTGCCAAAGCTGTTGCTGGCGGGTTTTCCATTGTTATTCGGGTATAATCGGGAAGGTTAAACAGCGACGGGGATACGTGTTATTGTCATTTGATGCGCTAGATAGATAGATTTGATGACGGGAGGCGTCTATAGGTTTTGTCGTCGGGTTTATTTCACCCACCGAACTTCCGGCTATCGCATGTTTACAGTAATAATCCCGCCTCCTTTTGTACTCTGTACATTTTTATTTTTTACTCGTCTTATGGTTCATTCAGGGTGGAAAACTCTTTGAAATTTTCTTTCCAATTTTTCAGCCAATATTTTGATCTTTTCTTTTTTTTCGGTAGGTCTTTAATGAAGCTTAGGTTTCTCAATCAGAATGTTGTAAGGTAATTGGAAGTTCCAAGTCTCAAAAATGTTTCAAGTATTTTTTGAATTGACGTTTTGAGCCACATTTATGAAGCACTTTCGCGAACTTCCAAGCATATGGCCCGAAAAAAAAAGCTCGACTTTCTTCATATTCTGCATTTTTATTGATCTTTCGAAGCTTTTTTCTATTCGTTTTAACATTTCCTCCTTTAAAGAATTGTTTCTGTACGAAAAAAATTATGAGCAATTAGTCATCGGCCGAAAACTTGGACTGAAACGTAGAAAGTCGCGTGAACGGCGCCTGATGACTCAACGACGACATCGCCACTGGCCTATCATCCTTTTTTGTTTCTCTGAGTGGCCACCAGCGAAAAAAGGAGGAGAAGAAGAGATTTCGAAGAGAAAACGCGGAAAAAAGTGACCAAAAAGCTGTTGAGAGAAATACTCTGCGTAATAGATGGCCGCCGTGCCGCTCTTATGTTCGACCTGCCACTTTTTTCTCCTCGAAATCCCCTTTTTCTGTCTCTTATTGACCTCTAAAATGTTTTATTTCCCTGTCATTGTTTCAAGTTTTTGGGAATAGAGAAAGTTTTTGCACGAAAGACTTTTTAGGGATTTTTTGAGTCCTTATAACTAGCTCACGTATGCATTTTTTAGAAGCTTTTTTGAAATTCGAATTTTCTTCTAAAAATGAGGACTGTGTAATATTTTTTCTTTCAAAAAAGGTCGTTTCAGTGTGCAGCTTTTATATGTTTTACCCCAAAAACCTCGGTTTGAATGAAAATCTGTTTTACCTCAGCAAACTTTTGATTTTCTAGTTGTGAATTCTCCGATTTTTTCATTTCTTTCGAAGCTCACGTCTGTTAAAAATGAAAAACTTTGAGCTCTAGTAAAAGTTTCAAACGCCCAATTTTTTCAAAACAGAACCCAAATGGTCTAATAAATAGAATGAAGATTTTTCTGATCTTTTCTCTTTGTCATTATTTATGACCTAAGTGACGATCAATAATACGTCAATTTCCGAGCTCATGTCGCAAATCGCGGATATCAGCCGCCATTGTGTTTCCTCCGAACCTCAGGCGGCGCAATAGATGGATCATATTCATCACTCGGCTGTTTATACATCTTTATGAGCTATTCTCCGCACTTTTTCCCTGATTTTTCGATAATTCTCCCCGAGAGTGTTTACCTCTTGTCGAACATATCCGAAAGTGCCATAAGAGCGCAGGTCGCCCTACACGGAAATCTGAGCGGCTGGCCGAGTGACAAGTAATTGCGCGCTTTGCAACTCATCTGCGTCGAACACAAAAGGCGCCAATGGCTATGTCCGTGATTTCATTACGCGCAACCTCCTTTATCCCGTCCGCAACGTTTCTGAACGTCCGGCGAATTCCGTCGTTGACAAGTTTTTTTTTGCACTCCATTTTGATATCAATCAAACCCGAATTCCCGTTGTTTTTTAGACAGAGCCAAATCAAAGGATGCTGCTTTTTTTTCCGAGAAGTTCTCAAAAATGGGTAAAAAACTTTACTAGGAAATTTTTTAAGTAGGATTATTAGAAGTATTCTCAGATTAGCTTCAAGAGAACATCTGAACAAGGTTTCTTCCATTTTTCAAAATTGAAACATCAGAAAACTTCTAGTAGGCGTTTTTACATTTTTTTTTCAACTTGACATTTTTTACTTGAAAACTTAAAAAAACATTGTAGGAAAATTTTATTCAAAGCTCGCTTTCTGATTATCAATAGAGCGGTAAGCACGTCACAGTTGTTTTTTTCCCAAGCTACAATCGCCTAAGGCTTTTTCCCTCAGCTATTTTCCGATACTCTTATTAGTCCTATTCATAAATCTTATACTCCTTTCTATACTCCTTATGTCTGCGATATGATCATGGAAACTTTTTTCACTACAAAAAACGCGAAACCCGTGTTTTCGTGAATAAATTAAGGAATTTGGGTTATAAAAATTTTACGGTGTTTCATTTGGACATCCTTTCTCGATTTTATGATCCTACCCCTTTTCTTCCATCTTTACTTTTTTTTTTTTTGGGTACCACTATCTTTTTGCAATGCTTTGTTTACAACTCATTTTTCTTTCATAAAACCTTTTTTCCTACCGCACATCTCAAAGCCAATATCCGTCGCTGTTTGCCATTGTTTAAACGCTTTTTTTTCGACGACGAAAACCTTTTCACAAGCCGTCTTTTTCTTCTTTTCAACATTCGAGATCCCAGGAAGAAAGAATCGAGTGGTTTTATACGAAAATATAATTTCGATTCCCTTCAAACAATAAAAAAATCATGAAAATCTTTTTTTTTTGATAATGCGCCAAATGGGAGGAAATTGATGTTATGGAAATGTCGGCGACGTGCATCAGTCATTCGTTTGATATTTTGTCTCTCCTAATCATCTTTTTTCTTGGTTTTTCTGTTTTCCAGACTTTTTGAAGATAGTTTGCAGTGTACGAAGATGTGGTGGGGGTGTCAGATGAGAGTTTGAAAAATCCTATTTTTTTTTTTAATTTCTCCTTGTTTGAAGCAATCAATTTTTCAGATTGATAGCCTTCGAGAAACATAAGAAGAAGTAGCATAGTATTTTTTTTTATTGCTCAAAAGTTAACCCCGAAGCTTCAAAAATATGATTTTGGTCATTACGAAGATTTTATGGTCATGTAAAAAGCTGACGAAACACTCATGAATGGAATTGTTAAAAATTATATAATCTTCATCCTTTTTTTCCGAGAAAGAAATTTAAGGCTGTTCAATATTCGATTTTTTGAAGAATTGCATTTTTCGAGTAGATCAACTTTCTGTGCAAAGGCAAACCTTCAATACAAATTTTGGAAACGATTTCTCTTAAAAATAAAAAAGGGACATCCGAATGAAATTTGCACCTTCGTATTGTCCTTCCCTGGATGCAGGAAGGAAGCGTTCGACATGAAGAGACGTCTCATATTTTATCGGATCTCCGCCCCCTTTCAGTTGTCTCGTCATTTCCAGCTTGCTTCCCCCCATCCGAAGCGATATTTCGGTGCTCGCGTTCCTCGTTGATCTCGACGCGTCCATTCATTTTGGAGTTTTTTGCCCGGCCAATTCTCTCCTCTGTCCTCTACATATTCCTCTTACTGACCAGCTCTTTTTCTCTGACTTTTGAGTCCGCCGCCGGCTTTTTCCCTCTTTTTTCAATCTAGAACTTATCCGCGCATGTTTCCTTCTTGTTTAAGAGGAAATGACTTTTTTTTTGCGTGGTATTTCGTTTTTTGAGAGCTTTGGACTTTTTTGATGCGTTCAATCACGAGTTTTTAATGAGAGAATTAAATCTTACTTTTAAATATTTTATCTCTTAACAAGTGATGTAATTTAATTGATTAAAATATTTTAAAATAAGTAAGAAAAATTCAAATTAAAATAAGTGGAAAATAAGTAAACTAGTTTAAAATCGACTCCCGTTAAGTTTCGATGGATTTGTACAGAAGCGAACTTTCATTAAAATCCCTTTTTTTTTCATTGTATGAAGATTTTTCTCGAAATTTCACAATCAAGAACCTTTCAATAACTAAAACTTTTCTTTTGCAGAATTCCGCGCCAAAATGGGCGACCAGCTGAAGTGCTTGGGCGACCGAACGGACGTCCAAGTGGCCAGTCTCAGCGAATTGCAGGTTTTTCTTCGCTATTTTTTCCCTGCCATCCTGGACTTTTTGCAGGAGTTTTTTCGACGCCGCGGGGAGTTGGAAGCGGAACATGCTGGACGCTTGGAAAAGTTGGCCAAGGGGATCGCTCAGAAACACAAAACTGAGCGGGGAAGGTTCGCTTTTTTTTTTGCTTTTTTTTTGTCGGAATCAGGATGAATGCATGGAAGTTTCCTCATTAAAAAGCATTATGGAAGTTCAGGCTTTTTTAATTCCTTATTCAGTTCATCAATTAGATGTAAAAAACCCTTTTTCCAAAAATATTGCTTTTTCTCAACGTTTATCCAGCCAACCCTTTGAATTTTTCCAACTTTACCAGGTTCGATTTGCCCTTACTCTGAAAATTTTCTCATTTTCTGTAAGCCTCCCCTTTTCCACACTCTTTTTTCGATTATTTCGTTTTGTCGTCGTGTTTTTTTTTTGTCGAAATTTTCTGAGACCTTAGGAAAGTTAACTATTGATTAAGTGATGGTAAGAAGGAATTCTGGGTCCCCGAATATTCGTGAGCGTTAATTGTGCATACACCAATCTTGGGGGCTCGAATCTTTGAAAACGATTTTTGGGGATATTCACCTCTTTTTTGAATCTTCATCTTTTTTCTTTCCTTCATTTTTTTTTCCTTTGTCGTTTTATTATGAAGATGCCGTGTTTCGACCACAAATGAACACTGTGTGATTTTTTTCAACTAGCTTTTTATCAAATAATGCGTCTTTCTCGCATACATGTAGTCAAATATTCGCTGCAGAACGCCTACCACATTTTCATTCACTCTGTGTACATTCTCCATCAACTTCTATTTACAAAAAAAATTGGAAAAACTATAAAAAATCAGAAAAGTAAGTGAATATTCTCAAGAATCGTTTTCAAAGATTCAAATTTTCAAAGATTCGAGCCTCCAAGATTGGTGTATGCACAATTAACGCTCACGAATATTCGTGGACCCAAAATTCCTTCCTACCATCGATTAAGTATAACTATCACTACGATTTTCACTTAATTTTTTTTTCTGAAAATAGATTCAAAAACTTCTAAAATATTAGAGTAATTCCTCTCATAGTTCGAGACTTTGGGTATCGAAAAGAGATTATATATAATTTACGAGTGTCGCGGAATATGCGCTAAATTCCATTGTTGGAGCCCTCAGCTCTCCATCTTTTGATTTATAGCCCGACGTGTTCCGAGCTTATGATCGCTCCTTGACTTTTTCCAGAACTGCTATACTTGGAAATTTCGAATCCGTAGTTTCTGAACCTTTATGGAGGTTAGGTTGATTTCAAGGAGACAAAAAATAGAAAAAAAGAGCGTCAGTATTTTTAGGCATCCATTTCGAGACCTATTTTTCAATTGCGGTTATGATCCTTTAAAGTTCTGCATGGATGTCCTAAACCATGGCACATTAAAAAATATAGGGAAGACAAAAAACTTATGAAAACTCGTAACGTTCGCCAATAAAACTATTTGGATGAGGCCCGCGTGTGGGTAACCCCGCAAGTGTGGGAACCGCGACACCATATGGCATTTTGGACCAAAGACACACACCGAAATGCGCCACACGACACCCCGTCGACAATGTATTCAACTCCGACCGCGGGCTCCGAATTTGTTCCCACGTTCCTGGGAACCATTCCTCTTGAGAATAGTTAAGCAATTCTTGAAGTTGCAGTCCGTATTAAAATAGATATGGCTCCTTTTTGATGGCTCTGAAAGTTGGAGAAGGAATGATAAAGAATATTGCTAAAAAAAATACAAATAAACTGCAAAAAACGAGCTTGCAGTGCTTAACAAGCATGTTCGCTCCAAAAAAACATTTTCTGGGTAACTAGTCACACCCGGACATCTCTGAGCATTTCTAGTGATCCCTTTAGAGACGTCAGCCTTTTAAGTGGCAACTTGAAACGCTCGAAACGACGGCTTTGCGTTACTGACGTCCGATCAAATCGTTTAAGATTTTGAAGCGAGTTTTCACGGTATCCAGATTATTTTTGCTTCAGCTATACTTGGATGATAAGGCTGAAAAAAGTACCATATTGAAGGGAAGTGAGAGCAATGAATTACTGAAGAGATTAAAAATAAGATCCTTGATATATTATTCGAAAAAATCAATCTACTTGAAACACAGGAGTTTGGAGATGGCTGGTTTGAGTAAATATATTTTTTATACACTTCTTCCGAGTTTTTTTATACACTACTTCCGAAATATGACCCATTTATCTTCTATTTTCTCCAGACGAGAGGCTTGGTCGCAACACACCTCCTGTACTGTTTGGCAGACTCTGGTCGATCAGACGAAAGATGAGGCGAAGAAAAGAAACGTAGGTCATTCCTGGTTGTTCAGATCATTTTATCTCTTTGCAGAATTTGGCCGAACTTTTCAGTAAGAAAATCACAGCGAGTATCGAGTCGCGATGTGAAGATCTCGTCAAATTGTCCAAGAGGGTTCGAACTTTAACCTTCGTCTCAAAAAACTTGTTTTTCTTTTTCAGTGTCGTGAAATCGGCTCATATTCACACAATGAGCTCAACCGGGTACTCAACGAACTTCACACGGCTATGAAAACCTATCAGGTGTGTGAAATTTTAAGTAAATGCAAAAATTAAATTTTTTGCAGCTTTGCTACGCAGAATATTCGGGTGTGGAAAGAAAAAAGCGGGCGGCTGAAGATGATAAGCGAAGATATGAAGATGCGAATCCGCAGAGGTTCGAGACATCCAGGAAACACAAGCAGCTCACGAAATATCTGAAAAAGGTTGGTTGTTTTATCCTGAAATGAAAAGAGAGAATTGGCGAGTATAATAGACTCCAGAGAAATGGAGTTTTTCTGTGGCCTCTAATCAGATTTTGTTTTTACTAAAGAATCAAAAATTGTTGGAAACAAACTGTGCACTGCAGAAAGGCCAGAGAAATATTTTTTTAAAATTTTTCTCTGATTCTTTTAGTCCGTCGACACTGTTTTTCTTCGGCATTATTAATGAAGTAAGAGAGTAACGCTGTGATTGAGAGAGATCAGAGAAATTGTTTCCTATATTTCTTTGACGTCTCTTCTGACCACCGCTACTCTCTGTGCGTTCATTATCTCTTCAAATTTCTTTTCAATTCTTCTGGATTTAAAATGGTTGTTAAAAGTTTTTTGTATTCTGAAACTACTTGAAGATGGTCTTAGGGAAAGCTTCTAGATCTTCCCTTATTTTTTACCTTTTTATTTCACCTTTAGTTGATTTTTGGTAAAATTTTACTTCGTCTATGATTTCATTTGACTTTCATCCTTTCTCCGATAGTTGAATTCTCTTTTTCGATTAAAAAAAAATCTTCTTAAGGAACCTTCTTACGGCCTCTTTGACTCTTTTTGAGTAACATATCTATTTTCAGAGAGAAGAAAAGTACGAATCAGTACGTGTAAAGTGCACAAAAGCGCGCAACGAATACCTGCTCTGTGTGAAGGCCGCCAATGCTGCTCTCCATAGGTTTTTTTTCTTCATCTTAACGGAAAAACCAATATATTTCGATTTTAAGGTTCTTCGCCCAAGATTTGTCTTATATCATCGATTGTATGGACCTTGGAATGGATTTCTGGCTCCGGACGATGCTTGGTAAGAGATTACTTTTGCCAGAGTTAACTTTATGGGAACATTTCGGATAGAGGTGATTGGAAGAATTTTTTAGATGGAGTGTAATTTTTAGTGAGTTTTAATTGATTAGTTTCATTTCAAGTTATGTTGTTTCCAGTAAATGAGTTTAACGTTTCTGTGACCTCTCAAAATACTAATAGTCTCAATAAACATGGTTGTTTGAGGATTAATCGTTCAAAACAATGAGAAAGTGTAAAAATACCAAAGAAAGCGGAGGAAATGTAAGAAATAGGAGAATTTGTGATTTCTGAAGCTCTTTTTAAAGTTCATCAGAGTGTTTGAAAAAGCAGAAAACAAATACCAACTAAGTTTTTAACCAAAAAGTTCCTTTTTGTATAGTTTTCAATGGAAACCGCTTTGTGTGGCTTAAAATACTTGGTGATTCTAATTTTGTGAGAAAACCATACACGGCATTTTTAAAAACTACCTCTCAGGAGTTCCTAGTTCATATTTAATTCTGAGGCTAAAACTTTTTTTTTGTCAATACTAGAGAAGAAAACTTCATGAGTTGAAGAACACTTCATGAGTTTTAAGAGAAACAAGGTTTACAGCAAATAATTTTTTCCAGAACAAGTGATCGACGAGCGAAAACGAGTGGCCCATGCCGAAATGGACGCCTTGGCCGAGTTAGGAACTCTGAGGTCCAGCGTCGATTCCAAGGCCGACAAACAGCGATTTTTCGAGGCCAACCACAATCTTTTCATGCTCCCCAAGCAGTTTGAATTCCGGTTTCCCTACTATCATCCTGTATTGATTATAACTTTTTTGCTTCAGTCCGCAGCTCGGCGACGACATTTGCGAGGTCTCGGCTGAGCAGACTTTGTCTCAGGACCTCATGCAGAGACAGTGGCAGATCGAGAAACGCCTTGACAACCTCAGATTTGAAACGGACGAGGTTTTTGCGGTGCTTTGAAAGGAAGAATGTTTGATGGGAATTCAGGTTTGGAAGACCTTGGAAGCCTCGGAGAAGCAGATCCTGACTCTTTATTCGAACGGATCGGATGAAGACATGGCCAAGTCGCGGGAAAGTCTTCTCGTCACTTATCAGTATTATATGAAGGTTCGTTAGGACATTCTAAGTTGACGAGACCTTATGAATCGAACTTTAAGTTTTTTAAGAAGTTCTAATTTATTTCTGAAATTTTATTTTATTCCACATTTTTTTGCCTCGGTGGAACTTCTTTTGTAATACACTTTTAATTATGGTTTTGTTTCAAAAAGAGTTATAAATTAAAATTCTTTATCAAGGAATGCTTTTGAGTTGTACCAAGCATTTCATTTGGAAAACCGTTTTTTTTTTCATTTTTTTTTCTTTTTGTATAACTGCAAGCTTAAGTTAAAAACTTGGAAAGAAATCGGCCATTTTGAGTGGATGCTTTGCACATGGGTTCTTCATAATAACTCAAAACTTCTTTTGCAGAAGTTCGAGGTCTTCCTCCTGAACGGAAACCTGATAGAACGGCTGGAGGCGAGAAGCCACGCCATCGGAGAGGCCCTCGAACGGCACGGCCACGACGTGACGAAGGCCAGCGAGCTGCGAGGCCAATGCAACAACGGCCCCTCGACCAACGGCCTTCTCGGCGGCGCGAATCCTTCCACGGCGACCCTCTCCAACGACGTCAAACGTCGCGCCAAACGCATCGGCCGCGTCATGGGCGACGACAATCGACCGCGTCCCAAGCTCTTTGGTACGTTTTCTGAAGAACTGATTTCAGCAGAAAGATAGGAAATTAATAACTTTGAGTTTACTTGACCTAATTCTCTCAATTTTGAAGTTTTTTTTTGAAACCTTCCTGAAAAGATCCATTTTCTATCCTTCCAGGAGGAAGCTTGGACGAGTATGTGGAAGCGACCGGCGAGCCGATCCCTCTTTTGGTCGTCTCAGCCGTCCGTTATTTGTCCCGCTTTTCGCTGCGGAACCAAGGGCTTTTCCGTGTCAGCGGCTCTCAGTCGGAGATTAATCGGTTCAAGGATTCTTACGAAAGAGGTTAGTTGTTTCTACAAGCTATTGAAAAAGCAAAGAAAAAATCTTCAACATTTTTTTTCTCAACGTTTCATTTTAAATTTATGTTTTATATTTTCTTTAAAAGTTTTTCTAATGATCAGAGCGTACTTTGGAGCCGGAAGACAAAGAAGAAGAAAAAAATTTTGCTTCAATTTTTTTTTCAATTTTAACAAATAGAACGGTCCAGGGCAATGAATTCATTTTTTTTAGGCGAAGATGTCTTTGCCGATTTGGTTGATGGAAGCGAATCAAACTCGGTGGCCGGAGTCTTGAAACTTTATCTGAGAGAACTCCGCGAACCGATCTTCCCGATATTCCTCTTCGAACAGTTTTGCAACTGCGCTCAGGCTACAACTCCAGCTGAGTTCATATGCCAGGTCAGTTGATTTTAAAGCTCTTTTCACCCAAAAAGATTAATTCAGACGCGAGAACTCGTCTCGAAACTCCCTCTCTCACACGTTCTTCTCCTGCGTTTCCTGTTCTCTTTCCTTTCCCATCTGTGTGAATTCGCCGACGAGAACATGATGGAGCCGCCGAGTATGGCAATTTGCTTCGGGCCGACCCTTTTGCCCATTCCCGAGGGCAAGGATCAGGTAATGACTGTTTTTTAGTCATTTATGAAGGATTTAAAAAAATCAGTTCAAAAGATTTGGCTTTTTGAAATACTAGACGGTACATTTTTGAGACTTTTACATATTGAATTAATAATTTTGTTATGCATCTGAAGTAAGTTTAGTATTTTCGATTTCTCAAAATTAGGACAAGATGTTTCCGATAAATTTGTATAGCAAGAGGTTCGTAGAAGGTTATCGAACAAGTTTTAAGAAATTGCAATTACTTTTAAAGTCACCTAGATAGGTTGGACGTGCGAAAATATAAAAGTGGTCGTAGCCCACGTCAGCCATCTTTTCTCACAAGAAAAGTTTCAAATTTTACAGGTTTTCTACCAAAACTACGTCAACAAGTTGGTGCAGTACCTGATCATTCACGCGGACGAAGTCTTTCCGCGAGATCTTGCCGGCCCGGTTTACGACAAATACGCATTGCAAGTGCCGAACGACGCCGAAGAACTGGGCTACATTGAGGATGGGTTCGTCGATTTTGTTATTGATCTTCATTTTTTCATAGATTGCTTTTTAGCTGTTTTGAAACATGACAAAGGTTCTGAAACAGGTTTTGACACAAAACGTAAAGTTTGATACTCAGCTGAGAACGCTTCCCTAGGATTTTAATAATCGCACTGGAATGAATGACAAGTGTGAAATTTCAGAGAGCCGATGTCCGACGACGAAGAAAACCATGGTCATCTGATCAACGACGGCAAGGCCCAACAGTTGGGCCTTCTGCGCGCCGACGCCAACCACAACCACCATCAGAACGGCGTTCAGTCGATGCTCGACTCCACCTACGACACCGACATGACGTCGTCTTCGACGGCGATGATAGCCATGAACGAACAGCCGACGTCGTCGCACTCCTCTCCGCGCGATCGCAACGACCTGGACAGTCAGCCGCCCAGCGTCTCCAGTCGCTCTTCGAACCGATCTTCCAATCTCGACAACTACTTCCGCAGAATGTCGGAGGATACCAACGGCGTCAGCTCGGTCAAGGTCGAAATGCAGCATCGGCTGGCCAACGAACTCAGCGCCATGTTCAAACACGATCGCACGTCTCCGGCGATGGCTATTCTCAGGTTTGTCTAATCAATATTTGAAGATTTGAGAACAAGAAAACACGTCTTGAATGCATAAACATTGTTCTGTTCTCGGTCTAAAAGAAGGCAAAAATTATTTTACTCGTCCCTTAACCTTTTTTTGACCGCGACGACTTTCAGACACTCAAACGCCGCTCCTCTCTGGGAATCGAACGAAGCAGTGCACGAAGAGCGTGACTATGTATCCCCTCCTGCTCTCATCTCGGCCCAACTCGCCTCGACGTCTTCTGACCGCTTCCTCCGCACGTCTTCAAAGCCCGTCGCTCCCAGCAACGACTACCACGAAATCGACGCTCTTGAAGACGTCGTCGCAATGACGACGGACCATGATCGCTTCGGAAAGTACTCTTCGGGACGCGACTTGTACGCTCCGATCCAACCTCGAGCCACCACGATGCCTCCCGTCACGGCCACTGTCTCTCAAAGTTCCATCGCCTCCAGCTCCAATTCAGTTGCTGGCACCACTTATGGAGGTTCTCATCGTCCGAATTACTGATTTCAAGTAGAAATTTCAGTCCGAATGGTCGGAAAACCTTCGCTGCGAGACCAGCTTCAAATGATTCGCAAAGAAAAGTGCAACGGACGAGAGGACGGAAAGATCTTTGCAACGTTTAAAAATAATAGTTTCTGAAGAAAATTACATTGCTGTTTACAGAAATGAGCCAAACTTTGGCCGAAAAACCAGCCAAGACACGATTGTTCTTGATGCTCGCGGTAGTATCGACTCCAGGTTGAACCGAAACTTTTTTTAAAAGTTCAATTAATTTTTCAGTAATTCTGGCAACTCCGATTTGATCCGAAAAATGCCGTTTGACGGCAACAAGAAAGGCTCCGTCGACCAGTTGACGACTTCTTCAGAATCTCCATCTCCTACTTTGCCGCCTGCTATTTCTGCCACTTCTGATCATATCAATATTTTGAGGTATATATTTTCTAAGAAACTTGCTGGGTTTTTTTCTATAAAAGCGAGGTGAACCTCCTGAAGGTCCCGAAACGAAAAGCCCTTTTTCAAATTTCTGGTCAAAAATCACTCATTTCTAGCCTTCTAGAGGTTTTTTCTTTAAAAAAGACTTTTAATGATTTTCATGGCGATCCCCATTGTACACATGACAAAATAAGACATTTTCACTTTTGGAACTGACCAATATTTAATTTTAATACTTTAAAAGGCAAGGGGCGTTGAAAAGAAACATAAGATGGACAAAAATGTCGAAGAAAAGAGAATTCGATTTTCTTTAGCAAGTTCCGAAAATTTTGATTCAAGCGGACATATAACAAGGATGTTCTTACAGAAACAACGACCAGCCTGACGTCATCTCTTCGTCGAAGCCGCGCGCGATATCGCCAACCCTCGAAGAAATGGTCGCCGTTTTCAATGCCACTCGCCTCGATTAACAATAACTATCCATTTTATCAGTTTCAAACAGCTTTAATCCACTTCTCGACGTCAGTTGAATCATCTCTTTCCGATCACGCATAACCAGATTCTTTCACTGCTGGAATATATCCCCACAACTTTGATTTCGGGTTCCTCTTCTTCCTATCATAATCTCTAACTTCTTACTCTGCCTAACCTCTCTTCCTATATAGCTAATTCGTTGTATTATATTGTACGGTGTAAATTTTTTCCTTATCGACTCTCCGTTACCGACATTTGTCACAACCAAACATAATCCATGTATTACATAAAAGATATCGAGTAGAAGTCTCGGCCTAATAAAGATTTACCAAATCTGATTTGCATTTTGAAGCTGCAGTGAAACTTCTTGTTAAAACAATTATAAAATATTTTTCATGTGAAATTGAATGCAGAATTATTTTGAAAGATAAAAGGAACAGGAATGTCGCATTCGTGGTTTTTCCTCGTGTTTCTAGCAGTTATCGACATTTCCTTGGCTGCGGATACGGGAGACATTCAGGAAAATCAAGAAGATTTCAGGTTTTTTTTTGGGTCGATTTTTCGTAAAACTTGATGAAAACAAGTACTTCGACTAAAAACGGCTTTGGAAACTGGAAAATCAATTTATGGCCGATTTTTTCGATTTTAACGGAACATGGTATCTCCTTTTGAGAATTGTATGTAAAATGACGGGGCCTTTTTTCAATTTTCATATATAATTTTTTTTTAAAGACTTTTGAAAAGATACATGGACATTGAATATTTAAAGCTTTCAAAAAAAAAAACCCTCGAAGTCAGCTTCATGTTCAGTAAAATCGAAAAAGCCAATTTGCGGTACCTGGGACCGCTATTAGTACGTTTTGAAGTCGATTCTATTTATTTAATTGGAAAAAAAAGGTTTGTCACCCATATCTATGTCCCAAAAAGCAGCTTTAAACCACTTTTTCCTTTTTTTTTTATTCATATGATGATTAACGACCCCAGAAACAAATGCACGATGGAAAACTGCTTCGATTTGTCAAAATGTCGGGGGAAAGAGCCACGGAAAGTTTTCATCCACCCATATACTGTCGATCCGGGTCATCCGGAGCCGTCGCCAGTTTGGCGCCAAATTCTGCAGTGTATCCGTGAGAGGTTCATCCTGGGACTTTTCTTGTTCTTCAACCAAAAATACAGCGATTTCTACACGGAGGACCCATCGGAGGCCTGTTTGTTCGTCTTGGGAATCGACACGACGGATCGCGATAGACGCAGGTGCAGCCAGGAGTTTTTTCTGCGAGAATCGTTTTTTTTCAAAATTTAGTGCCAATTACGTGCCTGACGTCGATTCCTACATCGCGAACCTCCCACAGGAGCTTTGGAACGACGGCCGGAATCATATAATTTTCAATTTCTACCACGGAACTTTCCCTGACTATGCCGACCACAATCTTGGATTTTACACTGGTCAGGCCATCATCGCGAGGGCTTCGCCGAGTTTTCAGGTTTTATATAGGTTCTTAGAATTCTTAGAGTAGTCCCTAGAGGGGCAACCTTGAGGGCCCTTTAAGGTTTCTCTCTAATGACTACCTCACCTTCCCTATAGGGGGTACTAACGCTTGCGAAAAAGGCCACTGTAGGGGGAGCATGCTAGTGATTCCTATACGTCTTTTTAAATTTCAAATATGAAATAAATCTATATACCACTATAGGGATCACTTAAGCTTTCGGGGCTTAGGAATCAGGCTCTGACCCCCTATAGGGACCACCTAAATTTTAGCCTTCTAGGGCACCATTTTGTCCCTTTTAGGGGCTTTATTTTACCTAACCCCTCTAGTGACCACTCTGGTGTTTCTAAGTTGATAATCCGTTTTCACAGCTGAAAATACTGGATTCCGAGATTTTCATTGTGTTAAAAATGCGTTTTGGTGCAAGTCCAAGTTATCACATTTCCTAATCTTTCTAAGAAGTTGCTATCACTTTTTAATTGAATAAATGAGGGAATATCTATAAAAAAATCTCACGGTGGTAAGAAAAATCTTTTCAAGACTGTTTTTGGACAGGCTATGGCTTAGTAATTATTATAGGTAAGAGTACTACGACCTTTTTCTCGGTTTCCTTTCACGTAGTTGAGCCAAAATCTTGTTGAAGAATTTGAAGGCAGTATTTTGTTTTTGAATTCGGTTTTAGTGAACCTGAACTTCAGATGGAAGATTTCATGAAAAATCGAACATTTTCAGAGTTTCCGCGAGTGCTTCGATATATCGTTCCCCTTGTTCCATGAGAATCATCCATACGAACTCGAAGAAGTTGAGGTGGATCAAATTTATGACCGTCATGAACTTGAGAAAAGCTTTCAGGAGAATGATATGGCGTCTCGGAACACGTCTTACTTGGTTTCTTTCAAGGGGAAGAGATATGTTTATGGTATGACATAACTAGCCGAGTCAGCAGTTTCAATGATTATCCATAATTCAAGGGATCGGATCTGGAACGCGTAACCTCGTGCACCATTTGCACAACGGCAAGTCGATAATAATGGTGACGACTTGCAAGCACAACAACGACTGGCAGGTTCGCCTCATTCCTGCTGCAGCATCACTTTTTGCTCTTAGAGACGAGAAGATTGAAGTTTTCCTGTTGTGATGGATCAATTACAATCCCAAATACCATGATTTAAAAAAAAAGAGTATATTCGGATCTTTCGAAATGGCTATAACTAATGGCATCAACTTTCAAAACATCTAAAAAAAATGCAAAAAAATGGAAAAATCTTGTTATCGAACTTCTTTGTGAAGTTAAAGCAACCCGAAAAAAACGTAAACTGAAATCAAAGAGTTGAAACATGGAATAGGGCCAGATAAGTGCTTTCTTTAAGAATTTCGAATATCTCTTCTCAAATTATTGAAACACCTTTCAGGTCTACCAAGACGATCGATGCCAATCTGACAACGAAGAATATGAAAAGTTCTCTTTTTCCAAATTTAATCCCTTACCTTGATATTTTATAGATGGGACTATGATACTCTTCTCAAAGAGTCGACGTTCTGTTTAGTGCCACGAGGTCGGAGGCTCGGCTCTTTCCGGCAAGTCTCTCTTCTGAAATTCTGAGGGACAGGATTTTTTCAGGTTCCTGGAGACCCTGAGAGCAGGGTGTATTCCAGTAGTGATTTCGGATGACTGGGTCCTCCCATATTCTGAAATTATCGACTGGTCTGAAGCCGCCCTTGTCGTTCCAGAGCGTCTGGCTCTCACGGTAAGCTTTGGACCTTTCGCGAGAATTTACCATCGAATTTGCAGCTCCCGGAGATTCTGATGACGACGGGAAGGAAAAAGGTCGACCTTCTGAAGCAGAAAACCGTTTTATATTATCGTACCTACCTCCAATCCATCACCACCATAACGAGGACTGCCTTTGAGGTTTGAACTTTTTTGGAAAATCTGGAGACTCAGAAGTTTAGATTATCTTCCGACGGCTGGACTCGCTTTGAGAAAATATTTTTAATTGTATGTACATAGATTTGAAGTCTCACTGTTTCTGTTTTCTGTTGTTGTTTTTGTACTTATGTAAGGTTATTCTAATCGAATCTTTGAATTTTTCGAAAGGTTGGCTGAGAAACTGTTGCTTCAGCGGGGACTTTGAAATGAGACCAGGTCACGTTTCCACGTTGATTCTGAATCCGTGTTCCAAAAAAATTTGCTGCGTAGGTCTGGGAAGAAGGCTTTGGACGCTAGAATTCTCAAAAAAAAAGTTTCCTTCAAGCCAATTCAATACAGACTCGTTATCTGGTATGCTTCTAAAACTCATATTTCGACTCAAAAAAGTTTTTTAAACATGTTTATGAATTATTTTTCGTGACAAGGCAAAGGAGACCTATCTATCCAAACATGCACTAAATTGTTGATCTGAGGCCTTCCCTTAGCCAGTAGTCTCTAAAGTATCTCCCTTCCTTTTTTGTACGAACGCCTTGAATTTGGTTTTCTAGCGTCCAGTGCAGTAGGACTTTTTGGCCCTTTTTCTTGAGAAACAAATGATTTTTTGGGCCGCAACCTTTAACCTAAACTCTTGCGCATCAAGGGGATTTTCAGCCGACTTTCAAAAAGTTCCATAGTTTCGAGTAGAACAACCTCTCATGTCGTGCTTCGGGTTTTCAAATGTATCACTTTGTACTACCACGTTGTCTGTCATATTGTTTGAACTTAACCGCCAAGCGGGTACTGGAATGAACCTTTCCATTTTCCAACTGTTGATGCATTGCTTCTATCCGAAGTTGGGACTTCTTTCCGTGTCGACGACTCTTCCTCCCACTTCCATATCAACACTTTTGACGCCAATATCTGCTAATCGACGTGTGTCGCAATTACGGCTCTGTGCATGGAAGAGCATGTTGCAGCGGCGGCGTCGCCCCAAAATCGCGAGGGCAGGGACGGAGAACAGAATCAAGGTGATTATTGAAGCGGCCGCCGACCGGAGGTGCTTCGGTCACAATGCAGCGACTATTTTGGGTCTGCGAAAGCTTGGAAGTCTGTTCTTGACAAATTTTGAGCTTTATGCATCTTTCGGGTGCTCCCGGAAAACTTGAACAGAATTTCACAAACAAGGTCTTTGTACTATAGGCCTAAGAAATTTAAGAATTTTTTCAAAAAACTCTTGAATACTCGTCAAAAAAACCAGTGAATGTACAGAATATTAAAAAAAAAGCTTTCAAGTTCAAAAAAACCTACGAAAATAAATTTTTTCTTCGGAAGAACACTTCGTAGCTCATTCTATTTCCCTAATTGAAGTAACCTTTAAGATTATAATTAGAAAGATTCGCAGTTTAGGGCTTTGAAAATGTGTATTAAGATCATTAAAGAGCTTTTTGTTTCGGCCCATTTCCAGAAAACTTAGACCCATTCTTGAATTCTCGAAATTTGACTCATAATGTAAAATATAGATGGCTGTGATCAATTTACACTTCAAATCATTCAACTTTTAAGCCTGGACATATCCTCCCGCAGTCATGAAAAGGAAGCCTCAGAACATTTACAAGGATTTTTTTTTACAGTTTTTGGTCCATTCGAAGTTCCTTGCCAAGGTGTTTGAAGGCGCGAAAGTCTCGAAGAACTTAGAGAAGTAGTTGGAAAATGCATTCTTCCACCTTTTTTCGTCTGTGATGTTTTAAATACCTCAATTAAGAACTTGAGCAGACTCAGTGATTCGCGAACTTGATTAAGCTTTGTCTGAACAGCCTTCCTTGGAAGTTTGGTGTCAGGGGAGGTTCATTTTGCCTGCTAAGTTTAGTTCTTTCATCATTTCTTTCATTTGCAGCCTTTGAAAAAAAAAATAGTGCTTTGATAAGACGAGCCTCTCCGGAGTTTCTTCATTCCAGGGAACGTTCGACAGTTCAAAATCTAGACTCCAAAACGCTCCCGGTAGCCTGTCCGCTTTTCTCGTTATCAGAATCAAGTTCGGCGACGACATTGGCAATCTGAAGCGAAGACAACAAGGCCTCGTCGGTCCGTCGGTTCTTTCCTTGGCCGCGTGCGGAGAGCGAGAGCGTTTGAGTGCGTGAGCGGTTCCGAGGCAAAGTGGACACAACCCCCAACGTGGCATCGCTCGACGTGTCTGCACCCTCTTCCAGCCCGACTACCGCCGCTCCTTCCGAAGTCGAGCCAGCCGGAACTATCAAAGCAGTCGGAACGGCTTCAGAAATTGATGCTCTTGAATGGCTTCAGGGCAGTCAGAACCTTTCGGAAAGAATTCTGAATGTTCGACAAGAAAAATCCTTCTACCAAGCGCATAGGAGTCCTTTTCTGATTCTGATCAGAACCATCTACAGAGGTTGTTCTCACAAAGTTCAACCAAATTCGTATATCGTAGAGTCTGTTCAAGTTCTTAATTGAGGTATTTATCTATCTTCCGACCTAAGTTGACCTAAGTTCTCCAAAGCTTGACTAGTTTATGATACTGAGAAGTTGAGTCTCTACAAGTTCCTAGGTTTTGAGAGCAGACGATTCGAAATTCTATGCAATAACGCTGAGACAAGGGAATAGAGCCTTGAGAGAACCTCCCGCCCAAATTAGGAATTTGTAAAAGCACAAACTTTGAGGATCTCCAACAAGCAGTTCGGTTAGTGTTTGGTCCAGGATTACAGAAGTTTTTCATGTACAAAGGGAAATTATCTTTCTTGACGACGCTTGAAAATCTATAGTAGTGCGTGTAAATTATTTCACAACTGCTAGTTGGATTTTCAAGGTCGCAGGGAGCGAGTTCGACACTGAAAAGAACCCTCAACTTGAAGACCTCTATCGACTCTGCTTCCTCACTCAGAAAGCTGTACTGACCACTCGCAAGACTCAAGATTAGGATAGCAGGAGGGAGAGGGAGAGAGAAACCAGCAGGACTGTGATCAAAGTATTTCTCTCACCTAGCCGAGAAGCGAGTGAGCACAGCTGTTTTGGGGGATCTTTCCGAACGGAAACACTGGGTTTTCGGAACTTTTTTCAACGTTGCCTCAAGACAAAGATTAATGGAAGGTGCTCGTAAAGGTCTAACCGGAGCTGTAGTTCTTTTCGTTTCAAACTAGCGAGTTTAGAAAAGACAGCACAGAAAAACTCTGCCCTAAAAAACTCCCAAAGCAGATCAGTTTAGCGTTTTGAAGATTCAATTGTTGAGATTTTCGATGTAACGATGACTGAAAATAAGACTTCCCCAAAATACGGTCTCAACTCAAGATAATACAGTTTTAAGCTCATTAGATGCAGTTTTCCACACTGATTTGTAATTTGTGCTCAAAAATTACCGTTGAAATCTGAAAAAAGATTACGGACGCTCAAATTTGAAAAAAAAAACCGCCGCCGAATGAACACTGGAACGCTCTCTAGAGTTGAGAATAAGATTAACTTTAAAGTAACACCTTGCTTCAAACTTTTTTTCAAAAAAAAAAATCGTACTTTTCCGTGATCATCTACACCTACGATCCGAAAATGTGTTCAAGCGGAGAAACTGATATTCCCGACGTTGATCATGACTTTTTCCTCGAAGCGTTTGAAGAATTTTTTTCCGTGGGAAAAAAAACGAATTCCAATGGTCCCTATTGGAAAAGTCCCACTGTTAATTCAATCATCCCTTGCTCGGAAAGATTATTATTTCTCAGTGACATTTCACGGCACGACACTTTCGGAAACCCGGAGAGATGATATAAATTGATTCTCACGCACACTCATCGTCGAATAAGAAATGTCAGCGACCCTGTCTGGGCTTGCTGATCGACCTTTCCGAACGAAAATGCCACCGACGGAAGTACGATCGCAATATTGTTGAGCACTGCCTTTCCACGCTTTCCATTTCTCCCCTTGAACTCCGGCGCGCAAGTTTGGCTGCGTCATTTTTTATTTGTACTTTGCGTTGCGCCGTATCTTTTGACTCGCGCCGAAGTGGCTCGACTGGCCCTTCCTTCTAAATCCCTTATCAATTCAGGAAGTTGAAGAAAAAAAAATGAATACTTTCCTTAAAAGGTCTTCCATCTCGAAGAGTATTGTCCAAAGGCTGAATTGGAATCTGCAAGTCTTGAACTTTGCAGACTTTTACACAATGTTCGTATCTACCGTCTGAAAGGTTGCTTTCCTGGATTCTATGCAAGATAATTTAGTTTTTGTAGTACCTTTTTTTCAGGAATTAAGAAAAAGGTGCCGATTGAAACTTTCAGGATCCATCTAAAAGTTCAAAGTTAGTTTCTACCGATTTTCAGAAAAAATCCAATGAGTCTTCCGTTTTTTTTTTTTTGCTTCTTTTTATTGAAAACCAAAACTAGGGAAGCCTCCACAAGGCTCTCTGATGCGAGTTTTAGATGCCTTTCCGGAGTTCATTTGACTTTTCTTGAGAAATTTTCTCGGATTATTTGAGAAGGTCAGTAAAGAGAATTGAAGAGAAGCTGAACGAGCATCTTTCACTTCTTTAGGAACTGTTTGAAAACGTTTCTCTTCACCTCGTACAGATCTACCATAGTCTGAAAAGATCTGAACGTTTCTACATTACACAAATGAAGACGGCAGAACCGTCAGCTTGGAAAAATGCCTTCATATTGAGAAAGAACCTTGAAAAATGTCTTCTCATTAAGTTTCCCGAGATCAATACAAAGAGCGGATCTTTTCTGTTTGAGAGAAGAGAGTCTTTGATTGGCCGTCTTGAGTTCCAAAGTTAATCATTCTTTCCACTTTACAAGTTTATTTCGAAACTGATTACCATTTTTCTCTAGAAAATGTAGCCTAAAACATCGTTTGAACCCAATTAGTGTAGCAGAAACACTTATACGCTTTTTTCTTTTCGCATTGTTCCGCTTTCAGTTCATCTCTCCTTTCTTCATCTATCATTTATGTATAAAGACTGGCTCTCGTGGCGTTCTCACAAAAAAGACAGATAGGTGAGGAACGAAAACATCGTTCACGTGCGCTGATGATAAAGAATGGTTTGGTGGGCACTCTCCACCCGGGCAGTGCAGACCTAGTTCCACCTCTGCTTGCTATCCCAAGCTCCTGCAGCTCTTGATTCACATCCGAGGTGGCGTTGGAGGCTGTCCGAGATCGGACAGCGATGCCTGAGAGGAGACCAGCCTGGCTGCGGCAGCACCGCCGACGGAGAGACCTCCCCTCGGCGCCGCCCAGTTCTTCAATCGATTGGCGGCGGCGGCTGCTAGCTCTGCCGCAGCCGTCGCTGCTACCCCTCACTCCATCCCTCCGCGTTCCTCGGCTTTCCGAACCGTGGCCGCCGTTCTTCTTCTTCGCCACTTGTACAGGACGTCTTCTAAATTTTCAGACAGATACCTTCCTTGAATGGCAATTCCTTTTTCGGTCAATATTACCAGTTAAGAAGGTCTAAAAAGTCATGCCGCGTGACAGGAGTCGCCGAAATTCTCTCTATTCCCAGCAGATTTTTTCAGTAGAAGCAAGTTTAAGGCAGTCCGTTTTATTGGACTTATGGAATATCTACACTTAGAGCTTCTTCTTGAAGTTTTCTGAATCTTTAGTGATGCCAAACTTAGAGAGCAATTTTCGTTGACTCGAAAAAGACGTTTATCCCTATCTTGGATCGGTAAGTAGTCAAAAACTTGAAGATTTTAGAAATGAGGATCTACTAAAATCGTTTCTTGAGCATTCAACATATAGTAGGTTTGAAAAACTCAGTCACCGCGATAGGGTCAAGCCTCTTCCTTTTTGGCAGAGTTTAGTTCTTAAAATTGGCCTTTTTTGGGCGGTACTTTTTCGCAACCCTATAGAACAGCTTCAATCCTTAGAGACAGATTTTTTCAGTCCTATCTTAGTGGTGAATACATGATGAGTGCTAGTCTGTCAAAAAAGGACTGCGTAAGCAGAGTTGCCAGTTTTCAAGGCCCAAGAAAATTGTAATTCCTAAAAGATTCTCTTCGCTGGCGCCTGTTTACAGCAAGTCTTTCCCAGTAGATTATCTATTCAAAACAGTGATCCCACGTTACCTAGCAAAATTTTATTATTTCTCTACAGTTTTTCACTTCAATAAGCTAGGATCTAGTCGACCATTTAGAGTGACTGTAGGAAACTTCGAAGTCATTCAGTTTTGGTTTTGATCTAACACAACTAGAAAGTTTGGAAGAGTTCGCATCCCTTTTTCAAACCTAATTACAGTACCACTCAACAGGAAGAAGTACAAAACCTTCACTTAAACAGATTGCTTTTAGGAGAGCGGAAGCTCCTGAAGCCGTAATCTTCTGGAGAATAGCTAGTGCATTCAATAATGATGGACTTATTCTGTCCACCAGATAATCCACGCGAATTTGCAGACTTTTTTGCGGGGAGGAAAAAAGTTGTCCGAAAAAGTCCTGGCAGATGGCAGATGTTCAGGCAAGTCCGAATGTGTCAAGCGGCGCGAGAGTTCTTCGCTTACTGCTCGGACTTTTTAAGCGTCCCTTTGGAAGACGAAGCTGCGAAAGTGTTGATTTCTGTGAGCAGCGACGTCTCCTCGAACGCGGAAAGTGCGTCGGAGGCAACGCCGCCCCGCAGTTCCTATTAGAACTAGTTTGGTTAGACATTGCCGTATCGATGCCGAGAACCGCGTCTTCTCGCAGCCGACGCCAATTTCGAGCGCGCCCTAACTTGGAACTTTAGAATTTTTGAGAAAATCGTTTTGGTTAGCTTTTTTGGAAGCCTGTTCTTCATTTCGAATGCGCAAAATAAGACCTAGCGGCGCCGAAGATTTCGGATAACTTTATTCTATTAGGATAATATTTTATTTTAGAAAAGAAGGATATTCGTCTGGAGTATTCTTCGGAACTTTTAAGCGACTGAAAAAACCCTAGCCCGGCTTTTTGATCAAATTGTACAAGGTAAATCCTGATCAGAATCAAAGCTTTTCACTGGAAGATGCATCAGGCTCCTAAAGGCGCATCGAGGAATAAGTATGAAACATCTAGAACCACTTCTAACTGTTCATTCCCTTTTTCATAGCTCCAGCAAAACTCAGTAAAAAAGTCTTTCTTTGATGTTTCTTCAAAAAAACGCCAGCTCATCCATTCCGCCAATTTATGATCTACTGGCAAAATGAAAAGAAGCGAATTTTCATATAGGCTTTGTCGAATTTCTAACCCCCTTCATATGAATCTTTAGGTAACTCTATTTGAACTTCCATGTTTTAAAAAAAAATTTGCTGTTTGCATCTTTTGAACCTAGCCTCTGATCTTTTGAGCGACTCATCAAGGATTTTCGAAAAGACAAGCTATTACGAATGAGTTCTTTTATCATGCTTCCAAGTTCTTGGCAATACGTTCGAAGTCCGGCCGTTCTGGAGGAGTGCCAAGCCGAGCCGAAGAGGGAGTAGGTCAGTCCGGTGCGGTGGGCGGCGTCGACGGAGCCTGGTGCTTGTACGAAGGCAGAGGAGACGGTCGACGCACGCGCCGCGGCCCCTCTCCCTGCTCTGCCGCCTGCATCCCATGCCTAGTCGTTGTTGTTGTTAGTCGCGTACGCCGTCTTTTTGTTTCGGCTGCAACTTCCTCGCGGAAAGCTTGACCTCCTTCGCATTTTTCTAACTCATTCCAATAATCTCTCCTTTTTTCCACAGCGTCCACTTAAATAAACGCTCGTCTCTTTCACAAAAAGCAAGTTTTGGGCCCGACTGTGCTCCTTCAAACTCTAACTTTCCAAGTTTTTTTATTCATTCTCTTTTTTTTTTGAAGTTTGGTTTTCAAATAATTTGGATACTCATCGAAAATTATGAAACTTTTTCGAGCTTCGCATAGTATTCCTTTTCTTGATCTTTGTGATGAAGAACTTCCTGAATCCTGGTCCTGTCTACATTCTCCTGAAGTTAGAGCTCTTCTATATAGTAACTATTTACTATCGCAGAAGTTTATTTATTTTTTTTACAAAAACTTCAATGATTTTTGACCTGGCTCTCAGCTATCAACTTCTTTTCGCGTCATAGTTTAATCTTTATTGCATTTTTCGAGAGCTATAGAACTTTTTGAGCATGAAGAGGTATCACAAACTAACAGAAACGCACGAATGTCGACTTTCATATTATTTTTTCTCGAAGTTAACTTAAAGAAAATAGAAATCGGTTGATCACGCGCCGATGCAGAAAACCTATCACCCCGCGATTCGCGCCTCTTTGGTTTGGACCTTGGCACTTCACTGTGCAGATGGCGCAAAGACGATGCTCTCATCGTTTATCGTCCGTTGTCTTCCCTGTGTTGGGCGTTTTCCTTTTGTTTATACTCATATTACCACTTTTTTCGCCATTTGGAGCATCCGCGTACAGTCGCACATGTTGCCGGCTCGCGTTTTTTTCTCCACGCGATAAACAAATCCTAACAAAAAAATAAGACAACAATACGTAAAAGAAAACCCGAGATTTAAGATACTTCAATTTGTTAGATTTTCATTTTCAAAAGCACTTTATAGAATTTTGATAATGCGAACAGAAAAGATTACTAAAAAACCATCCACTACAAAACTGAAGATCTATATCTCGCGCCTTGTTTTGCTTTCGTTTATTTAGTTTTTTTTTCCACATAAGTTGATACGTTTCCGTCGTCTTCGAATTATTGACCCTGTTTTGTTTTTAAATCCTCGTGTCTTTCAGGATGGCTGCGGCCGTCGGTTTCGACGCTGCTGAGCAGAAATTTGTCGTCGTTGAAGACGAAGCGATTTTGGATGGATTGGAAGAAGGTTCACAAACTATTTTCCGCAATATTCATGTAAGAATATTAAGGTTCCACACTTGATCACAATGGTCATTCACTGACGCTACTGCAATTGTGTACTGATGCGGACGAAGCACGCAACGCTTGCGAAGAGAAGGCAGCTACCATGACGAATGTACGAGGAACGTTTGAGATCGAAAAAAAAGTTTTTCATTTCAGATCAATGGTCTCGGCCTGACGCAGATCACTTACGATGATGATCCGAGCCACTCTTCTGTGGACGGCTCAATGGAAGAGACGCATCTGGAAACAGAGAGTGTCAACGAAGATGGCTCTATCGCGCAAGACACCTCTGCAGACCCCGTGTTGGACCCAAAAAGCTCTGCGCCGAACAATGGTCTTTTGAGCCTGCTTGCCGACTTTCGTAAGTGCATCAAAACCTCTTTGTGAATCAATGCCTTATTTTCAGAACAACAAATAGACGATAACGCGAAAAACGTGCAAGATATGGTGGTGTTGATGATGAACGATATAAACACCGACATGGAGAGAATTCATCAGAGACAAGCCTCGCTTCGCAACTTTTTCATCGAACGCTTCGGAATGGGTGGAGACGGACGCCTCGCTGAACCCTTTGCGAGTGAGTGATTGTTCCAACGATTCTTTTCTGTGAACTTATAGATAAGATAAGAACGCCGATGAGTTGCAACAGGAACTGTTGTTATTGTTTTCTTCTCAAAAAAAAAAACTGGTTGCAGGCGACCTTGCCGCAAGCCGCGAAAGGTTGTTCAACGTTGGCACAACGATGGCGGCTAGGACGATGAATCGCGTCGAAAGGGCCATGACCAGTTACTTCGATGAAGCGGAGAGAGCCTGCCGCAAAAGACAAATGAGCTCCGTAAATTTGGTTCGCAACTCGAAACGCTCGAGGCTCGATGATGACGACGACTTTGAAGAAGATGAAGAGGCCCTTACTCGCCGCACCAATAACAACGGTATCGGCAGGGCATGTGATGGTGCGTTCATTTCATTACCGCACCTTTACTAATAGATAAAACAATAGAACACTCCTGTGAAATTGATCCTTTCGTTTTTCTTATGTTATATAGCATTTTGAAAACGCACATGAAACTGCGAACGGCTCTGTCGCTCGCTCGCTTTTCTTTTTACCTTCTAAAACTCACAAAAACTTATCACTATACCAACTGATTTGAATTTGTTATTTCATGAAACGAATAAAGAAAGTTGCTCAAATTTTTGAAATTAATTGTCCCTCTATCTCCTTCTCTAACCACTTAAACTTTGATAGAAAAAAAAAACTCACAGACGATTTTTTCAGTGTTAACCTACCCGTACATATCGAAGGAGATGGAGGAGCGGATCCACAGAACTTCAAATGGAAGTGCTTCGATTTACGCCCAAAAGTTGGGCCGAGAGGTGTTCGCAGATTCACTCGATTTGTATTTCAAGGTTTTTATTTAATTACCAAACATTGATTCGAATGGAAAACTTCCAGGACCAAGATCCGAAGCGTCGCCAGTGGCTGCACGAGGCCGTCGACTTCAGATTCCCTTCTGAGGACAAACCGGCCCAGCTTCTCAAGTGGAAGAACTGTTCCTATGCCATTAACAAGAACATGCGAATTTCTGTGGGCCACAAGCGTTCTCCCAATAGTTCCGAAGAGCCTCTCAGGGACATTGATGAAAACCAAGGTTCGATTTTTGACCAAATCGGCCTGAGAAACTTGAAAATCTTCCTGAAATGGTGGGAATTTTTCTTTTTTCAAAAGCGGTTTTACATTTTACTCGCTTCTTCTCACTTATTTTCGGCGGGGGATTGTTTCTCAACTCCTTTATTAGTTTTGGTTTCAAAAATTTGCGAACTTGGTTAAAAAAAAGTGTAGCCATTCTTGAAAAACATATTATTGATTTGTTCAATCGAAAAAAGAGAATGTTCGAAATTTTCCAAAAAAACGTGTTTTTTTTTCAGCTCCAACCTCGCTTGGCATCAAGTTCATCTATCCGCAAGTGACTCCCGAGTACGAGAAAGAGTGTTACTCGAAGAGCAAGAAAGACCCCAACAAGTACGCGGAAATCATGGCGCTGCGTCTGTTCAGCGACTGCCTCGACCTGTTCTTCAAGGACCAGGTTCTCAGTCATTTTCCGTTCTAATGAAAATGTCTCTTTTAGGACCAAAAACGCAAAGATTGGCTCCGCGAATGCGTCGACAAACGTTTCTCGCATCCTGATGAGGACAAGCAGAAGAAAGACCAGCGCTGGAAGAACTGCGCCGTTGCCTGCAACAGGAACCGGTGAGAGGAAGGAAATCTGAACCGTGGATAAACTTGGAAATCTTCAGAACAAAGGTCATCGGTGATGACGGACACGAGAAGGAGTTCCCTTACTTCCCGAGAGAGTTTGAAGAAGATTTCTTCCGAAAGAGCAACGGCATCCCCTCGCAATACATCGAGTTGATGTACAAGAAACTCTTCCCCAGCACCCAGCACATGTATCTCAAGGTTCGTTTTCATGTGCATATTTTTTGGGTTTCTGTTTTTTCTATGTTTTGTGATTTCTGTAGGAAAATGCAATCTTTTTCTGCCTTTTTTCCGAAATTTTGTAAATTGATTCTTTTTAAAAAAACCAAAATTAAAGTGAATTAAATTAATATCGCATTTACGGAAATGGAAGCTCTGTGTCTACTGCAAAAATCATAGAAATCGCTTTTCTTTTTTCAAAAAAGTTTTATGAGATGTTTCGAATTTTTTAATTCCATTTTTCTTCTAATCTCTTACCCTAATCGACGAGTTATTTTCTACTTTAGTGCACAAGTTCAAAAAAGCTTCAATTCTTCTCAAGCCAAATATCGTTCTCAATCTGGATTCCAGGACCAAGATTTGGGAAAACGCAACTGGCTTCACCAATGCCTGGAGAAAAGATTCCCGAGTCGAGACAAGGCCGAACACGCGGCCAAGTGGAAGTCGTGCACTAACGCCATCGCCAAGCTTCTTCATAACGGAGGTCAAAATTTGGCTTTTTTTCTTTAAAGTTTGTTTTGCAAATAAAACAAAAGTCGAACTAAATCTATTATAGTGTTGAAAATGATCAAAAGTATACAGAAAGAGAGAACTCTATGAGCTTTGGTTTCGATTTTTTTTTTCGATTCAGCTTTTTTCTTTCACATTAATTATATAGTTGAATCTACTTCAGTAGTTTTTTTTACTGGTCTATGCGACTTTTTCCCAGAACTTGGCTGGACTCTGCTCAATCGCATTTTCCAGGATCGTCGTCCGTTACCACGACGCCAGTAGCTCCTCCAGTACAGCCCAGCAGAAGATCTGAACCAGCCCCCATCAAAGAAAAGACTCCGCTCAAAGAGCTTCCAATTGTGAAAGAGCCTCCGCCGCGTTTCGACCGTCGCAGTGCGTTGGAGCGCGTTCGCGAAACGAGCGAGGCTTCGAAGACACCGCAGACCAACGCCAGTCGGACTGGCGGCCCAAGTCTTCGCTCGGACGACAACGCCAACAAACGCGAGAGCGTTCGACTCAACAATCAGAAAATGAAGAAAGAGAAAGGTTCGTTATTCTTTTTGCTTTTCAAAATAGCTTCTGAAGTGTGGGATTTCTGCGAACTTTTACGAACGAAATCTCAGTTTCAGAATCATTCGTTTCCTATCCTTACGTAACGGAAGAGGAGGAGATCGAGATCCTCGAGAAGTGCAACGAAAATCCTCAAGTCTACGCCCGCGAGCTGGGCAAGCTCCTCTTCAAAGACACGATCAAGTTGTACTACAAGGTTCGTTTAGATTCTCTCATGGAAGAGTCCAAACGTGGTCGAAATCGAAGCGGTCCCAAAATTCAATCATTTTTTGAGTTCAAAAATTTGCTTAGGGCTGAAGATGGCCATCAAAAGCTTGGGAACGACGTTTTTTTGATTTTTGAAGCCTTAATTTTTTTAAATAGAGTTATTTGGCATCAGGGTGATTATGAGTTGAGAAGCTAGTTAGTTGGTTAGTAAGGCTGGCTGGTAGGAAGGCTCCAAGATGTATGGAAAAATGGGTTCCAAAGCAAGCCCGTCATTTTGCAGGACCAAGATCCAGACCGTCGCGGTTGGATGCGCGAGATCGTCGACTTCCGTTTCCCTTCGAAGAATGCGATGCTCCAGAAACAAAAGTGGAAGAATGTGAGCGCCGCGATCAACCGCAACATGACCGCCGCCTTCAACGGCCGCAAGTCCACCAGCAGCACCCGATAATTCTTCTTTCTCATTCATTTATTTTACGTGTTTGACTTTGCTCTCTCATCTCTGCTGTCATTCATTTTTTTTCTCATATTCAGAGGGTTCTTTTCATAACGCATTCTTTCAATTTTTTCTCACTTTTCACATTGGAGCGACAATCTGTTCTCTTCAGTCTCTTTCTATCCGTCCAGAAACCTTTTCTCAACTGTTCAAAAGAGAGAAGACGATATTCGAGACAGATAACCGTTCCCAGTTTTGTTTTAGGTGCTTTCAAACACCACAGCTAGCTTTCTTCTTTAAAAAATTACTTTCTTCTTTTTTTTTTCAAGAAACGAAACTGCGGCGGGTTGTATCACCTTCTTGAGCTTGGGTTTTTGTTTCGTATAGTTTGGAGTAGATTTTTGCTTGTTTCTTCTTGAACGGTTAATAACTTGATTGAAAGATCATACCAGCTCTTTCCTGTTTCGTTTTATTCCTCGCACCAAGTCATTATAACGATCTATATCTCTCCAAATGACTTTCAGTTCCATTCCACTCTTTGCTTTACCCTTTCATCGTCATTTGGTGCAAAAGCTTTCATCAATCCGTTTCTTTTTTTTTAAACTGTAAACACTGCCTCGTTGTGATCCATTCCTATGGATATCTGTTTCCGTTGTTATTTTGTTACTTTCACCAATTCCACGTAATAAGTGAATATTATATTTACTATTGGTAACAACCATGAGGTCAAAAAAGTTTTAGAATGATAAAAAACAATGTGAACCTAAATCCAAACAGCCTTTCTGACGTTTTCGGCAATTTTTCGGTTTCAGCGAAGCCGTCGTAGTTCGCGTTGGAGAATTTGACTGGCTGGCATTCAGTTCCGACCTGAGACTAGGAAATTTTTCAATGAAACTTTTTGAAATCAAGTAACTAGCGAAAAAAGAGAAAACCGGAAAATCACTAGGTCCGTTTTTCGCGGTTCTTTCAGAAACCTCACTTATTTGATTATGAAAATGAGATCAGAAAAATTAGCTCACCAAGATGTAGCCCAACTGGCAGAGACACCTGTACCCTTCATCTGAAGCCACATTGATACATTCTTGGAAGTTTCCTAGAATGGAATAGAGTGATTTTTCCATATTGATACAAAGAAAACTTCGACAAAGGTTCATTTTGGTACACGGATCGTGGTGGACGCATTGATTGACGTCGCTCCGATAGATTTGAGCCGTGTTCTCCAAATTATGAGTTAGAAACAACATAATTGGGATTAATGCTCACTGGACATCCGCAACTGATATTGAACTTGTTTTGCCGCAAGTTCATCAGAAAGTCGTTCTCGATAGGCTGAAAAATGGTTTTCTTTTTCAAATCAGTTCAAAGCAGCTTTCTGAGTTCACAGGTAAATCGAGAAGGTGCCATAATGTGTCCAACGTGAGACCTCAGGCATACCTTTTAGCTATATCTGAGCCATCTCGGAGGTACTTCAGAGTCTCTCTCTCAAGATTCTCTCACTTTGCTCAAAATTCTCCGAGGTATACTCGAGGTACCATCGTCAGACTTCAGAGCCTGCGATATTCCTCAGAAGGTCTCGCGATACCCTCTCTCGATTCGCCTATGTTGTTCAACAGTTCAGAAGTCGGTGATGACTAAACATTTTACTCCGAAAAAAGGCTCTTTGAAACTAAACTTTCATTAATTTCGCCAATACTCCAACTTTCACAGAGCTTGGAAATCAAGGACTCTCATTAAGTTCATTAAATGGTTGTGTGACCACAAACCTACATGAAAATAACGTAAAGAATTCTTTTTTTGAAGGCTAAATAGTCAGGAATGACGTTTTCACAATGAGAAAGAATCTATGGCTTTAGACCATTTTAATACATTCGTGTGCTCTAAAAAAAACTGACAACCTGTTGTAACTGAATAATCTAACCTTTACACTACAGGAATCCTTGTTCGCGCATTTGTTCAAACGACAAAAATTCTGATAGCCTGTTGAGTTTTGAACTACATCGGGTATGCCGCGACAGCACGGATCCGGGCAGAAACTGAAAAAAAAAATCATCTTTTCTCCAACTTCGAACTCTATGAAAATTCAAAGTTCAAACAAGGTTTATGTGGCTTCAAACGTTAAAAAAAGTTAAGCAAGGCTTCAGTCATTGTAGTGGAGAAATCAAGGTGTGAAGCCATTCTACACGCAATAAGAGTTCTTCAGTTCCAGCTAAATTGATGATTTAGAGTTGAGACTTTTCAAGAGAAACTCCTGTATCGGAGCTTGGCGGAAATATAGAAAAACGACACATTTCATAACTCTAGTTGAGCTGATTACCTTAAGGTGTGACTTAGGTATGTCTGCGCCAACTTCAAAAACTTCCTTTTTTTTTTCAAACATTAAGTTTTCATCGAAAAACAAAAAAATTTGATTCCCGTTTTTTTCGACTTTTCTTCTCTAGAACTTGTTTTTGATCGAACCTTTCGGTAGCGCACTCGTAGGGACGGTGGATGAATTCGTCGATGGCCACCAAGGAATAAAACGATTTTCCCATCCAGTTCTGAACCACACATCGGTAGAGCAGATGGTTATTCCAAACTAACGTGAGTCCGGCCACCTTTCTCTGGTATACGGTAGCGACAGTACGGTAACTGCTCAAAAGCAGAAATCCGAGAGTTCGTCATGTAGCACAGAACCTATTATTTGAATAATAAGGAGGAGGAGAAACAGAGAATTTTTCAAAACGTGAAAAAGTTCTTTATTAGAGCCTCAAACTTGCTCCAAACGATAAATTTTATTAGCATAGGTAAAAAAATTACCTTTGAGGGTCCATAGAAGGAGTTAAAAAGCTACTGCGAAAAGCTACAGAACTGATAAGAAAAACGTTTTTTTTTAATACTGTGTATACTGTAGTTTAGTTGCTTGCGGCATCTTTTTTTTTAATGGATGTGAAAAAGATGCAAAAAGTGGAATGAAAGACCTGTTCGAGAGCCTCAGAAGATCTTATTTTGAAAAAAGCTTTTCCATCTGGCCCGAAAGTGAAAAATTTTTCTTGTGTTTTAAAAATATTCCTATTACTTTCTAATGGGCACGCTAATAAAAATGGAACCTGGGTGGCGGAAAGCATGTAAGACATCAAATTACTATTGATCTTCAAAGAAAGCGAAGCTTCACTGGAATAAATGTTCATAGAACCATTTTTCTTCCTAATTTAACTCAAGAAGCACATCGTCATGGAGAATCCAGGGCTCCGTGGTGTTGATCATGCCGATGACAGAGTCCAGACACTTTTCCAGACCTGCCAAGCATTTCCCGAGCTCCAAATCAAAGTCTTCTAGGGGCTCAGGAAAAATATGCTCGAATCTGGAAAAAAAAATGGAGACAAGATAATCGATAAGGAGTTTGCATGAAGCTTGAAAAGCTTCGAAATTTAATCCTGACAAAAACCCTCGACGAAAATTTTAAATCCTTTGAAAGTAGACTGAAACCCTCTCTGATGTTAGATATGTGATAAGAATGAAAAATGTAAATTCTGGAATTCTCAAACTGCAAAACTTCTAATTTTTGAGGGCGGCAGCTTCGAAGCTCGCTGTTTTTCATTACTCTGCAAAAAAACTGTCTCGAAAAGTATGGATTTTTTGTTGGTTCTTAAAAGCTCTCAATATTCGGGTTGAGAGAATCTAAGATTATTTCAGCCGATTTTTTGAGACTTCAAATTTTCAGGTTCTTCTGAAAAACTACTCCCCTGACCGGCTCATCATGCTCCATATTCATTTTTTTGAGCTAGACAAGTTAGAAATCAGTGAAAATTCCAACAGAGCCCTTGAAAAGAAAAGAAAAAGCCACGTCGTGTTTATTTCCATCTTTGTTGCGATTCGAAAAAACGAACTCGACACATGGTTCGCCATCAAAAATTACTATCAAAATTTGACCTCCCCGATGTTAAATCACTAACTTTAACGGAAACGAACCCTTTTTCATCAACGGACCAAGGAACAATCCGCTTGAAAACGCGAAAATACATTGCCAGAATACCGATTTTCACCCGAATGACGTCGGCGTGTTCATCCTGTACAGCCCGAGTCCACTCGCTGATTATCAAAAAAACTTATATAAAACTAAAAAAATTCTTTTTTTAGAGTGGTTAAGAGACGCAGAGAAAGCATACATGACCTCAAAAAATTTTCGACACGAATATTTTTGAAAAATAAACCTTCAAAAACCCCAGCGAGGCCTTTTGAACTATTTATTTTGATTTAAATGGAAAATATTTTACTCGATGATTGTCTGCTCGAAGTCGTCGTTGAAAGAAAGCAGCAATTTCTGAGTTTCTTCTTCATCTTCAGCGGCGTCGGCGAAGCGGCAAATTAATACGAAACCAAGTATGAACCACGTTTTTGAACATCATAATGGTCACGTTATTTAGAAATGAACTTCGAAGTCTCAATTTACTCAAAAAATTATTATTGTTTGAGTTTCAAAAATTGCGTTAACGGACTTCTGGCTTTTCAGAATCTTACGAGGCTACCAAAAAAAGCTTGAGAAAAAAAGTTTTCAGACGTCGAAACATTTGTTAATATTAGATTCTTTTTTTAACCAATATTTCCCGTATGAATCAAGCGAATTAAGCAGAAAAAAAGTTTAATTCATAAAACCCGTAAAAAGAAACCAGTTAACAATGAGAATCAGAATTTCGGGCTAGTCGTCACAGATGTCCATAGGTTGATCCTCAGGTTCTGGTTCTTCTGGAGGGATTTTATTTTTCTCGAGTGGTGGAAGCTTCAAAGCCGTTCGGATCTGAGAAAAAAAAAACGATTTTATTCACACAACAATCAATAACTTTAAAAGTTTTGGGTGATTTCGGAAATAAAGCGCTTCAAATGTACTGAATTGGTCAGAAAAGCATCGAAAAACTATCGAAAAAACAAACACAACGCTTCAAGCCATTCCAAGTACGACCGCGAGGGTCTGACGAACTACGTGTGATTGACTTCGAAAATGAAAAACAAAAAATTGAAGGGAAACTTTGCCTTTTTAAATGAATATTCTTCCAGAAATTTGTTTTCAGTGGCTATAAATAGCTTTAACTCCAACTTCTGTATATTTCGAAGAAGAATTAACCTTGGAATCAATAACATGTTCCAGGTCCTCGCAAGCCCATTCCTTTTCGAGTTCATAGCGACAGCTATTCATCACTTGCTTGAAACTAAAAAAAAGTTCTTTTTTTTTCCGAAAAATCGAATTTAAAGTTTACTTGTCTTTGAAGTTCATAATCCTGTCGACTTCTCGTTTCATATCTTCTCTTGTAGCTTTCGATGGCAGGTTTCTCAATCGAATCGACACATTTTCGGCCAGTTGCTTCTGTAAAAAATATTTCCATACATTTGTAAATTTTTCGCTGGATCCTTTCTGAAGAAGAATAGAACGTACAATGATACCTCCCAGGCTTTGATGGGCTCCTGCTCACTGAGGTTTCTGATCGCCTGCCTGCGCACTTTGTCGTAATTGCCTTCTTTTTTGATCGCCATGTTCACACTTTTCATAATATCTTCTTTTGATGGAACCTCCTCCATTTTCTGAACCACAAAGCGTAAAAGTGATTTAAAAAATAATAAAAAAAAACCCTAAAAACGATAAGATTTCAAATTACTATTAATTATTGCCCAATCTTCACAAGGAGGGCACCAAAATGAAAGAAAATTCTTGATACGGAAACTTTATTCATTGTTAAATTGAATTTATTAAAAAAATTTTAGAATTTCGAGCCCTTTTACCTATTGTTTGTGTTTTGGGGACATCGAATAACGGGACAGAACAGCTGATTCTAATGAAAGCATCATACAAAAAATCAAAGCGAGCAGGTGCTTAGAAATTTGATGAAACGCTGTCGCGTGCAAATGTGAAAGCTATAGAAAAAAAAACGACAAACATCATGAACTTAACGACATTTTTTGAACTTTATTGTGAGAAAGAAAATAAAAAAGAAACTGTCATGAGAAATTATAAGCCGTGTTCAAAGTAATTTCCGGGAAATGGTCTCTAAATCTCCAAAATTTAGTTCTACTTTTCTTTCTCTGACGGCTATTTTGGATTTTTCGGAGTCACTTTGAACACGGCAATAACTATTAAAAACTACTTTCCATTTTTGCTTTGAACAACAAAAATACACAGCAGAAGATCTAGAAATTTTCGATAAAAACCTTCCCGCTTCCAATAATATTACGTTCATCGTTCAAAAATCATTTGAACAACATTGAGCAAGAAACAAAAAAATTTCAAAGTTCCAAAAAAATGGAAAAAAACAAAAATTAGAAAAAGGTATAGGGGAAGAACGCGCTATCGAACTTTTTTTCAAATCGAAAAATAACGCGGGAGAAAAAAATTTTTTTTATTTTTTTGTTTGTTTGTTTTTTTCTCAAATACTTGCTTTTTTTATTTTTTTGTAACTATTTTTCATTAATATTTCAAGTTACTGGTGTGTGATAAATAGCCCATTAAGAAGTTCTTATCATTTTATTTGACTTTTTACCCTCTCGCATGTTTTATTTTTATTTTTATATGAAATCAAATTTCTTTCAGGAAATACAGCATTTTTGATTTCATTTTTGTGAAATGAAAATTTGAGATCATATAAAAAGAGGAAGATGGAAAACAGGCCTCAAGTGATTCTCTAAATGCTTTCGGAAATTTTTTCGAGATTTGTTTTCTCCTAACTCAGATTTTTTCTTCATTGTCTTGGTTTCATTTTCTGATTGCTTACTCCTTTTGTTCTACTCTTTACTTTAATAATTTCTTTTAAACATAAACTATTATAAAAAAATACTTCTATGAGAAATTCTACATGAATATATATTAGACAAAAATAAATTCAATACATTTGGTTCATTCAATAAAAAGCTATTTGGAATTTTTCTGTTCTATTTAAACTTTTAGTTCTTTTCGGCAAAATTTTCCTCCACTCTCAACGTTAAGGTATGATAGGATTCTCTATGCGCAAGCAAGGATTTAAAATGTTCTACATGAAGATGATAGTGAGAGAAGAAGCGTGGATAGAGAAAGAGAGCTTCCATTGCACATTGATGCACTTCAAAGCGCAACGAATTCGAAAACAATATCGATAAAATGCATGGTAAAGCAGAAAGAAGCCGTATTCCTGAAGAAAAATAGCGGCTCGAGTGAACTATAGCGTTGACCACCGACTGACTGAGAGAGACAGAAGTGGAAGAGAGCAAAAAGAAGGACGAAACTAGCGCGATGCGGCCGCAGTGTCTCAGAAAGGATCAGGGCGACGATAGCAATGCGGAAAGAGTGTGGCAAAACAAGAGACTGCGCGTCGTCTCCGCAGAAGGTCCACTGTTTCGTCTCCTTCAGTTCGGCTGTTACCCATCGTCTACTCTCCGCTCTTCGCCACACTGCCTACTCTCTTGAAAATCAATTTGCATCGTTCGCCGTGGCGACTGCTGCGTTTCGACGAATCGCAACACGAGAAAACGCCCCCCTCCATCTATTATTTGCATTGCTCTAACTATTATCATTAAATCGATCGATGACGGAAGCCTAGGGAAGCATGAGAATTGCAAAGGACGCGTGAGAAATTTCCCTTAAGTGGCCTGCGAAACGACGCGGAACCGCGACTGCCGCATCATGTCTTGAATTCCTACCAATTATCTTCCCTTTTAAATTGCTCCGCATCTTATTATATCATCTCACTTTTTTTATTCTCACTCCTCTATCCATCGTTTTATCTTGATCTCAATGGATGAGTCATTTGTTTTTGTTTTGATACTTCGATCAGCTGCTTTTTGCAAAATTGACAAAATCATAACTGTGGGAAAAATTTTTTTAAAGCCCTTTTTTTATCATTCCTTTCTCTTTATTTTGCTCCTTATAGTGTGAAGGTTTTTTTGATACATAATTCCAATTTTTTGTTTGTTTTGAAACTTTGATCAGCTGCTCCTCAGTTCGGTTTTTTTTCGATATTTTATTGGTCCAAAAAAAAACGGTGGGAAATTTATTGAACATTTTTGTTATCATTCTAGCACATGCATAATTAATGAAGAACCCTCGTCAAATGATTTCAAGCTACTCATTAATTATTAAGGGGCTTCATTAAGGAAGTTAATTAACTTGACCGAACTTCTTCCTTATCAATTTTTTTCGACCTTTGAATGTTATCTTCCATTAGTTTTTGTCTTTCCTTCTTCCGTTTACTTCTTTGAATCAAAACAGACGTCTTATCATTCAACAAAAAAAAATTTCAAAGGCTTATATGATCATCTGTTAAGCTGGGTAATCCTTTTTTAACCTTGAACTTTCTGCCAAATGTTTACGTTTTTTTTTCAATGATTTATTTTTTTTCCAAGATTAAAAAAGCACTTTACACTGGTAGTTAAGCATTACATTGATATTTTGCGATTTTTCTCTCTCATTCAAGATATTTTAGTTGCGAGGAAAATTCTTAAAGAAGACCGGCTAATTAATAATGATTAAAGGATCACATTTCTGAGGGAAGAACGCGCCTGATTTTATTGATTTTCTCTTCTTTTCTCCCTCGCCAGCCGTTTTGATTAGCACTTGCCCGTTTTTTTTTCTTCTTTTTTCTCACATTCGTTTATTTACAAGAGAAAAGATTATTGTCTTTCTGATTTTTGCTCTTCCTCGTAAAATTTTAGCTCTTCTTTTTGTTCATTTTTTTTCTATGTGACATTGATTGATTTGAAGGTCCGAATCTCTGAGGGTGCAAAGATTCGTGTGGAACTTCACCTCAGAAAACAACTGCAATTTGTCACTTTTTCATTTTTCGAAAAGTGTCGTTTCCAAATAATGAGTTAGCTCCTTACGGGAAATGAGCTACCCAGAGTAAGTTTTCATTTTCATTTTTTTATGCGCCCTTTTTCCCATTTGTAAATTTAAAACGAGCCCTAAAAATTCATATTTTCTTTGAAAGTAGTTTTATTTGAGAAAAAAAAAATTACATAAGCTATTCGGGTTTTATAAGTCAGTGAAAAATGAGTTTCAAGATATTATGCCGCATTTGAGAGATTTTCGCTCTTGAAGAATCGATGTTTATAACCGTTTTTCCCTATTATAATCTTCAAGGAGTCAAAATACTTCAAATCTCTATTCTGATCTGAAGCTTTCATGACGGAGAGATATAAGAAAAACAAAAAAAATATTAATCAAATGAGAAAAAAAAAAGATAAAAAGGACACTACGTTTTTTTCATGACGCAACCTTCACCCAAAAAACTTGGCTGCAATTTTTTCTGGTTTCAAGCCTCATTTATTACTGACCTTTAAAAATTCCAGGGCTTCGAGCGAGATTTTCGTTTCTAAATGTGTTGTTTTAGAGAATTTCAATAGCTTTTTTTTGATAGGAATAAAACGAATTTGATTTTGGAGAGTTTCATAATATGCGTAGGTTCAGAGACGACGATGCTTGGTTGTCTTCATATGGAGCTTTCGAGGATTTCGCCAAGCCGGACAGTCCACCGCCCGGCGGCGGCTTGTACCATGATCCATCCCTCAGCGTGAGAATTCCGCCTTTTTCAAAAATGATCTTCCTCTAGAAAGTACTAACAAAATGTTTTGCCCTAGGTAACTCACAATTTTCTTGAAAAAAATGGTCTGATGATAACTTCTTTGCTTCCAGAATATCCCACTCAGCGACGACCTGGCGCCGTCTCCAAGCCGCGACCTCCACGACCCCTTCAATAATAATTTGACGGTGCCGTTGGGAGAATATCAGGTAACATTTTGGCTTGTTTTTTCAATGTTTTATTCATTTTTGCCATTTTAACTGTGTCAATATGATTTGAGTACTTTTATTTTTTCTTTTTACTCCGATTTCGAATTTATAAATTTAGGGGAAGGTATCACATGTTTCTTTGACTTTCCGTTTTCTTTTCTTTTTTTTTGTTTTTTTGAAAACCTGGAAACTTTATCCCAGATCGAAATCGTTTATGAATATTGAAAGAAAATATCTCTTTAATCGAAACTTTTGGATTTTTTTCCTTTTCCTTAAGCTAATCTTTTTTTTTGCTTATCGTTCAAAGCTTTTTTTTGGTTTTTTTTGAATTTTACTTCTCCCTTGTTTTGCAAATGCCTAGGAAATCTTAAAAGTTGACCTAAACGAACGTTTCTTCCTCATTTTGATTTTTAAAAATCAATATACATAATTTTGAGCTTTTTTTTTATTATATAAGCTCAGTTTTTCATTTTCCTAGAGGACGAATATTGCTTTTTTCTAGTATGGCGGGGATCAGCTGCGTTCGCTGACGCCGGATGGCTACCAGCAAATGCAGACGTTGACCTCCCAGGGCTACGACCAACATATGCAGTCCGGCAGCAATATGATGATGCAGGTATGGATTCTCACCTGTTTCCATTTTTCTTTGCTTGAAAATATTGAATGGTTATTGTAATTCTGCTCTTTTTCAGGACTCGTACAACTCCTTCGAACAGCCGACGGTCGTCCAACAACAGGCCATGGATCCTTTTGCCGAACTCGACAGCTTGGACGCTCCTTCCACTTCGTACTATCATGCGAGTTTTCTCTATTTTATATCATTTGGGACACTTTATTTGATCTTCGAAGTGTTTTTTTATTTATTTACTTTATTTTTTTCTTTTTTTCTCTTTATATTTTTTCTCTCTGTTTACTTAGCCATCACATTTTGCTGCAGAACATCCTCTGAAGTTTTTGCAATCTATATTTTTTCAACTGGTTTTCTTTTCGTGCTTTTTTAAAAAGTTATATAGGAAAAAAATTAAATAGTATAATTGATTTTTTCGGCGTTTTTCTCGTTGACAGATACTTTTACTTTGCCATCTTATGGTTCAGATGTTTTCACATGAGCATAAGGAAAATAAATTTCATTATTTTGAAAAAGTGAGCTTGGAAATAGGATCACAATGAACCTCGGCGAACTTGAAAAAAATACTCAAAAAAAAGAAAGGACAAAAATTTGAAAAATTCTGTTGTTTCAGTTATAATTCAGAGTTTTCAGACGTCGTCGCCGTCGACGTCGCAACATCCCCCGCAGATGATCGGCGGCGGGATGCAGCCGCAGATGATGAATGTCAACGTCCAACAACACCAGAACATTCAGCTTCAACAGCATCAGATGATCAACAACCAGATGGTTTTTTTTATTTTGTTAAGAATTTTTCCTTGTTTATTTTCTGTGGACTGAAAAAAATGGGCCTTTTAGTGGTCAAATGAAAGTCTCTACTCCTATTTACTTTTTGCGATTCATAGCCTTTGAACTAAAAACTGGAAAATCACATGTATATACGGGAATTTTTATTCTTTTATCCTAAACTTCATCTTAAATTGGGCTTCTTTCTAGCCTTTTTGCTTCCTGGCTGATAATTTTTGTCAAATCCAAGTTTTTGATTGGAGTTTTTGCAGCCGTCGACGTCGTACGAAAATGTTCAGTCGCAGCCGCTCCAACATCAGCCACAGCACTCGCAGCAGGGTCACATGCAGTCTCAGCAAATGCAGCAGATCCAGCAGTCGCAGCCGGGACCTTCGACTTCCAACAACCGGAGGCCCAATCAATCCAGGACAGCCAACAACCGCAAAAAACAGAGTTCGTCCAATTTTTCAGTTCTTTTTAAGATTCTTAGTTTTTCTTGATGGGTTTTACTTTTTTTTTCATTCAAATTTTTGGTAATTGCTTTTTGTAATTTTTTTGTTTTTTCAACACTTTTTTTTTGGGTATTTACGAATTTCGTTCCTTTAAAATATTTTTTCTTGCCTTTTTTTAATCTTATTGTTTCAAAAATGAACTTGTTTCCAGATTCTGCAAACTCGGTTGGAGCTGTTCTGACGAAAGCGAATCGGTATCTACAAGAAAATACGGGTGCCGGTGTGCAGGAGGCGCGGTTAACACTGGAAGAGGCCAATCGAGTTCGTTTTTCCTTATTTTTTTTAATTTTTGCTCAGAAGCTTTCTTTTCCTTTTCTGAAATGTTTTCCACCCGTATCCTCCATGTTTTTGTCCTTTTTCACTATTTGCTATGTTTAAACCAATATTTCCAGACTGGAGAGATCCTAGCAAATTTGATGATGCTTCGGAAGCAACAAGAGGAGATGAAAATCGATCATTCTGCGGAAATAACTCGACTAGAAGCCGAATTTTCTGCGATTTTCGCGCGAAGCTTGCTGCTCAACACGTACGTTTTGATTATTCCTGCTGAAGAGATTAATTTATTTCCCAAAGAGTTGATTGAATCAATCTGTGATATTTTTCCATGATGTTAGGTTTCTTTAGAGTTCACAGTGGCCTTTACAGTGATTATTTTTTATCATTATTGAAAGAGGAATTTTTTAGGGATAGTGTGAACAAAGACGTGCTGACAGAAGTGCAGAAGCTTTCCGAACCGACGCCCCAACAGCAGCAGCAAATGCCGCAGATGATCCAGCTCCAGCAGCAGCCGATGCAACTCCAGCACGTGCAGCAAATGCAGCAGCCCATCCAGCTCCAGATGCAGCAGCAGCCCCAGCAAATGATGCAGCAACAGGCGCCGCCGCCGCCCCAAAAGCCCCTCCTGCCCGGAAAGCCGCCCAGCGAAAGTCCAAGAGCAACGCGCAGAATCAGAACAACGCCAACGTCATCGTCAGCACCACCACTGGTTCGTTTTTGGTCTGCGGATATTACGCTTTGCAAAAATTTGAAAATACGTACACAAAAGTGAGAATTTAGAAAAAATCAGCTATGGCTTTGGTTAAAAAAAAGCCAGAACTTCATTACCCGTCCGTTTTTGGTATCTGAAAACTTGTCCAGAGCTTTATCCTCGTTTTGAGAGAACTTGGAAAAAAAACAGCAAATCAAAAATAATGATATAGTACGAAAGCAAAAGGTAATGCTGAGAGAATATAACGTTTTATTTAAATATTTTTATCTTTGAAATATTCGTACTTCAATGTGAAGAAATAACCTAAGAAGTTAATCTCTGGATTTTTCAAAGTTTTAAACTGAAAATAATCAAAAGAAGTGTTGTTTCTTTTTTTAAATTTTTTTTTTCATCCTCTAGGATTATGAAAGTTTTCATTGCGAAAAAAGTTTTTCAGACGCGACAGGTTACCAGCCGAATGTGATTTATCAGACAACCTCCGGACAACAGGCGATTCCTTCAACGAGCACAGCGACGTCAGTTTTTTTTTTCAAATCCTTTTTTTTATAAAGCTGAAAGTTTTCCTCATTCTCCTTTTTTACTTCAAAATTCTCTATTTTCCTCTTGTTTTCCTTTTTTTGCTTTAAAAACTCTGGAAAAATCGAAAAAGCTTTTCTGTATGTTTTTTTTTGTCCATTTCTCGAGGTTAGTGGGTTATATAAAAACTATGTCTAATCCCGATAGTGCTTGCCTTGGAATGGCCTTGAACCGAAAATCTGGGCGAAAAACGCGCCGGCGCCACCTTCCGCGGCCTTCTTTCCTCGGACTCGTGCACTTTCTTCCCCTCTTTCTTTTCACTTTATGCGATCGCTTGTATAACCTGATCCTCCCGTGACGAGACGCCGAGAACACGATTTCACAGGGGAAACTATTTCTGTTGAGATTTGGGCGTTTCCGCCAAATATTATTCGGGGAATCGATGGACTGAAATGAGAGAATGAGGAAGGAAATATTGCAATGAAGGCAGGAATAGGCAAAATTGGTGAAATCACTTGAAGTTATTTCTCTCATTCAGTTAAATGAGCGGTCAGCAAAAGTCTGTAAGATCCCAATTTTCATTCATAACTTGATCAATATGACTTGCATTGAAAGACAATTTAGATTTCTATCTTTCAGTTTTTGAATCAAGGTTTAACAAAAAAATAATAAACATGGGTAAAAAAATCTTAAGAAAGATGCAGAATTCGAATATTTTTTTCGCGATTTCCGCACCATGAATAATGAAGAGGGGAAATTTTATATATTGAAAAAAACGTCTAAAAAAAGCTTAGTCAATGAAAAAAACTGTTGCAGTACAAGATGGTTCAATAATATCGATTTTCAGGTTCATCGAATACCAAGGCCAAGTGGTTCAGCAGACTCAACAATCGCAACAGGTTCAGCCGACTCAAGTCACTGCTCGGACTCATGTTTATCGTGGAGTACGTTTTTTTATTTTTTTTTTTTTGATTTATACTTTTATCTTTGAGAAGCTTTGAGACTTGGTAGAAATTTCCTAAACCCTTTTTTCTTTCAGCAAGCGGCAGTTTCGTTCTCTCAGAACGGCCAACAAATCCAACTTCAACATCAACCGACGCAGATCGTCCAAACCGCCACTCATCTCCAAATCCAGGCGAGCAACAACGCAGGAACACCACAGACGATCTACGTTCATGTAGATTATTTCAAAGCTTATCTGGAAACCAAGTTGTCATTTTAGGGAGCGCCAGGACAGAGCTTGGGCGATGTCGTTCGGCAACAACAACATCAGGTTTCTTTTTGAATTTTTCATTGGTCGAAAAGAATAAAAATAATTTTGGATCAGAGTTTTGCGGCATTTTTAGTGAGTCTTAGAAATTTGTGAAAAAGTTAAAAATGCTAAAGATATTGAGCCGTCGCTGGAATTTTTATTATATTTTTTCTTGTTGTATTTTTGAGAGCGAATTTTGGGTTCTAAAGGCAATCCAGCCGCCCATCTCTGATCTGGATCACTTTTTTTTTGCCCCGTCGCTTGAAAATCTAGTCTACTCATAGTTTCTTCATCAACCTTGTGTTCTTGAAGCAGCCTTACTTTTTTTTTCGTACCATCTGAGCTTAATTGAGAATTTTTGAACTATCGCGCGCTATCGAATACTCTCTTTTTTGCTTAGTCCTGTATTATGAATTTTATTCTAATTGGGCATGTTAAAGGTGGGTGAAAAGTTTGAGCCGTTCCCGAAAAAAATGCCAACTTTGGCTTATTTCTCTCGATGGCTCAAAGTTTTCATAATACTATCATGGTAGTCTCAATCCAAATGGCTCGGTAAATCCTAACCAATTTTCTTTTGTTGTATTGAGCTTTTTACCAAAGCAAGTGTGGCGTGCCAATCCAATTTACGTTCGCCGTCGTTTTGTGATGTTGATTTTTTAGTTGCGGTTCCAAAATGGATCCAAGAATCAGCCGGTGGCAACATCGTCGGCACAGAACACCTACATTCCGTCGCCGTCGCCAACGACGTCGCAGATGACATCACAAAGTCATTCACCGGCCCTACGACAACAGCTTCTTGGCTCGACGCCATCGCCTTCCTCCTCTACGATGTCTAGTCTCTCTCAGCAGCCGACCAATGGGACACCGGTCCTCATCGCCCAGCAACACCCGCAAGTCTACCAGCAGAACTCCTACCAACAGTCGCAGCCCCAACCACAGCCTGCGGTTCGGCGGATCGTCGGAACCGTCGCCACGACTTCCAACAGCGAGCCTCAGCCGCAGAGGATCGTGGTCAACGAAACGAACAACCACATCTTCCAAGGCTTCCCCACCGGCACAGTTCTCCAAGTTGTGTCGCGAGCAGCGCCTCAGATCGCCGCTCCACAACAGCCGCCTCCGCGAATGCAGCGACCTCCGATCCCTCCTCAGGCGGTGCTCGCTCCGGTTCCGCCACAACCTCTGCCACCTCCGCCGCCGCCCAAACAGGTGAATATGTTGTCTGTGTTTGTTGGGTCGTTTGGCAGTAGTATATCTGTTGTGGTTCGTCACTTATCAGTTGGTTTTCTGATGGTAGAAGAACAAATTCTGAGATATTCTGTATGCTAGATCATTTTTCGTGTTTTCGGTGTGCTTTATAGATAACTTTCGAAAAAAGTTAGATTTATCAGTCTCTGCAGTTTTTACAGGCTACCTCAGCTATCTAGTGATCTTTTCAAATTATCTTGTATAGTGATCTTTCATTCTCGTTTTCAGTAAATAAAAAAAACCTTTTTTAATGCCTCTCAAGATTTATTTCTCTTTATACATCTCTTCTTCCTTTTTTTCTTTCAATTTTTGCACAAAATGTATGTTATCTAAAGATCATTTTCCAGGTGATCATCATCGAGAAGCCCTCTTTGGAAGAACAGCAGAGAGCGATCGAAGAAAAGGTTGAGGAACGTCGGCAAAGGTGAGTTTTCTCAGAAAAATAAAAACGTTTTTCGCTTCTATGGATATTTATGTCACTGATAAAATTAAAAGTAATCTCAATTTTATCATGTTTATGACGTTATTTTTTTCCAGGTTGAGCGCATTCTTTGCCCAAAGTGCAGCTTCCTTGGAAAATCCGCAGACGGAAACACCATTTTCGGATATGCGAGACGTTCTTCAAAGGCTTTTGCCCTTCGCGTTGCATTCAGAGCCGGATTTGCGACAGGATGAGTTTGATGATTGTAAGTTTTCAATCAATTACGATGAAAAATAATTAGGACCTTACTAGAACATTTTGATGGAAACTTTTTTTTTTTCAGTTGATGACAATTACCTGAGAAAAAGTATCAATTTGTCGAACCAAGTGAGCGGAATGCGGCAGCGGCTTTGGAAAGTGATGCTCGACGAATCCATGGTACTTTTTGACCTTTCAATCATGTTTGATTCTCAAAAATTGCAGAAAACTTCGGAAAAGTCAGAAGAGAACATGTTGGCCCACCTCGAGTTTGAGTATGAAAAGCGAAGATTCGAGGAGGAGAAGACGCTGTTGAAAGAGAACCCTGAGGCCATTGGTAGGCTTTTCGCAAAAAATGGCTACAAAGGAGATTTTCAGCTAGTTTCGTTGTGAAAAGTGATGTACTCAACGCGGTTCAAAAAGGAATTCTCAAAGTCGAACCGACGACTCCGCCGAAGCCTGCCAGCAAGTCAACGAGTACGATTTCCGAAGATTTTTCTGATAAAAATTGTGGTTTGATTTTTCGAATATCATATGTAGGATATTTAGCCTTTTTTCTTGGTTGTTGGGATTTTAAACATTTCTTTGTCATAATTTAAACGATTTCTGAGGTTCAAAATGCTCTCGCAAAATTTGAAAAAATCCTTTCATACTTCATTCTAAATTCTCCCACTTTCAATTACTCGTTCTTTCACTCATTCATTTTCATTCAAGACGCGAAGAATATCTCGATGTTCCACAATCAGTTCGAATACCATCCGTTCGACGAAACGCCTCGGATATTTTCTCCGTACCGATCGCCCTCTCCGAAGCCGATTCACACTTCCGAGCCGTCAACCTCTTCTCGGGAAACATCTCCCTTCAGGTGTGTACTTGAACTGGATTTTTAAAAATTATGAAAAAGGAATTTCTTTTTTTGTTACTCAATTATTTTTTCAATTAACCTTCGATCATTTTTAAAAAGAGAAATAATAATTTTCTGCCTTTTTTCGAGAACCAAAAGTTAGACATAAATGCATGTTTTCTTTTTCTTGGTTTTATGATTTTTAAAACTTTTTTTAAATCATTATTTGAATGATTCGTGAGGTCCAAAAATGCTCTAGGCGCATGGAGATAGCTTTAAAGAATCCTTTCATACTTTATTCAAAACTCTTTATGAATGTTTTCTTACCATTCCAAATCTCCATTGCTCAGATCGCCCTCATCCAATCGGTCTTCTCTGCGCTCTCGTCAGAGCAGTCTATCATCGCTAGCACATTCGACTCCAGCGCCGCCGAAGAAACGAAAGATCTCCACTTCTCGCGACCTCAAGCCAACCGTGGAGAAGAGAGCTCTCGAAGAAAGACAGCCCAACTTTTTGTTGCACAAGGATTCAAGCAGAACTCCCGTGGTTCCTGTTCTGGCGGCTGCGACATCGCGTCCCAGCTTGGCCAAGACTCCTCTGAACGATGTGGAAAGGTTTCTATCCTCCATATTTCATCCCTTGAGCTTCACCTTCAGGAAACCGCTAAACCATCCCAAAGTGGCTCCAAAACAATCACCGGCTCTTCCTGCAAAGGCTCAAAGTTTGAAAGAAAATCAAAAGTTTGTATTTTGTGAAGGACACAATTTCGAAATCCTTTTTCAGAACCTCCAACTTTTCATCGGAAATCGCCTCTAACAAGCCTTCCAAGACAGTCTTCAGGGAAAATGAGAAGTTCGTTTACGTTGAAAAATCATCAATAATGGGAAAGAGACTTGATACAACGTTTTGGACTTTTAACAAAGGCAGATAGAAAAAACATTTATGCCCAATCATTGAAAGTTAATTGAGAATGCTTTGACTAATGACCCGAAAAAAAGATTTAATGTCAGTTCCTTATAAGATACCACGTATAGTAGGCATTAATAGAAATTATTTGATTATTTTAAGGCTTGTTGAGAACTGGAAAGATAATATTTTTCATTTTACAGGAAACCAGCGGTACCAACACCACCCGCGAAAACGCCACAAGCTCGGCAAAGGACTATCAGCAACTCTTCCAAATCGCGGCTTCAAGGACCTCAAGAAACACCGAAGATTATTCCTGAGAAGTTGCCAATGAACGCTGAAAACAGATTGGAAGTCGAATCTTCTGTTGGTCAACCTGAGAAGAAACAGTCTTTCGCCCAAGTCAAAGGTAAACAGCATCTTTCCTGCAATGCTTCAGGGAAATCTTTCAGAGGTTCCTGTCGCTCTCAAGACTCCACCAGTGCAAAATGTTCCCATTCGACAACGTCTGGCGTCGAATTCGGAAGAAAAGACCAAAACATCGCTTTCTATGCACAAAATGTCTTCTCGCGACATCGAATCGGATGGATCTGCGTCGCCGGAACTCGGGATGGACGATCCTTTGGACCTCCTCATCTCGGAACCCGTCAACAGCCGTTCTGCCCTCACTTCTCCACAAAAACCGAAAGAGGAGAAAAATATCAAACCGATTCCAAAGGTTGATTCGATCGCTTTTTTCATCAAGCAGTATTTATTATTTTCTCAGATCATAATCAAACCTATGAAACCGTTGGATAGAAACTCTGAAGAGAAGAAGACCATCGGCGACGTCATTCGCTGCCAAACTCCGGTTAGTTTTGAATTTCCTCGATTTATATTATTTTCAATTTTTCTAGGTGCAAAAGCCTGGAAACGCGGCGAAAATCGTGATATCGCTACCTGCCTCGGTGTTATCGGACAGTAAGCAGAAAAAGTTGGACCAACCGACTTCTTTGATGTTTTCCTCTCCGAAAATCATCATTCCAAAGATGGAACAAGCTGATAAGCCGGTTAGTCTTGAAAAATTGTCTTTGAAGCTTGAAATTGACTTTCCAGGCTCCTCGAAGGTTGAAGATCAAGTTTGGCGGCGAGCTCATAGCGCAGAAAGATATCTCGAAAGAGGGACTTTCGAAAGAAGAGGTTTTCATTTTTTCTTGTTCAAAATTTGAACAAAATAATTTTCTAGCCGGAGGTGGCAGAGCCGTTCGTTGAGAAGAGACACAAGCACAAGAAAGACAAGAAGAAGAAGAAGAAGTCCCACAAGCAGCACCGACGCGTCGGCGACAAGATCGAGAAAAGGAAAAAGAAGAAGAAGAAGCACAGGATGGAGAAGGAGAAACGCCAGGAATTATTGAAAAAGATTCCTGTCGCCGTGAAAACTGTCGAGAATCCTGTCGCCGTGGCTCCCTCAGAACAGCCAGTACTGCGAAGGAATGGCATCATCAACGAATCTGTAAGATCTCTGCTTCGAAAGTCTCAATACTTATTTGAACCCGAATTCCAGAAAGTCGTCGTCACGGCGGTTGATAACAAGTTCAAGATTCGCTTTCCTTCAAGCCTTGCCAAAGTGGCGAGCGCGTTGCCCAACCCACGGAAGAGGCCTCTTCCCAACGGCGAACATAGGGTATTTTCACTTTAAACTCCAATTTCTTCACTGTAGCATTTCAGAACCCATCCACTCTTCAAAAGCCGGCTACGATGAAGTTCAAAAAGCTGACGTTCCGATTTCGCCTTGGCCACGGAGCGGAGGAAGTTGCCACGAGAGTCGTCTACCCCGAAGATCTGTCGAAAGGAGATCCAAAAGTCAACCAGGCCAAGGAACCGAAAAAGTTTGAAGAGAAGAGAAAGGAGCCGTCTTCCGCTCCTGGGAGCTCAGAGAAGAAGAAAGAACGGCACATCGACATCAGCGATCTTCCATCAACATCAACGAAAATTGTGGAAAGACATCTCGTTCCGCCTATCCGAATAAGTAAAGTAGACAAGCCGCGTGAAGAAAAGAAGATGGATGCAGCGAGTCTGAACATCTCTCTGACGAGGTCTCCGACTACTTCTCACTTCCTCCCAAGCGAGAAGACTCCGAGGAAACAAAAATCGCCGATGCCGAAAAGACCGCCGCCGCTGCTGCCATGGATGCCCGTCGACAACACGACGCCGGTCAAACCAGTCATCGAGGACAACCTCAGCTTCTTGAAACAAGGCGGACTCGACCGGAAGCCCATCAAACTGGAACCGACCATCATCGCCGAGTTCACGGCGTCGTTGTCGTCCTTGCCTCCACGCAACGCCGCCATACCCAAACTGGAACCGCCGCCGGAGCAGCCGTCCTCGCCGCCTCTCCGAGCTTCTTCCTCCATGTCATTGTTCTTGGACGACGAACGAAGCAACGGCGGCATTCAATTCCCATTCTTGCGATCTCCGCCACCCGCCAACAAGGATCCTCTACCGGCTATTGAGTTTTCTGGTCAGTCGTAATCTTCGCTCCTCTAACTTAAGAACCCAAAAATCATTTGAAAAGAGCGTTAAAATTAAAATAACGATTCAAAATAATCTTAATTGGCACGAGAAAAGGGAGAAGTCTTAACCTTGAATCTTTATTCTCACCCACTTCTTCACTAGTCATGTGAATATCCTCAACTTTTCAGACGACGAAATGGAGGACATCCGACACAAAGAGTTGCACAAGGCGACGGACATCATGCGCGGAATCACCATGTCCAGTCTTCAATCTGGCACTTCCGAACCTTCGCTCAACAACCACGTCGCCTCGACGCCGACTCTGCCTTGGACTCGCTTCTAGGCTTCCAAAAGATCTTTGTTCCCGGTCCTTTCAACGCCTTTTCACTTCTCCCTCCGAGATTTTCTCTCCTCTTCCTGTGATCTTTCTCATTTCGGTGCGAAATTTAACAAGTTGCCTACTCGACCTCCCCACGAATTCATCTCAAATCCTTACAATTTGCTCAAAAGAACCGTTTGTATCGGTGTCTTCTTTAAAACAAAATGAGTTAGATTATTAGTTTTTTTTTATCATAAGTTTTATTTTTATAGTTAGTTACTTCAACTCGAAAAATCTTAAACATGGTGCTTGGCATTTCACGAGATATCAACATTTTTCATAAAACGCCTTTTGAAAATTTCTTATTCAAGTCGGTTGCAATTAAGTTTTTAAACAACTAGCATTTTAGACTATTCCTTCTTTTCAAATCCTGACTCCATCCGATGAGAATTATCTCATTTTCCTGCCTTTATTTACATCATTGACTTACACTGGAACTCAAACTTTCTTTCATCTATTCAAGTTTTTCATTCACTGTATAAAAGAGTCTCATGTTAATTGTGTTAGCGATAATCATTATTTTTTTTTATGATTTATTGCATTTTTCCTGTTTATATCTGATCTGGGTAGACCCCAATACTCGTTGGCTCACTTATTGACAAAATACTCCTCAACCTACCAAATCCTTCCAAAGTTTACAGCTCGCTAGTTCGAGCTTATTCAAAAGATATTGCGTGGAATACTTTTAAAAAGTCTCAGTTTGTACGATCAAATCTCTTTCTTCAAAATTTCACTTTTTATTGAATTTGTTATTGCCCTATGATAGAACTTCGCCCAGCTTGCTGTAATTTTAAAGTCTCGAGAAATCCCCAGTAGTCCAAATATGTGATAGGAAGTTGGCTTTCAATATTTATCGGCCTTTACACCCTGAAACTGTACTATGAACTTACTCACCCTTCTAATGCGAGTATAAATATTGTGCTCGGAAAGAAATCTCGTTTTTTTTTGTCTGTGTCTTTTTTTTCGTTTTGTAGATTTTCTTAAATTGTTCGAAAATTATTTTTTGACGGGTTCTTGTTGTTTGCACTTTTTGCTTTTATTTTGAAGCGGCAACTGTAAGCTTTTCTTGTGAAATATATTGTTCCAATGAATAGTTCTCTATTGATTTCGTTCGAATGCAAACATGTGAAAGAAAAAAATGTCTATGACCTTTTTCGTTCAAATGGGTTTTACTTATTCAAAAAAAGGGTAATTTTTTCAGCGTGGGCAATTCAGAAACTTATTTATCGGCTGTTATCGGTTAATAAAAAAGTCCAGAGGTTGTTTTCCCCCAAAAAAAAAGTCGGACAAGATCACTATCAAAAATTTTCTATCAGTGTTTCATTAAATATTTTTTAATGACAGCTCTGAAGCTGCAAAATTTACCGGAAGATCGAATACCTTTAAAGGATTAATAATAATAGTTTTCAAATTTATTGGAAAGTTGACTGCCATACAACTTTTTTTGTACGAATCAATTTGTTAAACAAATATATTCAGTGCGTTGAAAATAGTGAGCCAAAAAAGCTTGCCATGTTAATTAAGAAACGAAAATTGTTACGAAAAGCAAGAAAGTTGCTTCGGAACAATAAATATAACTATTTGAAGCGACTACTTTTCTGAAAACTATTTTAGATTATCGAATATCTTCCGTTTTTCCTATGAACATGCCAAAAAACGTAAGAGAAACAAAAACGACTTTTTAGCTTTTCAGAAAAAAAAATCGACATCTTTATTTAAAGGCGCAGCGGCAATGAGCAACGTGCTATCCTGCCACGCGTCCTCTCTCTAGCCCTTACAGTATGCCCACCACAGAAAACCTTATTTTTTATTATTTTCCTATCAATTTTTGCTTTATTTATACTATGTAACATGTAATACTGTGTTTTTTCACATCACTAAGGGCTTATATGGTCTTCGTAATCAGTTTTTTATTTAATACAAATTTAATTTCGATTTTCAGAACCTGGGAAATGTCGGAACAGACCGAGAGAGCGTTTTTAAAACAGCCGACCGTCAACCTTAACAATAAGGGACGCATCCTCAGCGGAATCAAGAAGGCTCCACGATACATCCGTGAGGTCGGACTTGGATTCAAAACCCCGCGAGAGGTAATTTTTTTTTAAATAAATTTTTCCGTTTACAAAAGGATAAAATTGAAGAGTAATCAATAATAATATTTTTTAAAAGGCTTCGATTCAAATTTATGGTTCGTAAAGTTTTCTTCAAGTTTTGATTTAAAAGTTTGTCAATATACTACTGAGCTTCATCGAGCATCTGAGCAACCTTTGTTAATTAATATTTTTTTCAACATCTAAACATCCATTAAAAAAACCTACCGAAATTTAAAAATAAAAATAATCCTTGTTTTTTTTTTCAAGTTTCTTACTTCAAAAAAATGTTAGTATCGTCTTTCAAGATGGCTTTATAATATTATGTAATTCAGTAAAATGTTGATTCTCACTTTTTTAATGAACTGAGCTGCTTTTTTTAACCAGTTAATATCGACGAAAATTATTATTATTATTGTTATTATTCTTAGGGTAATCAAATTATGCCGTTTTTTTAAAGTAACAATAGTGACGCGAAATTCAAATAATCGTCCGAAGGTGAATTAGATGACTAAATTTCATAGACTCAAAGATATTTAGCAGAAGTCACTTTAAAAAAAGCATAATTAGTAAAAAAATCAATCATTTTAATGATGAATTAGAAATAAATTTTTCTAATTTAGGCTATCGAGGGAACTTACATCGACAAGAAGTGCCCCTGGACCGGAAATGTCTCTATTCGCGGTCTTGTCCTCACCGGAGTCGTTCTCAAGAACAAAATGACTCGAACTGTTGTCGTCCGAAGAGATTACTTGCACTACATCAAGAAGTACAGACGTTATGAGAAGAGACATAAGAACGTGCCGGCTCACTGCTCGCCTGCTTTCCGGTATGTTCTTTTTTTAGTATCATTTCTCATGCATTTTTCCTTCTCACAAGCAAATTTTTTATTCGAAATTTGCCTATGGGTTTAATACTAACTAATCAAAAATGATTCTTCTGAATTAATTGTTTTTTTTTAATCATTCGAGCTCATCCCTGAGCGTTTAGATTATGAAGCAATATACGAAAATCGAGTTTTTTTAATGGGTACTTACGGGATCCAATTTTTTTTTCGTTTTGTTTATGGCGATTAGAGTAAGATTAGATTTTGGTGGAAAAAAGGTTAATTTTTAATGGCGTGTTCGAAGTTGTTTCCGCGAAATTAAAAAAAATATTATTGACTCCAAAATTTCGTTATCTTTCTTACTCTCTGACGGCTATTTTGAATTTCGCGGAATCAATTAGAACATGGCATAAATTTTGAGCTTTTTGTTTGCCCTCATTGCGTTGCAAATATAGGAGGTAGTGTTCACAGTAATTTTGGAGGTCTCAAAATTAACGGAATTTTGATTCAAGATGTTTTTTTTTTTTGCAAGTTTGAGATTATTAGAACTTTGATTCCTACAAATTTTACAGCTTCTCTTTTAAGACCGGAACTCCGAATTTCGTGTGAAAATAGTCAGAAGAAAAAAAACGTCACATATAATCGCTGAAATCATTTTAAACACGACAAAAGCGTAAAGAATATGCTCTAAACTTCCAAAGCCGAACATCCATAGGCTTGGGAGGATAATTTTCAATAAGATTTCCTAAAATATTCAGTTCCTTACAACGTAATTTCTTTATTTAAATTATTTCAGTGATATCGCTCCCGGAGATTTGGTTACCATCGGAGAATGCCGACCAATCTCGAAGACTGTGCGTTTCAACGTCCTGAAGGTCAACAAATCTGGATCGGCGAAGAAAGGCTTCAGCAAGTTTTAACTTGTATTTTTGTTGTTGACAGAGTTCCTCGGGCTCTCGATTTCTATTGTTGTGAGCCTTCAGAATGAAGTCTTGTTTATTTTTTGTATGAAGAAATGCAAAATTCGACAGCAGTATTTACAATTCATCCAATATAATTTGCAAATCAATTAGCGATAAAAAAAAAATTAAGATTCTTGAATAGTTGCGTTTCTTAAGTTGAATACTTTTTCGATGCCCTCCTTGAAACAGGCGAAGTTGTATTCGATATATCCCTGCTTTTCGAAGTTCTCACTGCGCATAATCGAGACGAGTGCCAACTGTCGATTGATTTGGCGGAGTAAAAGGACCTGAAGAATGAATTTGATAGCAATTTCAAGCACCTCAAAGTGGAAAAGGCTAGATTCGCGGGAAGTTTTTAAAAATTTCAACTTTGATTAGTTTTGGAATGTCGAGTATGCAAAATTAAGAGATGTTTTTAAAAAAAACGGATTACTCAAACAAAAAAAAATATCTGACCAGCTCTCCGTTTTTTTCAATTTGATCACCGCTGCAGAATGTTCATCGAAAGGAATGCCGTATTCACCGGATCTGCAACTTTTTTTCTTTCTTTTTGAAGTTTTGGGTTCCAAGTTCTGATAAGACGTTATTATGAAACTGAACCTACAACGAACGCAAAATTCGTTTTTAAAAAATATGGGAAAAAATTAATTACGCACTTCATTTTATTAAACCATCACCGGTAATCCGAAAAAAATGTTCCATATTTTTTTCAATTTATTTTCTACTAATATGAAAAAGTCAGGTAATGATTAATAGAAATAACAGAACTGACCCGTAGATAGAAGAAATATCCAGCGTAACATCGATCATGTCGCAACACAGTTCGTAAATGCTCATCTCCACGGGTAAAGAATCTGTGGCTACGTATATTTTTGAAGAGATGTCGAATAAGAACGACTTCGTCACGTTTGAACCCTAAATTTTTTTAAAAATTTTACTTTCTATTACAATCGTAAGGCATAAAACTGAAAAAAAAAAAAATGGAACCTGGTTGAAAATATCCAAGAGCCTCTCCAGAGTCGGGAGCTGCCGAACGAGATTCTGCACAACTTTGGAAAAAGCTTCGAAGATGGAATGGTCGTAGATGGACGTCAAGTGATACGTCACTTGCAGGTCCTTGATTCCCAATTCCTTTAGCTCTTCTTTGACCTAAAAGCTGACGTCGCCTTTTTTTTATCATCAAATGGTACCGCGTGATAGACTTCGAATTTGGTTTCGACGCGATTCTCCTCGGTTAATCCATCTGCCTGAAGTCCAAATTGAAAAAGATGACACATGATTGAAGTTAGAAACCTTGTGAACGAAAACTTCAAATTTTATCTTCGAATTGATTCTGTAGGCTTTGGCGAAATAATCAGCCATTTTGCGGATTGCGTCGGTGTAATCGTCCTGTGCATCGATTATAAATAGCAGGGCCCCTGAACTTTCATTATTTAAAAAAAGAAAAAAATGATTTCATATCCTTTGGTGATAACTTAAATTCAAAAAGTAAGTTTTTTTGTCCAATGTTCGAGCTGCGATACTTTGAAAAAAGAGAAGCCATTAATTTTTTTTTGAACGATGAAAGTTAGTAAAAAATTTTTTATGATATTTTGACAACTTTTTGAAATTAGAATTTGGAAACGAATCTCACCGCATTTTTTGAAAGTGTTGACTGGATCGAGGGTATGATCGAAGGGACACATTTGTCCAGGGAATTCGATCGTCTCAAAATTGATGAATGATGAACAGACAGCTGGAAAAGTACCACAGTTTTTGAATAGAACGAGAAAATATTTTTTGAAGTTCAATGATATCAAGACTTCTATGCCAGAGCAACACTCAAGGCTCATCATTTTTTTTTCGGATGATTCAAATCAATAACCAGGTTTTTTTTTTTTGAATTTCTGTGCAGATTGCTCAACCACATGAGAAAATTTGCACAAATAAAGGATTTTCACAATTTTTTGAAGACAAGGGCTGCTTCATTTTTTTCCAAAATTCGTTAGGTAAAACCAGGATCTTGAACATTTTCGTCGTTGGGAAAAAAAAATCAAAAAACTTCAAACTTAAATGTTTTTTCTTTAAGTTTAGCCCTACTCTTTTCTCAAACGTTCTCGAAAGCTCCTACTTCTCATTTTTTTTTATGTTTCAAAACTTTGATAATAAAGGACCTATTCGGTTCCATGGGAAAAAATTACGCAGATTCAAAAAAAGAAAAAAACTAAAAATAAAACGCACTGTCTTTGGTGATCCTGGCAGTACTTTCGACAAACATCGTTTCGTTGGGGGACATCTTTTGAAAAACTACCTTTCGAATGGAAGTTTTTCCGCTTCTGAAATCTCTCAACAGGGCTGAAATACAAATATGATGAAGAAAAACCTTTTTTGGCCCATGAGCACGACAGTCGGCCTTGTGTCTTGAGGCTCAGAGTCGTCCTGAAGTCCATACTTGTACTCCTCTTCGTCTTCTACTTCCACGTCAGAATTATCTGACATTTTTTTCTACTGAAAACTTCTTTTCATCATCGAAATTTCAGCATAAAAAATAGAATGCTGGACGAGTGAAACAAACACAGATACCGAATTATTAAAAACGTTAATCGAGAGAACAAGAAAGTTTGAAAGCTCGAGACTATTGAAAGAAAATAAAAGTTCTTATCAAGTGCAAAGCGATCTCCGTCAAAAACGTGAACTCCTGACTTTTGAAATTAGCAATAGAGCAGACATACATCAGATGAAAAAACTTGCTGCTTTAGGTTTATAAGTTGGAATTTTCAATAAATTCCCATTGAAAATGAGCGCTCGATTACAAAAAGGTAAATAAAAACAGAAAAGAGCGATGGAATATAGCTACGAATGATATAACGTAATTTGATTGGGCAGATATTGTAAAACTTTATAGTTCGGTTTAAAAAAAAGCTTTCAACGTTTTACAGATTTGAAATTATTATTAAATTCAATGAAAAAAGCACGTATCACCCCTATACTGCGAATCTGAAGTAAGCTGTTCAGACGTAGTGCGATATTGAACATTGGAAAAAAAGCATGGATCAACTAAAAAGTAGAAAAATTCAAAAAAACTTTTTAAAAAAATTGTGAAAAAAACGGCTTGACGGCTTTAATTTCAACGAGGCTCCGGTAAAACCTACGTCATTCGTGTGTACACCTGACGCAAAATGCAATGATGTAAAAATAAAAAAATAAAAAAATACTTTTAAATTTCCAGCTCCTTCGAAAACGTTTTTTTGATTCATCGTTATAGTCTGTTCAAGTTTTCAATGACAAGTACAATGACTTCTTTCCAAAATGCTCTGTGGATGGCTTCCTTTCCGATTGGCTTATCGCGTTATCAGGGCGACTTGAAGTTAAAAACCTGAACAAACTATATTTTCTAAAAAATCAAAAAACCATCTATTTTTTCCTTCTTTCACATATTATCACTTGCTATCGTTTTTTTTTTCACGTTTTGTTATATATCTGTTCAATCACCTTTCGAGTATTAATCAAAGAGGCGTGCGAATTTCAGTTCTCTCAACAGATCAAGATTTTGATGCTTAAAAATCCAGGCTTTCCTATTTTTGTAAAATGATGTGACCGAATAGACTCAACAATAGTTTAATTTTCTCAGGGAATTTCATGAGAAGTTTTCTCGAAAATCGAGATCGATTTGGGAAGGCCCCTTCTGGAATTGAACATGTTGGAATATTGAAGGTGCCTGTTTTTTTTTTTCAAACAACATCTGGATTAAATGTTTCAGAAGGCTGTAGACGAGACTCAATTTTTTAATTCTGGTCTTCGCAATAATCAAAGAATTCATAATGCGCGACATGTCAAGTTCGAGGAGGTTTGTTGTATAATAAAGTTTTTTTAATTTAAAAAAATTGAAAGTTTCTGCATTATCGTGAATTTAGGGGCCTACAAGTCCAAGAGAAGATTCGATTCAGAATGTCAGCTCCCGGAAAAGTGAAAGAATTCAGGGTTTGCAAAAATCAAATTTTGATGAGGTACTTTTTCCCAATTCCTTTAAAATGCGTTGTTTTCCGTTTTCTCTCGGAAGAACGTCTCAAAATTTGTTGAAAAATTGCAAGGCTAGTCAATTCAGACTTCTTTTTCAAACGGTACGACAATCCGGACAGTCGGCTTTACGAATAACGAATCAATTCAAACTCCTCAAATGAAATTCAGAGGGGTTTGTTTTCATAGTTTTTTTTTTGTGAAACATGATGCTTTTCAAAATAAATCCAAAAATGTGAATTGCTACGGTATTAGGTTAAATTAGAGAATCCTTTAGGGCTGAAGAGTTGTTAAAATCGAAATTTCACGCTCAATAAATTATGATTGATATAGAGTATTTAAGACAGATGAAAAGCTTGTAAAAATTCGCTAATTTTTGTATTTTTTTTTTCAGGATTCATTTCCTCGCTTATTGTATTCGGACAGGGAAGGATCAAAATTGCTGGAAATGACCGATTCTGTTGGTTTTTTTTTCTTTTGAACTTTTCGAACAGTTTTTGAGTGTTTTGATTTGAAAAATTAAGCTTTTAATTCAATATTGTTTTCCATTCAAAGTTATTGAATATTTCAACTTAAGTCCTTTTTTCAACTGCTTACTTTGTGAGGAACCCTTTTTTGCTCCAAGAACGCTTCTTATTAATTATCAACCTCGAAAAAAGAAACGCCGATCCTTTTGAAACCGAAAACTTGCGTCTCTTTTCCGATTTCGTTCAGAAACCAATCGGTAAGGTTTAGGATGAGACGGAAGATTGTGCAACTACAGCTACAGAAACCATCAGAATTTCAAGAGCTCTGAGAGATAGAAAAGAAGTTTTTCAGTTTTCTTTTTTGATCCCTTAATCATAACTTTTAGGGCAAGTGTTTGAAACTAAAATACGGCGTAGTCCAACGTCAGAAGCAAAAAAAGGCTCTTGCGCGGTTGTTTATAGAGGTATTTTAGAAATCATGCGAAGGTCGCATGTTTAATTGCTCGAAAAGCTTTGCTTCAAGAAACGAAAACTTTATTTGACGGCTTGAAACACCAGTTTCAACAACCGCATCGAGCCATTCAATGTGTGACCTCGGCTCATACTCTACATTGTTCAGTAATTTTTAGGAGAGCCATCATAATTTCGGTACAACTATCAAGACCTTTGGAGAATCAATGATCTTTCAGGAGGAGCAGAAAGAAGTTATTTAGATTTTCTTTTCAAAAGTTCTTCAAATCATTATAGAACGAGTTTTTGAAGAGAGAAGAAAAAGAAATTCAGCGACAGGAGCGAAAAAAGGCCGTTTCACGCTTATTTATGGTACTTTAAATGGAGGAAATTTTTTTTAATATTCACACGTGGAGTATCTCAAGCGTAGCGGTTAACAGCCCCATCTCAAATTTGAAAAAAAATTAATTTTTATTAGAACAGCGCGACCGCGACGGTTTGAGCCATTCTACCTGCGACCAGAAAAAATTTCTGGTCGGCGCAATTAAATCTGTGTGATTCAGGTAGATGAAGGAAATTCTAGCACAACCATTAAAACAATTGGATTTTTAGAAGATTTACGCGAGCAAATCGAAGTTAGTCTTTATTTTTTTATTTGAAATTTTTTTATTGATTTTTTTAGAGCGATTCACTAGGAGAAGAAGAAGAATTTCAGCGTCGAGAACGAAAAAAATTTCGAGGTCGTGGCTATTCACGAAGGTTTTCCTCAAAAGAAATCATGTTAAATCCGTGGCGCACTTGAAATGAGCAGAAGCGAAACGACTGCGAAGCGGATCTTTTTGTCAGATTAGAAAAATACTTGCAGAATGGTTATTGAAGCCATTCTAGGTGCGATCACGGCCTCTAAAGTCGCCATGAAAAGGATTAAACTAATTTTCAATTTTTTTTAGGAAGGTGAGGAAAATTTTGATACAACTAACAGAAGCGTCGATGACACACAGTTTTGGAGAGAGGAGGAAGACGTTTGTCAATATAACTTTTTGAGGTTGTAGCAATCAATCGATTCCAGAGAGAGTTTTCAATAAGAGAAGATGACGAATTCCAGACTCAGGAGTATGATGAAGTAGAATCGCAACAATTCATGGAGGAAGAAAGTTCTGAGAGCATCATGATAACCATTGGAAATCCACGAGCAGTGAGAAAGGAAAAAAAATTGTTTTTTGAAAATATATTTTACAGAGCGAGCTTCTAAAACGAATGAAAGGCCAAAATCAGCCCCTTGAGCGTAGAAATGGCACATTGCGGCAATTTATGATGGTATTTTTCTTTAAAAATCAATATTACCCATGGTCGCGCGTTGAATCGAATTTTTGGACGTCTAATTTGAAACAACACTTTCAACCATTCCACATGCGACAATTTCCGTTCAATCCGTGCTAATGGATTTTACAGATTTCTTTTTAGGAGAGTGAGAGAGCTTACGGTACAACCATCAAAACTATTGGAAACACTGGAGAAGAAAACAATCAGAAAAAAGTTAGTCAATAGTTATTTTGAATTTTTTTCTGGCTATGAAATGCTTTGAGATGCGTTCAACAGATTTGCGCGAATAGACTTGAAATCTGCTGATTTCAAACATCCAGTTAGAATGGAGCTACCGCGAAGCTTTTAGCCATTTCATTGTCACGCCGCGATTATGTTATGAAAATATACTTTAGGAAAGTGAGGAAATTCGTTCTCCTGAAACCGTCGAAAGTCCAAAGTTCGCGAAAAAACAAGAAGAAGTTTTTTGAAATACTTTTCTTCGATTTTTTTTTTCTCATAATTATTAGAGCGAGCCTTCGAGACGTGTCAAAGAAGAAAATCTGCGTCCGGAACGCAAAGGCGGAATTTTGAGGCTGTTCATGATGGTATGTTCAGAAAGCCGCACGTAGAATGGAAAAATAGGTGCGCCCGACATTAAAACTACTTACGCGTCAACATGCGAGTCTACTTGCACTTCGAATTTTTCATCCATTCTACCTGCGGCCAAGACTTTCTTAATCAAGTACAAATTGATTTCACTAATTGACTTTATAGGAAAGTGAGAAAGCTTACGGCACAACAATTAGAACCATCGGAAACTCTGGGAGATCCAGGAATCAGAACGACGAAGTTGGTCAAAATTCGTTTCAGTGAAACTTTTGAAAATATAATCCTTCCAAACAAACGTCCTTAAAAGAGGCGTTAGGGTTTTTTGTAGTGTTCTTTGACTCAAGCTTAAATTAATTTTCAATTTTTTTCGTTTTTCCATCCAAAGTCGGAAGTTCCGAAATTTAGAGCTGGCAATACTTTAATATTTTTCTTTTTGCATTACTTTTCAAGACTTGAACAAGAATACTTAATTTTTTGAACTTCAAACTTGAATTTCTGTTTGCATTTCAAAAGCTTTCACGTCTATCAGGACTCATTTCCCATTTGGAAACAATCAAGAGCACTTTTTCAAATGTTTATCTTTTCAACCTCCGTCTTTTTCTTCTCTCTGATGTTTCATCTTCTTTTATTTGTAAATTCACTAATTTTTCCAAGATGGCGACAATTTCCATCTTTTTTTCTACAATTTTCGTATTTGATTGGAAATAGGAACTCCTATTGTGACACATCTCGTGATTTTTTATTTGAGGCATTTTTCGTGGTTCTTTTCGATGGCTCAGACCATAAAATGGAGGAAGTATGGGAGATGTTTCTCTGCTGTCTCTCTTCAATTGGGAAGGTTTCTAGCGTTCGACTATCGATGAATCTGCATTATGGGATCAATAACTTCTACATATTCGCCCAAATTTAGTTTAACTTTATAGACTTTTCCTTCGCAAGGTTCCGAATTCCAATAACTTTTGATTAGTCCAAGGGAACGCGAAAGAGTCCCATATGGGAGACCGAGAATGAATGTCAAGTGTCAACCATTTACACTGTGAGACAATCGCGTTGGAGCAGGTGCGAGTAATTAGTCAAGGGGTCGATAACGCACCTTTTCACCTCAAATTGAATCTTTCATTTTTTCCCTTTTTCTATTTGTTTTTTTTTTAGTTCGATTTTCGCATCTTTTCTTCCTTTATTTCTCCATTTTTTTTTTTTTACATCAAACCTCTTTCTCTTTTTTTTTGTCCGGAAAACAATTATCTTTGGAAAAAAACCGATTATCATGACCTTCATCTTCAATTTTTTAAAAATTGCTTCGACAATTTGTCCCGACAAATGCCACCTAGGCGCCGACCAAGGGTCCACTCCAGGGATCCTGTTAAGTTTCTCTCTTTCTGATTTTCCTCACTGGAAATTTCAGCTTCATAGCAGCTTTTTTTTCGTAAAAAAAACTTGATCCGCTGATAGATTGAAGTAAGTGTTTTAAAACTGAGTCACGAATTTCAGAAGGTTTTCTTCAAAATTGAGTTCATAGCCTTTTATTAATTCTTCATATCAATTTAAATTATCAAATCTTTTCGAATCCCTAATAGAAGAGAATCTAAGTGGAAAAGTTGAAAAAAAAGTTTTTAATGAAAAGAAATAAAAAGTTTTTCTTTTGACATTATTGTCTTGCCTTCGTTTTTTTGGAAAACATCTTTTTTTATTTTTCTTTTGTTCTCACTCTTTGTCCCATACCTTGCCTTGTTTGAAAAGTTTGAAAAAGTTTTGAATTTTCAGAGGCGTAGTTCAATGATGGTCGGCTGTGTAGCAGAAGCCGTCGCTGACACTACGCCCGATGATTCACCCACGAAAAATCCTCCTGGCTCTTTGCCAACGAAAAAGCCGGTAAATTTTTTCTCGAGATGATGGATCTAGTTCGAGGTTTTAAGAAAAGTCTGAAAAAGCAGCCTTTACTCCAAAAATTTTAAAACAGATGAAATTTTGTTTTTTTCTATATATTTTCAAATTTTGAATTTTTTCAGAGACGACCCGATCAGCTGTTGTATACACCACGTCAAAGAGCTCTCGAGAGTCCAAATTCTTCAGAAAAAGTCGGGAATTCTCCACCGAACTTCAGGGTATTTTTTATTTATTTGAAATTAGCTGGTTTATAATGAAATTAAAAAAATTCAATTTACTAGGCAATTCCTTGACTATGAGCGAGAACCTTTTTTTGCGGATTATTGTAAAAAAATTTTTATTCTAGCATAACCTCTATAATTGTCTTTTTCGCTTCATCCTCACAGTACGAGGGAAAAACTTTTTTTCTAATTACTCAGGATTCATCGTATCAACAAAAGATATTTCATTCTCTGAAACTATATTCTTCAGAGAGAAGAAAAGTCGGTTTCACCTTTGGCTCTGCCATCGAGAAGTCCAATGAAAGCTCTGGCGAGAATCGAGAAAAAATCGCCACTGACAAAAAAAGAGGCGTCGCCCCAACGGGTGATACAACGTTTGATCCAGCACATTTCAAGTCCTCAGAATGGCGATAGAAAAGAACCTCGTGACTTGATGAAGGTATTTTCATCCTTGCAAAATATTTTTTCAAAAAAAAAACTAGAAAAACATTTCCTGGTTAAAAAACCATTTTTTTACCAAAAAAATAAATTCAAAAATTGATTTAAGCTTGGTTAAAAATCGATAGTTTTTGGGGAAATTCTCTTTTTTTCGGTAGAATGTTGACGTAACTCATGAGGAAGTGATTTTTGATTTGCATTTTGTGCTTTTGAAGATCGGAAATCTGATTGTGTTAATGATTTTGACTTTTTTTGTCAAAGTTTTCCAAATTTTATGCATTCGTTTCCATATCAATGCGTAGATTAGCGAAAAATATTTATTTTAATGCGATATTCTTTAAAAAAACTATCTCAATTTTTCATTTAAGGAGAAAGATTTGAAGAAACTCGTCGAAACTCCGAGTACTTCTTTCGACTGCTGCGAGGTATGAAAAATCGATGAAATTATTAAATATTAAAAATCATTTAGCATGAAGAAATACGTCCTGTGAAAAAGTTTTCCAAGCCTACACTTTCAAAGGAGTTTTGTGAAAAGGTTCTTTCATTCATCTTTCCCTTGAGGTAGCTGATTTTCCAGGTCCTTGGAACGTTGAGTAGTGAACCAATAACCGCTCGAACAAGAAGATCTTTGAAACAGGAGCAGAAGTCCGAGGAAAAGAAAGAAGACGAACCGGTGGGAAATGAAAAAGGAGGAGGGGTTTTAATATTTCAAAATTTGAGCTGAAATTCATCGATTCGCACTTCCATCCGGATTTTATCTACAATAAGATTCCGGGCAAGAAACAGAACGATGGTCTCGATGAATGGGTCCAAAAATATCCGAACGCGTTTCCCGATAGCTTCGAAGGTACACCTATATTTCATGTTCTCGGTTTTTATTTGAATTTTTCACTCTATTTTTCATCAGTTAAATTGAAATTAAAGGCGCTATCGCCAACTTCATCGACGTTCCCAGATACCTGGAGCAAAATAAAAATTCTACCATCAAGTGGATTCAGAGGGAAATTCAGGTAATCTGCTTCTTGAAATTGATTTAAATAAGATTTCCAGTCGGAACTCTATGTGGGAGCGACGTATGGCATCCATCCTCACTTTGCCGAGTGAGTTTTTCAGATTTTCCCTCGGTGAAATTATCTGAAACTTTGCATTCAGATGCAAGACGGAGGCGTTCGATTTCATCGAATCGATTCTGGAAGAAAATGACTGGCGACGGTGGAAATTGGTTGGCGTCGGAGAATGCGGCATCGACCTTTACAAGTACTACTCGGCTTTTTTTTTCTTTTAGCAAGTTTCAACTAAATTAGAGAAATTTAATCGAACAGAGAAGCTTTTAAATGATGAATATTAGATCTTCTGGCCAACACTTTTATATTTGTTCTTCCAGAAGTGAAGCGTCTCTGCAAGCGCAGAGATACACGTTCCAACAACAGATCTCGCTGGCCCTCAAGTACGAAAAGACGCTCGTTGTGCACTGCCGATCGGCCGACAAGTACAAGGCCGCCGAAGACGAATGTATCAAAGCAATCATCACGGTGATTCTCTTGTGGAAGTTAGAATAAAAAGAGTTTTTGTTCCAGGAAATGGACAAAAAGGGCGGAAGTCGTGAACTTCACATCCACCGGCATTGCTACACCGAAGATTGGCCTACGGCCCAAAAATGGATCGCCAACTTTCCAAACGTCGTCTTCGGTGCGTAAAGTTTTTTTTTTTCGTCTTCCAAGCAAGCTTTGAATGAACTACAAAATAATTTTTCATATTAGACTTTTGAAAATCGCTCTGCTCTCGAAAAATCTACTCGAGAACGAAAATGACGCAATATGACGTCAATAAGTTTGAAGGGGTATTGTGAAGTAATTTATGCGTAATATTGCATTAGATTACGTCACTTTTTTTTGAAATCCGTCATTTTTCCTGTCCAAGTTTTGAGAATCACGCAGGGTTCATTTCAATGTTTCAAATCCTAGAAGAAAAAATCGAACTGAAATGGAGAGAAAAAAAAAGTTTTCCTTCTGGTGAAATTGAATAAAATTGTTGAAAATGCAAAGTCAGAAAGTGGGATAACGTCTTTTCTTGTAACTTTGAAGTTTATAAAAATTTCAGAATCTCTAAATGGAAAGCATTATTTATGAAAAAACTGATTATTCATGAGAAAAATTAAGTTTTTTAATCGAGACTGTGCTTTATCTTCATTTTCCAGGTTTCACACCGGGAATCGAGAACTTTTCCGAGAATCAATTGGAGGCAGTTCGACGGTTGCCGATGAATAAGATAATCCTCGAAACGGATGCTCCCTACTTCAAACCTCCAATTTTCGCTGACGCTTCTCCGGCTAAAATCGCCCTTCCAGGAATGGGTAAGCTCCAATTTATCCTCATCTTCGAACAATTTCTTTTTGCAGCCGTTTCCTCCGCCATAGCGATCGCTGAGGCCAGAGAGATGGAACTGGAAGATGTTCTCAGGCAATGCTACAAGAACACGCGGCGCGTATACCGCCTCGATGAAGATTCTTAACGATCGTTATTTATCAATTATTGCATTATTACGCCGCACTGTTTTCATTCCATATTCACACGAAGATCTCACGATTTTATGGGTACTTTTCTACATATGGTCAAGATCTTTTTTTGGTCGCATATTGTCACATTTTTACGCAGATTTTGTTATATAAAGTTTTAAAAGTTTTAACGATCACAAGAGTCAACAAAAATAACAATAGAGCAACAATCCTCAATAACAACTCATTCACTTTTTCCAGTTTTTCGACTTTTTCTTCAACTTGCTGACAAGGTCCTCCGCGCCGCCGTTGGAAGTGTTGATGGGTTTCGAATCGAATTCGTTTGTAGTTTGGTTTTGGGTTTTCGAGGCTGCCTGCTTGGCTATCAACGATCCTCCCTATAAATTAGGAGCCAAATATAACAAAAGTCAATACTTCCTTACCTTGAATTTCTTGGAACTCTGGTCGATGGCAAATGCGCTGTCCGTGAAAAGAGCCTTGAAACGGTCGTCCTGGGCGATCGACTCCGTGAGCTGGGCGTTTTTGATGGTCGATGGCTGGAAAAATCCAAATTATTTCGAGCTTCAAGTACCACCTCTACGTGGTGATGGGGAGGCAACGCCATTTATGGCGGCTAACGGTACACCGGTCACGCAGTTCGGCTTGCTTCTGCTAACAGAATGGGCGGTCTTTTTTAGCCCTGGCAAGGCAAAAAGGATAATCAGACCAAAATTATGCTATAACACGTTCAACACCACGGATGGAACTTTTTCGCAAGAATACCAGTCAACCAGGACGACAAAACTGGATGACCGATTGCATAAGACCTCCTGGAAAACGTGTGGTCCACGCTTCGATCAATAAAAGGCACTAAAAGGCAATAAAAGGTCGAAAGCGAAGATGGACCATCTAAGTATCTAAGTAAGTATCTAAGTATTTCGAGCTTCGATTTCTTTAATAACCTGAGAAATGGAAGAAACGGCCGCTGCGCCGCCACGACGGGCCATTTTCTTTTCGGAACGTTTCGCTTTCCTCTTCTCCAGGTATTCTTTGTAGCCCGACTTCTGCAAAAGTCGAGCTTCATTATGAAATTGTTATAAGCTGACCAAACGGGTCGCATTGCTAAACAACATTGAAAAAAATAATGATATACTCCTTTTTTCTTCGTTTTCAGGTTGATAGATAATATCGTTATTTTTTGAAAAGCTTGCTTTCTGAATTAAAACATTCGAAAATTTCAATTCGGATTTGAAAATTGGCGTGAAAATCAGAAATCAAAGATCCTGAAAAAAAAAAAAGTTGAAATCGTTCTTTTTTCAAATTTTACAAAAGAATATTTCGGAAGATCGTTGACTTGTGAAGAACTTTTACATAAGAGTCGATTGAAACAAAAAAATGGCCTTGTGTCGAGTTTATTTCCGAAAAAAGGAACCTTTTTCTCCTTGGGCTCCTCCAGCTCGTCCTCGTCTCCTTCCGGAGCTCCTCGCTTGACTCCTTTCTTCGGGATGCCGATCTCATCGGCGTCTTCGTCCACGGCCACGTATTCTCCATCCGAGCTCTCCTCGCCATCTTCCGGGGGTCCGACTTCAATCTTTTCATCGCGCGAGCTCTGCGGCTTTTCTTCCATTTCATCGTCGCTTTCTTCTCCGTCGGAGTCTTTATCACTCCAATCGACCTGAAACTCGATTTTTGTGGTTTTTTTTGTTTGAATCTTCTTGTGGACATCGCTATAGCTCACAGTGTAACGTGGAAAAAATGCGGAACTAAATTACTAGTATTTCTTACTCTGGTCTTTTTTTTAAGAAGGATTTCGGACAAATGAGCTTATAAAGTTGAAAGAAAATTTCGAAGAAGCTCAATTTTGTGGACGATAGTTCGCTCTTGGCCAGAGACCGTAACACACTGAGCCATTCCGAATTTGCTTCGAAAATATACCTTCAACTCTCCCTTAGGACCATCGTCATCGAGAAGGCCCAACAGAGCGTCGCGTCTCCTTTTCGTCTCCTCTTCGCCTTCCTCGTCGGAACTCGCGATCAAGTCTTTGCCAGCATCTTCCGCGTCATCACTGAATGTTCGAGCTTTCCGGGCGGATCATCTACTTTTCCCTTACGCGAAGGCGGCCTGGAACCGCTTGCTCCGCTGTGGATCGTCTTCGTCCCAATTGATGGTCGTCGACGTCGAGGAAATCGTCTGTTTCAGCTAAAACTTCGATATGGCGTCGTTTTTTTTTGTGAAAAATGATCGTACACTCTTTTTCGGCTTGTACTTGTGCACGTTGATGTCCGACGGATTGAGGCTTTCTCGTTCGTCTTCTTTCTACAATATCAGAAATTCGGCCTTTTTCGTTGTATGGTGGTGGGAAGTGATGAGAAAAGCCAGGAAAATTGCCTTAACACTGGTCAAAGTGTGCCCTATGGTTAATTTATAGGAATTTTTGAAGCTTTTTTCGATCTTTATTTAAATTTTTCCTTTATTCGTCCATTCCCATGAACTGTCTGCGCTCTCTTTTCTCTCATTTCAGAGGTGATAGCACCATGAATTTTAAATGAAGTCTTGCCTGAATTATTGATTTTCCAGTTTTCTAAAACTAGAGAGCGTTTGACAAGAAGAGAGTTGCCGTTTTCTCTCCCTCTCTAGACGGTCTTCTACTTACCAGTGCTTTCTAACTATCAAATAATCCAACGTATAATCTACAAAGACAAAGATTTTCTGAGAAAGGAGACGTAGAAAATCACTGTCTCAACTTGAGGTTAATGAACTATAGCGCAAGTTCAAAAGCTCAAAAACCTTTTCCTTTTTTCCATTTTATTTTTTCACAAAATAGGCAGACCTCGAACTCCATATCGTCAGGAATGAAGCGCATGTCCATCTTGAGGCCGGTCTCCTCGAACTGGAATCCGTCACACTCCTCGTAGACCGCAGAAGCCGTCGCCTCGGTGTCGAACTCGACGACCGCGTAGAAATACTTGAGTCGGTCCAGGAGGTACCGGCGGATCGCCAGTTTGGTCTCACTAAAAAAATGTTTGATATTTCTAGGAATAAAATGAAACGAACCTGTCGAGCTCATCACTCTCGTTGTACTGGTCCAGAGGCTTGTTGAGTTTGAGCGGAGGTCCGTTTTTCTCTTCCAAAGCCAGCTGCTCCTTGCCGAACTCGGATCGGTAGATGCGCACTGAAGTGACCGATCCGCCGCTCGGTCTGCAAAAAATGATTCTCTAAAACCGGTTTTCAGCGATAATAATAGCTGGAAGTCTTCTCGAAGCTTTGCGAGTTCCTGGAAACTAGCAAAGAACCTCCTCGATACGAGGCTCTCGATCCCAATAAATTAAAAATAACTGCTGATTGACAATTTCAGGACTAATCTATAGAAAAATAATCTAATTTATTCTAATTGATCTGATCAGCATATATTCAAAGAAATTGAAACATTTCAAATCAAGTGACAGCCTTTTCCGCTTGAAATAACCTCTTTTCTTACCGCCAATGATACCAGTTTTTCAAGTTTTTTTATCAGGATTCTAATAAAAATATAATTAATAGTCTGTTCAGATTATGAATTTCAAGCATCAAACCCCGCCCCTAAGAACGCTGTGTGAATGTCTCGCTCTCTGATTGGTTTGATCTACGCATAAGGGGCGGAGTTTGAGTAATGAATTGAGTTTTCAAAAATCTGAACAGACTATAACAAGAGTAAATGAAAAGATTACACGAAAGACTTGACGAGCATGAGGATGTCCTCGCATCTGACGACGTCCCAGTCGAGATGGCAGACTGCCAATCGCCGGCTGACCCACTCGACCTCCTCGGCATCCCTGAATCGAAATATTGAGCACCGCCAAATTTGCCGTCTTTACTTGTCTAGCCTGGCCAAATCCAGCTCCATTCGCGCTTTCTCATCGAGATCCAAGCCTTCTGGAAAATTGAAGAATTCAAATAAACCTTCATAAATGACAAAAAAAACCTTCTTCATCTTCATCTGAGCTGTCGTCGTCCGAAGAGGATGACACATTTCCGGTACCACGAGCCAAATCCAACTACAAAAAGTGCAAAATATTATTTTCATTCATGGGTGTTTCGAAAAATGAAAGCAGAGCGAGCTGAGGAAAAAAAACCAAGTGAATATTATTTTGATCTTTAAAAATGCAGTAGACAATCGATCTTTTCACAGAGCGAGCTGGGAAAAGAAAATCTTAAAAAAAGACGAAATAACCATTTTCTTGGACGTTTTCCTCACTTTGAAGGCGGAAAAACATTTTTAAAAAAAGTATTAAAAGAGTAAAGAAAGTAAAGAAAGTAAAGAAAAGTTAGTATTCGATTGGCTGGAAACTTATATCAGAAACTTGAAAAAATGATAAAGATTTTCAGCAGACTTTGGTAAAAAAAAATTGAACATTAACACCGTAAAAAAAGATTCCATGCTACCATTCAAAAATAAAAAGAGGGAAATGTATTGTAAAAAAATTACTAACTTTTTCTCGGTTTTTTTCCGGAATCTCTTCGTCATCAGAAGCTTCCTCAGGACTTTCCTCTTCCTCAACATGTTCAGCGTCTTCGTCGAAAAAATCCAAAACCTAAAAACCAGAAAATATCTCATATTCCCGTTTCCACTCAAACCGCGTCCTCCTCTGCCTTTTTCTCTTTTTTGCTCTTTTTCTCAGGGCTTTTCTGCTTCGATCCTCCAGGAGCATCATCTTCCAGCTCGTATAAATCGAGCATGTCGTTTCCTGAACGAATTTTGATTTTCGATTATTTTTTGCATCGAAAACCTATGCGAGATTTCATTTTCCGGCCCCGCATATCGACCTTGGCGCGGCTGGAAAACTTCTCATCGGTCAGAGCGGCGGCGAATCTTTTGTCGATGACGACCTACGCACCGTTCCCAAATTTAGATTTCAAAACCTGGTTTCACCTTTTTCTGTGTGTTTTTCAACCCACTGAAAAGGGGATCCGAGCGAATCCTTTTGAATCTTTCGTCGTCCAGCCCTTGCGAGGACTTCTTCTTCTTTACAGAACTCATCCTTCAATTGAGTCATTAATATACTATTGAAAAAGTTTTCTAGGTTCCTTCAAGTTCCGAAAAGCCTTTTCAACGAAATTTCAAACAAAATCTTTGAGCCACCGTATCTCAAAAACGGCTCGAATGATGCTATTCAGTTTTTTTTTTTCAAAAAATCCTAAAAAGAGAGAAAGTTATCATAACGCCTTTTTTTTCCAACCCAACCTAAACCCAAATGGCGCAGAACAAGTCTGCGCCTAACCGTGAGTTTGTACCCGTATGTCTCACAAGATCTAACCTGAGCCTTCAAAAACCCTCAAATATCATCATGAATGAATTCCTTGCTAGATAGAAAAAAGATACGAAAAATGGAACTTAAACTAAGTTTTCAAAAAGTCGAAGCAAAAACCTAGATGAACCTTGCTGGAAAGTTTAAAGAATCCAAATAATAGAACTACGATAACAGCTCTCAAATTATTTTTTTTTTAAACAACCAAAATCATAAATAATTTTCAATGGCACTAACATTTTTTTCTTTCGAAAACTACCCGAACTTAGATAAAAATGCTTTATACCAAGAAAACACTTGAAAGAAATAAATAACGCTGGGATTTGAAGCACACCGAAAAAACCGTTTCCAAACAAGTAAATGATAAAGCGAGTTCTTCTCTATTATTAATAACAAGAACAAAACAATGTCTAGAAACAAACAATAACAAAAAGAAGGCTATTTCGGGGATATGGTTGATTATTTGACGAAGACACCGCGAAGAGTAGGCGCCGTCATTTTGCTAACTCCTCCGACCAAGAGCGGATTTTCCTTCCAAACGGCGAATCCGTCTCTGGAGACTTTCAGGTCTTCGGCTACAGTTTCCCAGATCTGAAAAACGTGGAAATGAGAAGTGAATAGTGGATACGAAAACCTTTTTCTTGGGGTTGAGCTGAGCGTCAGGTCGATGCTCGAAAGGCGGGCAAAGAACGGGAGTTCCGGGCTTCGAATCGGGAGCCACCTCCATGATCTCGACCTTTTCGGGCGACGAGGCACACATCACCATGGCCCTTGACTCGACGCCTCTCATCTTGGCCGGCTTCAGGTTGCACATCACCACCACCAGACGGTTTTGCATCTGAAAAACCCTGGTAAGAACCACCTACAGAGAAGATAGAAGCTTTCTTCTCAAAAATTCAGAATTGGTTTGTCAACTGTCTTTCGATTCATGTTCCACACATCTGGAACCAGGAGGTTCAACTTTTTTTAGAAATATTTTCATGAGTCTACTTTTTCCTTTTAATACTAGCTACAGTAAAAAAAAATATTCCGTCGAAAAAATATTGACCTGGTCCAAAGGAACGTGCTTGACCAAACCGGAGACGACAGTTCTCGGCTCGGCCTCGCCAACGTCGATCTTTTCGACGTAGAGCGCGTCGGCGTCCGGGTGTTTCTCGCAGTGGATGATCCGTCCAACACGGAGGTCTAATCGGCCAATGTCGATCGTATCTTCGCCTCCTTTAAGGTTTTAGTGATATTCTTATCTCGCTTTCTACTTTTCTAGACGTAGGTTCTTCACGCCCAGAAATGGGCGGAGTTTAGCGTTTTTTGGTTTACTTACCATTAGATCTCAATCAAAAAAGGTAAGAGCTATACCTGCAGCGGCTTTTCCCCCGTCGGACTTCTTGGCGGTCTCCTTCTTCTCCTTCTTTACAGGAGCCTCTGAAGTTTTGACGGGAGCTGTCGGCGGAGCTGTTGCTCCATCAACCTTCACAGAATCTTGTCTCTTAGTCCTTTCAACTTGCTTGACTAAAAAAAAAGAAACTCCATCAATTTTTGTTCAGTAACAAACCTCCACCAGCAATCTCAGCCGCGACGAGTTGTTTCTGGAGATTCTGAACCTCCGTTTCCAGGCGTTTGTTCTCCTCTTCGAGATGGGACAACTTCTCTTTGATGAAAAGAGATCCTAAACTTTTATAATTGTTTTTTGATGCTTACAACTCTTTGAAAACTCACGAGCCTGTTGGAACTTTTTGAGGTTCGCCTCGAGCAACTGCTGAATTGTCTGTTGGTTTTTGGCAAGGACCGGATAGACTCTCGAGCTCATGTCGATCTTCGGAGGTTTCTTTTCCACTTTTTTCGACTGCTTCTTCTCTGCAAATATCTCACAGTTACTAATGGCTTATCAGAGAAAGGACGACACGAAACTAATTCGCAACGAAAATAAGGCGACGATCGTTTCAAAAATTTTTCGAAGTGCAGAAGCAAAGGATAGTGACGAAAAATGAGCTTTTTTTGGAGGCTACAAGTATAGAGAAAAATGTGAAATTAGATAATGGCGTACAGAAAACGTCTCGAAATCAAACAGTGTGTTTGTTGAGCGTTCAAAAACGCTTCAAAGTTGCAAAATTTCCTCTTCGGAGCATTCTGAGATTTTTCGTTTCTCCATTGAACAACTTATGCACTTTAAACTGCTTTTCACGGTTTCAATCTCTCTATTCGGAAACATTCGTGAAAACTTCAGGATAAAGACCTTTGCTAGTTTTGATTCGACTGCACCTTTGAACAACCCAGAAAGCTTCGCCAACCATTAAAATTTTTAAAGAAAAACCGAATCACAAACGGGTTCTTTTAGGAAAAGAACAGACCTTGACTTTACGAAAAAAAATTCCATAAAAGCTCTTCAAATTGCCAGAGCCATCATTGAGCCCTATTATTTTTTTAAAAAAACAAAAAAATATTGAAAAAAAGAAAGTAACAGAGCATTTGAGTTTTTAGGAAATTTATCGATGAAAGATATCCGGACCTTATTGAACGAAAACCTCATTCATTTCTAAACTTATAGTTCTCCAGAAACGGACATCGTCAATGATTAAACTAAATATCTTCAAAGCTTCTTGAGATGTTCAAAGGCGATATCGGTCAGACGTAATTTGTTATCAACTCTTCGCGTCATGCCGAAACTCTTCACGGATTCGTTCTTTGAAAACCAACACCAGAAATAAGAAGGAATGGGCGGAAAACGCAAGAGGAAGCTTGGCCAAGCGGAAATATGAGGAAGAAGTCAGAGTTCAGAATTCAGACAACAGAAAAAGGAAACACCTTTCTTCCGTCCGGAGGACAAATACGAGTTATCACTCGCTTTTCAATTCTTAACTGCACGGATTTCAAAAGTTTCGTTTTCTTAATCTTCTGTTTTGCGTCCTTTCTGTGTCTTTCTCGATAATATCTGCTAAAATCGATTCAAAATTTTCGATGACAGCTCGTTGATCCTCACGCATCGGGCGCTTTATTGATTAAAGCTCTGGGAACCAGTTGTGCAATAAAATTTACAAATGAAAAAAACGACGAATAAATTATTCAAGAAGACGCCGTGACGGGAATGTTCGAAGGAGCTTCAGATGCGGCGTCCAAATCCAGATTTTGCAGAGCAGAAGTCGTTTGGACAGCTGGGTCCGCAACTGTATGTCAAAATGTACTCAAAGTAGGCAAAAACCGTGATCATCAGAGATACTTTGCTAGTTTTTCCTGCCCCTCAATTCCCACCTTTCTTCTCATTTTTGCCGACTTTCGCATCTTTTTCGGCGGCCGACGGAGAACCGCCAAACTTGACTTTAAACTCGTTGATTTTAGCCGCTTCAAGCTTTTCAAAAAGTGGAGAAGGCTGAAAAAGTTGACTGATGGCTCAGGAAAAGGAGAGAGAGAGATCGAACCTGGCCAATCTTATGTCCAGGTTTCAGGTAGGCAAGAGGAGACGAGGAAAAGGTGGGAAGGTCGTCCAAGCCGCACTGCTGTCGGATGGTCCTGGAGACGTGCGGCATGAAGGGATGGAGCAAGACAGAAATGTGGAAAGCAATGTTGGCGGCGACGCCGATGACCGTGCCGGCTCTCGCTCTACACAAGCAAACGGTTGGGAGACTTTCACAACGACTTTCGCCAACTTTTCCTCGGGAGTTCCCTTGGCGAGGACCCACGGCGTCTGCGCCTGCATGTACTGGTTTCCTCTGCGAGAGACGTTCAGGACGCTTTTCACGGCGTCCTTCAGACGGACCGCATCGAAAAGGCTGTCCCATTCGTCGCTGTCCTCCTGAATTCAACTTTTAAAAATGGAGCAACAGATGATTTTACTGCACTTTAAGAACGACGTGTATCGACAGTTTTGAAAAAAGAGCCTTTTTCAAACTAATTATTATTGAAAATCGTACGATCACTGTAATGAATATAACTATCAAAAGACCTAACTGAAAAGATTATTTAAATTCATACAGATTTCAGTTTATTTTTTAAAAAATAGCTTCAAACCCCGATACAGCCCATTGTCACATGAAATTTTGTGTCTTTCCTAAAATTCGAAAATCCCAGAAAAAGCTTTACCTTGACGCCCTGCAGAAGCTCCAGATCCTCGTCGGTCAGGTTGATCTCCGGAACGACCCCGCCAAAATTGTTGGAGAGGAACGAAAGAGCGCGATTGATGAAGTTTCCGAGGTTGTTCAAGAGCTCACTGTTCACCTTCAACAACTTTTTTCAGTAAAACCAAGCTTTTCCGCGGAACCTTGGCGGCAAAGTCGTCCCAACTGAAAACGGTGTCCTGGGCCTCTGGACGCATGTAGAGCAGGTAGAATCGCCAGATGTCCGCAGGGATTCCAGTGTCCCTAGCCGAGTCTCCGAAAACTCCGGTTCCTCGGGACTTGCTGAACTCTTTCCTAATTACAACGAGGATTCTGATCATCTCCAACCTGAACTTGCTGTCTTCGTAGTTTAGATATTCGGTGGCGCAGAGATTGTTAACGATCGTGTAGTTGTCCTGGGTTCCGATCTGCGTGCAGGGGAACATGACGGCGTGAAATGCGACATTGTCCTGTAAAATATATTAATTTTTGAGCATCTTCAATTTCTGTATCATTGAAAAAAATTTTTCTTGACTTTTCTTTCATAATAGGCTAATTTTTCACCTAGTAATTTGGGCTTGATTTCAGCTGCAAAGACTCTTTTAAAGACTTTTTAGAACTTTTTTCTGTAAAAATGATCTATTTTCGACTTGTGAAAAATTTTTGAGCTTGATGATTTTCAATAACCTTTCACAATTTTGCACTTTTTCTGCATCTCTTAATTTTCCGAAAAAATCCTGTCAAAGATTCTTTTAAAATAGCAACATACACAATTTCAAAGATTGGCCCTAAAAAGGTCGTCAAAGCTTCTACCCAGCCAAAATTTGAGCCTCTTTTATTTCACAATTTCACAAATAAAAACCCCAACCTTTCCAACAAAGTTGTAGAGTTCGACGTTCTCCGGATTTTTCCACCACTTCTCCCAGTCATCGTCAAGAAGACACTTCGTAATGGAAAGGTAGCCGACCGGCGCGTCGTACCAAACGTAGAAAACCTGGAAAATTAAATTTTAAAACCTTTTCTCAGTTGAATAAAAAAATGAGAAAAAGCGAAAAATTTAAAAAAATTATGACAAAGATTTTTTTATTTTTTTTATTAAAATATTCAAATTATTTTACAAAAAAACAAACCTTATTCTCCAAAAACTCTTTCGGAACCGGAACTCCCCATTTCAAGTCACGAGTAATACATCTTGGCTCGAACCCGGTCTAAAAATGGATTCTTTGATGAGAAACGTCAAATTTTCCCTAAATTTTTGTTCCTTGAGGAAATAACCTACTTTAAGCCAAGCCTTGACAATACTAATCGCGTTGGGGGACCACCTGTGATCAGGCCGATCCAACTGTTTCAGGACGTGATCACGAGCCGAATCCTTAAAAAAATTAATTTTATAGGGTTCATAAGGGACAAGCAAAACCTGCAACTTGTCCAAATCAATGAAAATATGCGTCGATTCGCGGACATGAGGCCTGTTCTTGCAAATGTGACATTGTGGCTGAAAACAAATCATGAAAAAACTTCAGAAAAAAGAAAAAAGAACCTCAATCAACTCGACAGCGTTGATGAGTCTCCCACAAGCATCACATTGGTCACCTCGAGCGTCATAGTAAGAACAAGTTGGGCAAGTTCCGGTGACGAAACGGTCAGCCAAAAATCTGAGAAAAAAAAACCGGTAAAATTCAACAATTTTTAGATTTTGCTTCAAGGTTCTGGAATTTAATAAAGTTTGCCTGTTCCTCAGAATCAGACATATACGAGAAAAAATATAGCTGTTGCTTTCCCTTTTATCTCACTTTACAGTCTCAATAAAGTAGGTTAATTTTGACAACTTATTGTTCTTCAATCAAACATCTCATTTGACAGCTCACTTCTCACAAGTCCCACAGTAGAGTTGGTCCACCGACTTGATCGACGTGAAGCCGTTCTTTTGCAACTTGTAAAAGATGTCTTGGCAAATTCTGAACAAAGATGAAATAAAATATCAATTTGCGGGTCTTTGCCAACTCTGTCTGCTGTTCGGTGGTGGTACGGCCGAAATTGTCAAACTCGATGTTGAACCATTCGTAAATCTCTTTGTGGACATGGTGGTACTTGTCGCAGAGTTCCTTCGGGGTGACGCCGTCTTGCAAAGCCTTGAACCTCAAAATTTATTATATTTTTATCTTTTAGCAAACCTTAGTTTCAGTGGCGGTACCGTACTCATCGGTTCCTGCAATGTACAACGTTTGATGGCCTCTAAGACGTGAATATCTGAAATTTTCGAATTATCTCTGAAGAAACTTTAATTGTATTGAAACCTTGCAAAAACGTCAGCACTCAAAACGCAACCGATGATATTTCCAAGGTGAGGAACATTGTTCACATAGGGCAACGCTGAGGTGATCAGAATGTTCCGCTTATCTTTCGAAGGCAGAATCCTATAGAAAAAAAGCTTTATTTATTCAAAAAAATTATTTTTCGAAGGTCCTACTGAACTCTGTTCAAAAATCCTTCTCGAGTTTTTCGGAACAATGAACCGTTTTCCATAATCAAGCCCTTCAAAACTTTTGCGACTAAACAAGTATTTTCGAACGTAGTGGAAACAAAAAATACAAAACTAACTTTTCCTTGGATCTGACATTGCCGGAGTACTGTGGGGCGGTGCTTTCCCACGCTGATTTAACACTCGCTCTACTGTCGGTCATTATTAAAACCTATAACTAGTAATTTCAACCAAAGAATTGAGCTGATAATCAGAGAACGAAAAGATTGAAAGTTCACAATATATACCCTGCTTAAGACGTATGATTCAACTTTTAGGACAAAAAAAAACTGAGATCCAGAAAGCTAACTTCGACTTCATACACTGAGGACTAGAACACCTACAACTATATTCAAGGAGAAAGGAAACTAAAATCCAGAAATCTATCTGATGTAACTTTTCGCCCTTTTATACTGCCGACTAGAGAATATGAGGAAGGAACAGGAAGGAACGCCCACAAAACGTGGTCGAAAAACAATTTCCCAGCGAGAGAGCGTAGAAAACAAGTGAGTCAAACTACGCGCACACAGCCTTCCCTTATGCAATCTGATGCAACCGGCTTTCGGCCATCAGCTGTATATTCAAAAATAGTCATTTTAAATCTATTATTTTGTTTTCCATATCTAGAGAGTTCTTTCTAACTTTTTATATCACACAAATCAAATAATAATTCGACTTTTTTCGAATCAGAAATAGCATCAGAAAGTTTCGGTGAAGGTTTAAAAAAATATTATTGCGGTGCTAAAACATTTGACTTTCATTTGATGCTAGTTGCAAAAATATTCAATATGAAAAAACGCTCAGAAAGTTGTCAGAACTTATTTCTCAGAAATTATAAGGAAGATAGAGAGAAATATTTCAAACGCTTGGTGACAAAAAAAGAAACCACTTGAAGAGGTTTTTCAAAGGAACGAGCAAACTAAAAAAAGTTTTCATTTGATTAGAGAAACAAGACTTTAAAATGAAGTTTTTCTTTTGAAAGTAAAGAGGATGTTTCGCACAGTGCACTATTATTATTGTTTTTTACAGGTATCTCAACAAAAAAAAAATTTTTTGTCCGCAAGTACAAATACGTGTTGCTCTTGAAGTACAAAAGAGAAAAATAAAATAAAATCAGTCTGTGATAAAATACTTGAGAAGAAGTTGTAGGCAAATTAAAAAAATAAATGAAAAAAAGTAGCAAAAAAAGGAGAGATTCACAGAAGGGAATTGCCGTTATTGACGGTGTACAAACTTTCTAAGAGTTATCTTTAAAACATGTAATCGTGAGGACATATTAAAAGTATAAACAAAATTAGGTAGATTTTTTTCAGAAAAAAAAAGGAAAAATTTCGTCGACTCTGGTGTCTTCCCCGCAAATTGATGAGAATGATTACAGTAAGATTGGATGAAAATTCGACACGTCGTAACTTCGGAAAACTGTCAATCAAGCTTATATTTGCTTGGTTAGATTCAAAAATAGAATTTTAGAAAATCAAAAATGCTTCTGGAACTGTGAAAGAAGGAATCATACCAATTGCGATTTAAAAAAAAGCCCAAATTAAAATACCGAGCATCTGCTTTGAGTTGAAAAAAGTGGAAAAATGTCACCATTTCTCCAAATTTCGCTTGAAATCCCGTTATAAAATATGTATTCAGACGAAAAATATTTGATTCTTTAAAAACAAAAAAAGAACAGGTGCACAGACAAGAAGTAATACCAAAATATTTTATTAGATTTTCAACAAATACACATTTCAATCACACAAAAGGCGAAAAGGCAACAAAGGAGGGGAGATGACATTACCAAAGCTAAAGCCCGAATATAAGGAAGGTTAAGCGAAGAGAAGATAAAAGCTTTCAAATGCAGGAGATTAAAAATGTACACACCTATTTTTAAAAAGTCCAATATGTACATATTACACGTAAAACCAATACCGTAGCAATAAATATAGATGTCTAGAATGGAAATGGATTTGAGAAGAGGAAACTGTTGTTTTTTCAGTGGGGTCTGACGTAACTGTAGCGGCTTCTGAGATAAGGATTGTAGGGAGTCATGTCGCCTTTGCGCCATTCGCTCCAGAGAAGTTTGGCGAGGAAAAGATGGAAGACGATGAGGACGAGGACGAGCATCACCCAGAAGGAGGTCGGAAGACCGCCGCCTGTGCCAGAACGGTGCAGCTCCAGCAAGTCTTCTTCGTGTGCTGGCGCCGCTCCAACTTCCGACACGTGGATCGCCGACCTGAATGATATACGAATGAAAAATCACAATTTTTACGAGCAATATTCTCGTGAAATGGTTGACACCCAACACTAGCGGTTGCTTTGAGATTTGAGAGAATTTGCACAAAATTAAACTTGAGATTTTGTATTCTCTGCCTAAACTTTGATCCAATCAATGATTGTAGATTTAATGGTTACTTATGATTCTCTCAAACTAGAAAAAGTGACAGAAAAATCAATTTTGAACGTTGAAAAAAACCCCTAGCCATCGTTGGATTTAGAATGGAAACAGTACCTAATCAAACTTTTTAGCATTAAAAAAAGAAAAAAATGAAATTTATGAGGAAAAATATAACGCGAAAAATTGAGCGATATGGGTTGAATCTTTCTAAGTTTTTTTGAAATACTGTTGATGGATTTAATGATATTTTTGGGAAAAAGAAGAAGTAAAGCTAAGCGGAAGCCAAAAATTAATTCCTAAAAACAGAAAAGGAAACCAACTTCAATTGCTCCAGATGTTTCCGGTTGGTAGCAATATACAAAAGACTAGTGATCGGCTTGGTCACCTGAAAATCGAGGATAAAATATCGTTATTTCGAGATAAAACACCTTGACAGGTATTTTGATAGCCGTAGTCCCCAGAGTGAATGGAACATCCAAGCAGCCAGCATCGCAAGCGTACAATTGCGCTGTAGACGAAACCTGAAATTATTCCTTTTCTTTATTGTTCTAGTAACAAAAAATACCAAAAAGTAGGGCCTATTCTCCTCGTTGATTTTTATGTAAACCGCCACATTGCCAACAGTTCCAGTAGCGCTTCCAATGGGAATTCCGCCAAAAGACATTTCTCTGTGGAGATCTCCAGCGTCCAGGCCAATTTCCAAGTGGGAGTCGTGGAAAGAGGCGGCGGCCAGGGACTGAACAAAGGCCTGAAGTTTTCGAAATTATTAAAGATCTTTGTGGGAAAAGACCTGAGCCACTCCCACAGCCCCGGTTTTGAGGACATTCGAACATCCACGTTTCTCCAAAGTAAGCAGCCAAAGTCCAGCAATGGTGTTCAGATCATCAGGCGTTGACCAGTCTTGCCAAAGCCTTTGAATGAGAAAATGAAAATGTGAATTTATTGGCTTAAAACTGAGTTTTTTTTCTCATTTTTTTAAGAACGGCAGCCTTAAAGTCAATAAAACAGCCAGAAGTCGGTTAAACCAAGAGAGAAAGAGAAAGAAAGAATGAGAGAAATAGAGAGGTTTTGATCTTTTGTTCCTGGAAGAGCGAAATTTTGGAGATTGAAATCTTCCATGAACTTGACCTGCTAGTTTGGAGTTTATTATTGCAAATATACAAAAAATAGAACTCCGAAACAGAAAATATGAAATATATTTTTACGGGCCCTTTTTTGATTACTCGTTTTCCCTAATGACCTGCTCACCACTTTTATTAATGTTTCCAGGCTTCAATACTAGCAAAAAAAAACTACCTCGATGGATAGAGAAGAGTAGAGTGACCACTGTAGCAAAGTTCATTGCGACGAGCAGACAGTTCAAGGATCTGGAAAATATGTATTATAAAAAAAAGAAGGCGAAATCTGAACCTTTACAGTTTCCTGCGGAACTCCGACTTCCAGAGTGAGAGCTTTCGTGTGACTCAATATGATATATTTGGTTGCATTGACCCGATCTCCATTTATGGCGTCTGGAGCCTTCGAGGGAACCAATGAAAAAAATGTTGAGTGAAGCTGAGAAAATCATGTTTTTGGCCATTTCGAAACAAATTGCAAACTTTTTTCCAGCCGTCTTTGTGCTCCGAATCGAGTGTTGTTAGAGAACGAACAGTAGAAAACTTTTCGATAACCTAAAAAAAATCTGTCGGTTTGAAAACTTCAGATAACTTAAACCTCAGAAGAAAGATCGGTTTGTTCTAGTTTTGATTCTTTCTGAGCGACAACACAAATGAAACGAAGGGTTTCTTCTCTGTAAAAGAAAAAATAAAATCTGGGACTCATGGAGAATTTTTAAACCTTTTCTGAGAAACTACGAGTTTTTTTCTGGAGCGTTTGTACAAACAACAGCCACAGAAACGTTGAAACTTGGAGTATTGAAGGTTCGCATAGAAACCACAGCGTCGCCCCTAAATTACATGAAACTTGGAAAAACCTTTAATCATTTTAATCTCAACTAAACGTTGTTTGATACACTGGTATGAACATTGGAAAGTTTTCTTAAAATAATGAAACTTCAAATAAACTAACGATTTGGATTGTTTCCATTGAGAAGAAACAGCGGGTCGTTCTGCACGCAGTCGAATCGTTGACTTCTGAAAAAATCTCACAATTAATATGAAAAATCAGAATAGTTTTCTGCTTGAAACTCCTGAAAACACGTACTTCTATATATAACTATAAAATCGAAGATTTTTTTATCCTTTGGAAAAGGTATCGCTTTTTTTAACAACCAAACCTCAAAAAGTCTCAATTCGCACAACTTCCTAGTATTTGAAAAAAAGAGACTCAAACTTTTTCGGAAAAAAATCTCTCAAACGGCTTTTCATGATTTTTAATTTTCTACTCCTCAAAAAAATGAAGATTTGCAGATCAAAAAAATTCCAATATCTCAAGTGCAAATCTTCAGAAAAATTTTCTATTAATTTCCGAAAAAAACTTCTGAGGGCCAAATCGGTGAAATCAGTTTTTTTGTAGAGTTTGGAAGGTTGTTAAAAAAAACTGCTACTTCTGGAAAATATTTTCTAGGATAGCAGTTAAAGAAACGAGATTAAGATTTCGAGTGAAATGAGAAAATTTACCGTTGGATTGACGACTTTGATGTCTTGCACAAGCACATTTGGCCTCGTTCTATGGGCATAGAATGACACGATAACGCAAGCGCATTCCCCGTCCTGAAAAAACCGAAATCCCTTTCCATTCACCAACGATAACTATCGATTACGAAATCTCAATTAATCTTTGAAAAGAAAGTTAATTTTAGAGTAAACTCACAACGACCGTGCATTGGATTTTCCTGGAGATACCATTGAAAAAATCGGTTAAATGAGCGGTACCGATTTCTTCTTGATTTTCAATTACAGAAGAAACCCCAGGAACGAAGTCCGTCTCCACATCTAACACTCGAGAGTTATTCGAGGCAAACCTAAAATCAATTTTTTTTTAAATCATGAAACATGAAAACCTCAAATATCCATTTGAATCCACGCCGAAATGACCATTTCCAACAAAATTCACAGAATAACTGTCAACTCCAGCATTGTAATCCTCAAATTGAACCATTTCCAAAAGTAATAATAAGCAAGCTACCTCAATCTCGGCATCCCAATACTTAATTTGGTCTAAAACGCATTGATGATTCTGCGATGGGGTCGTTGAGCTCGAAGATCTTGAGAGGACGTAAAATAAAAATATAACTAAAGCTGCGATAAGCGCTAATCTCCGTCGAGGATAACGCCGTAAAAGACGTATTTTTCCTTCAAAGTCGATTTTCTCCAGCTGCTGAATGAAAGATTGCCACAAAAGCCCCGCATTCATCAGCTAAATGAACAAGTTGTTTGGCATAAAGTAGAAAGTGTTTGCAAAAAGGAGTGTAAATTTTCTTTAAAGCTGAAAAAAACATAAAATGTGATGGTTAATCATCAACAACTTCAAAAAATTAGTTATAAAATTAATAAAATGAAAAAAGCATTCTTCATCTTATAAGGCACCCTAGGGTCGGGCTTTAGCAGCGAAGATAATAATTTTATTTTTTATTTTTCAAAGCTTTACTTTCGTGCTAACAATTTTGATAACGGATGAAGTAAATTTAAAAAAAAAACTGAGAACAACAGAAATAGAAAATAAAATGGAAAACGAGGAAAGTCTGCTCCAAAGAAAATGGTCCTACAGCGACCGGAGGTGATCTCCATCGGAAGGGCCGAGCGGTGATTATTGGCCTTCACGAACAATTGTCGATACGTGTGGAAATTTATGTTTTGTAAAAATTGTATATTTTTATGATATATTGTTTACTTCTTCAACTGTCGCTTGTTTAGAAGTTCATGATGAAATCAGTCGTTGCCGTAGATATGTTGTCTCCTCTCAAAGTTTTGAAGCTCTATAATAACTTTAAACAGTTTTTTCTATCCATAAACCCTACTTTTCTGTATATTCGATTACTTATTGTACTCGATTCGAATCTGTCTCACTCAAAAGTTTTATTTTTCAGGGCGAACCTTCCAAACTCGGACAAAATGGGCATCAGCGACAATGACGTGCAGAAGCAGCTCCGCCACATGATGGCTTTCATTGAGCAGGAAGCTAATGAAAAGGCAGAGGAGATCGATGCCAAGGCTGAGGAGGAATTCAACATTGAGAAGGTCAGTTTACTCCGTTTTCTCCTTTTACTTCGTTATTTAAATTTTTTATAAAAATAATGATTTTTCTTTCTAGGGACGTCTTGTGCAACAGCAGAGACAGAAAATCATGGAGCATTATGAAAAGAAGGAGAAACAGGTCGAGCTTCAACGCAAGATCCAGTCTTCCAACTCTTTGAACGCCGGACGTCTTCGTTGCTTGAAGGTATCAGGGTTTTTTTTTTCGAACTTTATTATCTCAATCTTTTTTTGGTAGAAATACGTTTTCTTTTAATGCTTTCAAAGCTTTTTATATGTTCATTTTCTCAGGCTCGTGAAGATCATATTCGTTCGGTTCTGGAGGAAGCGAAGAGCAACCTTTCAAGAATTTCTGGTGACACTGGCCGCTATCCGTCCATTCTCAAGGGTTTGATCCTCCAGGTTTGCATTTTTGAAGCTTTTTTTGATTACACTGAAAACTTTGTTCAAGAGTTAGCTGAACTTTGTGGATGTTAGGGGATGTTTTCTCTCAGATAATTCATTTTGTAAAAAAAAGATTTGAAAATCTCGATTTTATAGGGTCTTATGCAGCTTCTGGAGAAGAACTGCGTTCTCCGTTGTCGCGAGAAGGACCAGCGTCTTGTCGAGCAGCTCCTCCCAGAGTGCCTTGATGCTCTGGAGAAAGAATGGGGAGATCGCACCAATGTTAGTTTCTTTTCCATTAGTTTTTTATCAATTAAAATTGGAGCATGAATTTGAGTGAAGCTCATTTCCATGGTGTAGTTTGATCGGGATTCAAGAATCGTTCTTTCCAGGTTAAAATTGATACTCACAACTACTTGCCCGCTGATTCGGCTGGTGGTGTCGTTATGTCATCCAATGGAGGAAAAATCAAGGTTTTATCTACGCTGGAGAGTCGTTTGGAACTGATTGCTGGTCAGGTTAGTAAGAACTTTTATCTCGTTTTTAACATTTTTCATCGATTTTAATTATAACCAAGTAGATTTTGTGAGTCTACGAGAGCTATGTTTGACGAATGGGTACTTTTTTCATAAATAGGTCAAGTTTTTTTCTTTTTAATCCTGTTTTTTTCAAGGGTTATCTGTGCGCGAAAAATCGAGCTTCGTTAAGCCTTTTTCAAAAAAATTTGCTAAATACATGATGAAGTAAAATCATTAATTTTTAGCGTTTGACTTCAAATTGAATGTTAAAGTTTTCATTCATTTACCAAGTTGCAACTTAACGGAATTTAAAAAAAGTTTCCTCAAGTCCAAATCTTTGCAGATCGTCCCACAAGTGAGAACAGCTCTGTTCGGCCCCAACCCCAACCGCGAATTCTTCGACTAAACTCTTTTAGGAAGAAGTCAAACGCGCTGACAGACTAAGTATTGCTAGAGTTTTACCAATTATCAAAATCCCTTTTCTCTTCATGTTGATTCTCTTTTCAATTCTCTTAACCCAAAATAATGATGTGATAACTTTGAAACAAATAGTACGAAATTTTGGTTTCACTCGTCAATCATTCCATGATTTTTGTCGCTGTATGAATACAATCGAAGGATACTTTATTTTTATCCATTTCTCTCACCATCCCATTCCTGTTTCAGAGGCCAAGTTCGGCCAAAATACTCTCGGTTAGTTACGTAGATTGTAGATATTTACGATTTTAAAGAAAGAACTATTTCACTTGGTTCCTGACAGATGCTTATAGTAAATGGATGTATTTTATTTTTTTGTAAATGGATTCAAGAAAAATTCTGCAATAAATTGTTTTGAGATAATTGAAGGGCCGGCGTTAAAAGAGTCGCAAGAGGAAAAAAAGGAAAAAAAAATTAAGTGTAAAGTGTAGGTTACATACTCTCCTCTTTCACTTTACAATTCGAAAGGTTCAAATCGATTATTCGAAGTAAATTTCTTTCAACCTCCCAAGAAGTTAATTTCAAGGAACAAAACGAAGTAAATTTCATTCAACCTCCCCAAGACGTGAATTCAATAAATTTTAATTCTTTTCGAAACGATCTTCTTTTTTGAGAAGTTCACTACTGTGCGTCTCCAAATGGTTGCGATTCGTAAAATTTTGCTGCCTGGGGCGAAAAGAGAATGTTTCCAACGTTTCAAATTCGAAGTTGCACCGAAAAACAATTGAATCAGAAGAACTGGCCAACTATATTGTTTCCTGGGTGTTGTTGTAAACTGGTCATCTGACGAAACAGAAAGAAAACAGAAGAGGGTGCAGACGAAGCGGAAGGAAGAAGTGTTGGCGATCGAGAGAAGTTAGAAGTTTTTTCAGGGGAGGAGCGAAAGGTCGGCGGCGACTCGAAGAAGAAAAAAAAAAGAACCAACAGCTTTCTCTTCTTCGTTTCTGTTAGTTGGTCGCAATAAAGTTTGCTTTTTCGGACACTAAAAATGAAGTTTATTTTTGAAACTTCCGAAATCGAAAAGGAACTAGTTTCCTCTTGTTGATACGATTTTTGATGCAAGTCATGGTTCTTAACCTTTGAATGGAATCGAATCTGGTTGGGTCTGACTCACCTACTCCTACTTTTAGAATCGCTTCCGACTTTCTTCCCCTTTTTTATTTTTGGTCTTTCGTTTTTAGTTTCACTTTTAGTCAGGTTTCCCACGATTCTCGTGGCTTTACTTGAGGTGTGAAATAAATTTTGTAGAATTCTTGCCAATCGAAAATTGGGGTTTCCAGTTTTTCTTCTTTTTCATAGGTTAGTTTAATATCTATTATTTAAATGAACTGAATCATCGGTTTTATACTCATCAACTCAGTTCTTTTTTAGTTAGTCCGCCTCTTCAAATAATAAAGTCTTTTTCCTCTGATATTTTGCTTGTCAGATCAATTGAATATCTTCTTAACTTTACGTCTTTTTTGAATTTTTTTGCTCTTATCTTTTAATCATTGCAAACTGTTCAGTAAAATGGATTAATAAGATATAATTCAAAAATTAATTGCATTTTTGTAAAGAAATACCTTATTTCGATCTCTGCAAGTCTGAAAAATTTTTGCGAAACGTTGGACACTGTTGTCTCAAATATAGACACCGAAATAATAGGAACCTGTTTTCTGCAACTTTTCTCGACGTTAGCTATTTACAATGGTTTTCTGGGGTATTCAAAAAGTTGAATCTTGGTGTGACCCAATGAAACTAGAAAGAAGTAACTAGTATCAATCAATCAAATCAAAAATGTTTTATTTCTCACAAAAAGTACTAAAAATTCTTGTATAATATATTAAACTCAATTTTTCAGTACTCACTTACTCTTTTTTTTGAACTCTTTGGGTAAATATTGGCGAAATAAGGGGGGTAGCAACATGAAATGAGCTTGCCTTTGTTGTTACTTTCGAAGAAGAAAACGCCCTAAAAGAACTTAGAAATCAATAAAGTGACTACTAAGCACTAAGAAAAGTTTTTTAAGATGTCAAAAAGTTAAATGTTTTTCTTGTTTGTAGCATCTTTAAATTTGACCGACTTCTGATCGAAAATCAGCAGGCTGTGCAATTTCGAAACTTGACTGTGAAACTTCGCCTCTTTCCCGTTGCGTGTCATATTTTAAAAAGCTCCTGTTCAAAACATGATATCTATTTTGAACTATTTCAGAATGAGAAATAGGATAACTTTGGCGATATGCTTCCTGGTACTCGGCGTCGTCAGCGCCACGCAAATTCGCTGCTACTCTGGCCTGAAATACGTCGTCGGACAGGACGTCTACCAGGACACAGGTCAGTCTCACGTCTTTTGATTCAACTTCAGAAGACGTTCAGAAGACTGCGACTCGGTGCTCGGCATCGGCGACGCCTACTGCTACAAGTTCATGGAGGAGACGGCAGTTAATGAAGTCGTTAAAATGGGCTGCTCCAGCTTCTTTTGTAACGTCAGTTTCTGGAATGTCTTCTGAAACTTTTCGTAAAACAAAATCGTTTTTAAGCATCTTCAATTTTGAAAAATTTCTTTGAAAAAAAAAGTTAAATTTTGTCGTTTCCAGGGCATCCGCAATCGATGCATGCAAACGGACATGATTGGAATGAAAGGTATTTTCTATTGAAACTTTTGTTTAAAAAAAAGACGCTCTTTGGATAAATACAAATATTTCAGGAACCATTTGCTGCTGCAACGATCGTCACTACTGTAACTCAGCACGGGGGAAAATCACCGTTTTTCTTGTACTCTTCATCATTTTCTTCGTTTCTTGCTTCCAAGTTATTCTCTGTGAACCTTGAAAGTTAGCACGATCAAATTTAATGGAATTATAGGGTATAGTGTAATTTTGTACATTTTAGCATTTTCTTGAAAATTTTTCCAAACGGTACGTAACGATCTACATTTTTTCAATATGAATTGATGCACGCGAGCCCAAAGTTCATGGCTTCACGTGAAATGGAGCGAAGCATGGAGCTGTTTTAGAGCGCATCCGACCTGGAATGGGTTTCGCGCGGTGGCATCCGAATGAACAACGATTTTCAAAGTGTGACCTTGGGCTAGTAATTTGAGTCGAAGAGTATAAAATAAGATGTAGCATTGAATTTACACAAAAGCTCAGGTGCTTTCTTGTTTTTTGTTATTTTTATTCTGAGTTCATTGCTTGAAAAATTGCCATTTCATGTTTTCTGGTTGACAACGGGTATCAAAATAAACTTTTTTCTAATTTGAACACTTCAATAAAATAAAAGGGAAGAAACACCGAGATACAGTCTTGAAGTGAGAGAAAATAAAAGATCGGGCAGCTCAATATGAAGACGTTGGCGGATTATAATTTGAGCCGCGGCTCAAATTTCGTGCAGGCACGTCATGTTGTACGAACAAAAAAAATTTGATCAGGATAAAAAAATAAAGGCGATTGTGCTAGATTGCAAATGCGAAGAGAGGTATATAATCACAAAAAGAAAAATCAAAAAAAAAAAAACAGAAATTTTGACCTAGACAATGGAAATTATGGCAGGTGGGAATGAAGTTGGACAATAAATATAAATAAGTTTAACAATAAAGAGGATCCGGTTTATTAAAAGGATTTGTTTTTATTCAGAAATCTTGAAGTAGAGTTGATTTTCGATTAAAATAACTTTCTTCTGATTTAGTAGACAAAAACTTTAAAGCAAGAAGAAAAGTTCAATAGACAAGACACCCGGGGTTCCCCAAACCCTCAGCAGATATTTCTTTAAAAACAATTTCTATGGCGTGTTCATCGGACAAAACGAAAATTGTTACAAAACGCAAAAAAAGTCAGAAGAATTCACAAAATTTTTCGAACTTTGCAAGGGTTTGGTGATGGAATCGTTATCAAAATGAGAGATAAAGAATGAAAAAAGGAAATCAGACGACTTCGCTCCTCGCGGGGCGAACGGGGACTTCGCTACTGAAACTCGTGTCGCGCGTCTCGTTTAGAGGACTGTAGTTAGGCTTTCGTAGGGGCTGATTCTGAAATTATTTTACTTTCAATTTGAATGTTCAAGTCAAAAAAATTAAGAAAAAAATGAAGATTGGAGCATGCTGATAAATTAAAGACCTTAAAGTTTTGAATTTTTCTTTTACGATTCCAAGCCTCATGATCTCTAATCAAACTCAAACGGAGAAAAATGAAAGCAGAAAAAGCATAAAAGCAGAAGGACAAAAAAGTACAAAAAAGCTTGGTTTTAATTTTAAAATAATCAACGAATATCGCTCAAACGAACTCAAACTTAACCTTTTCAAATCCGAGTAAAAGTTGCTGTCATTTTCAAATTTGTTTCCACCTTCGAGAGAATTCAATTCAAGATCCGATAACCAGCAGAAAAAAAACCAAAAAGAAATACCGCATTCAAACAAAAAAAAAAAGCCAAGAAAAAGAAAATTATCCCAAGCTAGAAAGGACCAAAATCACGCCAAAACCAGAACTTTCAAGATTTCTTACCGAGTGGCGCCGTTGTCAAACTACCGTGAAGCGGTTTGGATCTAAAGTCTATCAGAGAATTAGGAAAACGAACGAAGAGACAGGACTACGGTAGAAGCGACAGAGGAATCGGCAAAAGCTACCAGAACGTACTGATGGGCCGAGCGTCGGCTGGAGGCGGCATCATCGCCTGGCGAGGCGAAGATTCGTCTCGAGACCTGTACGTCGCCTGGAGCGGCTGACGGTCTTCGCTTCTCACGAACGTCTTCATTTCTTTCTCTTTCGGCTTTTTCATCTTCCTGCGAAAATTTCAAAAGTTTTTTTCAAGACTACTTTGAGCTTGATTATTTTTATGAGTAAGGTCAGAAAAATCCTAAAAAAATCGAACCACCTATGTTTTTTTTTAAAGCTTTTCATCAGGTTTTTTTGAAAAGAAAAAAAAAATGAGAAAAAAAACTCGGAGTGAAAGACTGGAAAGCCTATGGAAGGATGGATAAGCTAACGCGAAATTTCTGAAAAAAAAGTTCAAGTTTCAATGAAGCTTTCAAGAAAAATTCCAAAAATTTAGAAATATTCATAGATTGATACTTTTTTTGTGCTGTAAAGTTTATAAAAAATATTAAACAGGTAATTAAAGAGTGAAAACTAAAGTCCTTTAGATTACTTGTTGCTGGACGTAAAATAAAAGCAAATACTTACTGAATACAAGCCATGACCAAAGAGAGAATGCAGCAAATAAGAAGGAAGAATACGATGATTGAAAGGACGATCGTCGCCGTTTTGTAGCTCGTGTCCACGACTCCCTGAAAACAAAGGCGAAATATCACAGATGACCAATTGGAGGGATCTTACAGCGTTATGAGGATCGAGAACGCTGCCGTCCTCATCTTGGCAGTAGGTCTGCTCTCTGATTCCCCAGGGGCAGTTTTTGCAGTTGTCTACCTGAAAAGGGCTCGTATTCGGATAAATATTATAAAAAGTGACTTTTTCGATGCTTTTAAGACCATTTTCCTACGAACCTGTCCATTGTTGATGTAGTTGCAGACGCTGAAGAATCCGGTGGCATTTGAACGGCAGGCGGCGGCGTTGGAGTTGATGGGAGACTTGGTGCAGCTCAGGTCGCACGAAGGTCCTATCAGACTTCCAGAACAGGAAATCGAGTAGGCCAAGGAGAGGCTGCAGGTTCGATAATGATGAAAGGAAAGCAGAACCTTAAAACCTCGTTCCAAGAAGTTTGCCTTGATAGGTTCTTTGCTGGTTCATGTTCTGTACGCCGTCAACCGCTGGAAGGCTGTCTGAAGATGAAGAAAAGTTTCTTCAATTCTCTTTGAAAAATACTGCCGGTTGAGCTTAAAGTTTCGCTAATCCTTACCACGAATTCCAGTAAAAAAAAAATTAGTTTCAATGATGCAGTTTTTCTAACTTGGGTAAAGATATAAGTATTGAAATTATAACCGTTAATTGATCCCGAAGTTCAAGGTTAAATATCCACCTTGTTCGGAACTTTACGCTAATTTCAAACTGTAAAAAGAATTTTCGAAAGATTACATTGAAGCTTACTGTGACTTGAAATCCTTGAAAAAAGGCCCTAAAGGTGAATTTTTTCGAGGCGAACGGTCGGAACGCTTCCGAACTTTTTCAAGACTCACCAAGAAGAGGAACTACGAAGGTGTCGACATGGACGAGTCTGTCGCCGACCGCAACGGGGTTCCCGCTTTTGGAATCGAAAACGGCTCCCAAATGATGGGCGAAGACGTCGATAGCCGACTAAAATTCCATATTATCCAGCTACTTTTTGAAAAAAGCGCACCGGTTTTGTTGGGAGCTGAACAACATAATTCTGGTTCCAGACGGACTGCGAAGACATTGGCAACGCTCCGCTTTGGTCCAGGTAGACAAAGTCCGTGGCCAGGTATCGCACCGATTCGCTGAACCAGAAAAATAGTCCTTTTGTGGTAAGAGAACCAACTCTGGACAGGAAATGATGAAGGTGAAGCTGATGTAGCAGCGCGGCGTCGACTTGAGGTAGGCGCAGTTGTGACCTGGCGGACAGACGCAGGTGTTGCCGTTGGGAAGGATCGACGACGGATTCGCGTAGCCCCGGAGTTGGAACTGGATCGTCACGCCGCCGTTCACCATTCTGTTCTGCTGAAAGCAAGACCTAGTTATAAAAAGTTGAAGAAGCTGAAATAAATGTCAAGATACCGAAGATCAATGCTTTTTCGTCAGCACAAAAAATCTGACCGAGGTTAGCAAAAAAAAAAAAGCCGTTTTCGCAAAACTGAACTCTAATTACAAGAAAAAAAGTTCGAACCTTTAATACTAAACTTTTCTAGGGAGAATTAAAATAGTTTGGACTCACTTTATCAAAAACTTTTTCGCTCTCCCTAGGTACCTCTGATTTCCCAGCACTCCTTTTTCTAATATATGTTATCACACGATCAATTATCCCTATCATTTTTCACTTTCTCCCTTCCCATCTCTATCTTATTTGTAAAATGTGTTCCGCGCAAGACTTTTTAGAAGAACAGCAAAAAAAAAATAAGCTGAAGGGAACACAGTTTTTTTTTTTGCACTTTCGCGTCACAAAAATGCAAAAAATAAAGGTCTTGTTACGAAGTTTAGTCAAATTTCGTTAAACTTGCTATACGGTCTTTATGCAAAAAAAAAAAACAAGAAAAAAACTTTAGTCTCCCGATTTTTTTGAACCGTTGATGAGAGAAAGAATGACTTTCAGTTAAAGAGGCTTGAACCAGTTTCATATCATAAATGCTCATAAATGAACATAAGCATAAACGCTCAAGTTTTCTTTCGAAATTTAAAAATGTTAAAAAAAGTTTCCTATTTTTCTTTTTATAGTTGCAAAAAGCCCACCATGCTGCCTGAATTGTTGTAAGGCGTTAGAGCCTGATTGAAAAGCCCTCGATTCTGCGGCTGTTGCTGCTGCATGTATCCTTGTTCCTGCAGGAGTTGCTGCTGAGAGCTGCCACCTTCGAAGCCCAGACTTCCTCCAGTGCCCCCGTAGTTGGAGCTTCGATCATTCTGCTGTTGCTGTGGCTGTTGTTGTTGTCCATTTCCTTCGTTCCGTGTCTGGAAAACTTCAATAAAAAAAAGGTAAGTTTTTTCTTGAACATTGAGCAAGAATAAAATTTTCTTAACGATGAAATTCTTCGAATTTTCATGCGTAATAGCGTCGAACAAAAAAAAATTTTTTAAGTTAGGGCCTATTAGGCTTAGAGGAAAGTTACAATAAAATGGTCAGATTTTTTTTTTCCTAAGGAAGACAATTATGAATAATAGATAAGTATTAATTCATGAAGAAAAACATACAGAATTTAAAAAAATTCAATAAACTTCGGATTATAATAATATTATTCCTAAAGTAGTCGCTATTTAAATCATGCGTCTTATGCAAGAAGTTCGCGCACGCTTCGCTAAACCAAAATTCAGTGAATATTCAAAAATTTTCTGTCATCAATTTTTTTTCCTTTTTTTTTTGCTTTCTTTGCTTTTTCTTCTCGGTTTTTGTTTCCAGCACGTCTTTCAGTAATTTTTTCAGAATAATTGCGATATTTTTCAGATAATAACTTTCGCGATTCAACTGAAACAAGAAAAAAGAAAGTCAAACTCACACGAAAATCTCCAAATTGCAGATTGGCGTAGGGATTGAGATTAGCTGTATTGGAGCCGCCGTTGGAGTTCGTATCGACCTTGGCGTAGTAACCGAAGCCCGAAGAAGAAGCCGTCGGTTGCTGGTTGTATTGGCCGTTGGATAGGGAAAGAAAAGCTAGAAATAGTGCCACGGACGTCCGCCATCGGCTCATTGTGCTGTAATTGAGGTTTTTGATTTTTTATAGAATTATAACTGGAAATCGTGAGCGAATTCATAATCAACTGGAACAATAAAAAAAAAATCAACAGATTTAATAATGGATATTTAACCATAATAGAACTGAAACAGAAAAAAATTTTTCGAGGTTTTTTTTCAGAATTAAAAAGGCTGTGCAGTTATGAAAGTTGATGGTAGTAATCTTATAATTTTATAATTTTTGTTGAAATTTTTAAGATTAGCCTGAAGCAAAAACTGGAATTGATTCTTATGAAGACTGATTTTTAAAAATGAACTCCTAAAAAAGTTTAGAAAAAGGTTCAGCCTGGTCAGACACAGCCAAAATACATAATATAAAAGTTTTAAAGTTTGAAAATAATCCTTTCAATGGCTCATTTCAATTATCTGAAGTCGACTCAAACAATTGAGAAAGTTTTCTCCACAAACAAAAAAGTGCGCAAGAAGCGATAGCAGGCACAAGGAATGAGTAAAAGCATATGAAAACGTTGGAGATGAGATAGAAATCTTCGCGGTTGAGGATTTTCATTTTTCCTGTCGTTAACCTCGATTTGGACTTTGACTCCAGAAAACGTTAAAAAGGTAAGATTCATGAGAAAGGAAGAGGAAATAGTAATGTAGGAGGGTCCTTCAATGTAGAGAAAGAAGGATTCAATGGAGTGTCCTGGAAACCAGGGAACTATCCTAAATTAGCTGCGACCGCGTTTTTAACTCCGCGGCATAACTTCTCTCTTCTGTTCGCCTCAAATTGGCATCTTTTGTCCGTGAATTTCGTTTCAACCTTCGGAGTTTTCAGAAAATATTATTTAAAAAACCTTCTGCAGATTTCAAACTGGAAAGGGTTGCGTAGAAAAAGGAAATGTTGTTTTGAAAAGAAGAGTTGAATATCGGAAGAAGGTTAGTTTTTCATTAACCTCGAGGAAAGTTTTTAAACAAGCTTTCATTAGGTTACGCGAATTTTGAAAGATGTTTAAGTTTCGAAAATCAAACTATCTTTTTAAATTCCGTAATAACAAATAATCTACTGCGGTCTTTGAAATTGAGTGAAAACAAGAAAGAGAAAAACAGAAAAGGTATATATCTCTACATAGATATCTATATTTTGTTACGAAACGTGCGTGTGCAAACAATTCGAGGCAGCCGTTGGGAAAGAAGAAAAGTGGGCGTGGCTTTTGGGGGCAAACACTGGCGGTCCGACGCCATGTTTTCACCTAGGTTCTTTTTTTTGCCTTAGGCTAGGTCTTAATCAATTATTTGGATGATTTATAGGAGACTTAGAGCTTCTTCAGTAAGATTTTAGAGGTGGGAAGATTGAGAAAGCTTTTATCAAGTTTGCAAAAAAGCCTCTTTATTTTTGAGTTATTTCCACTTTCAGAGTGCATTATAATTTTCATTTAAAAATATCATGGAAAGATAATTTTATGGACTTCTGCTCGCATTTCAAAGAACAGAAAACCTATGAAACGGAAGCTCTTATTAAAAAAACTCAAAGAAACAGGAAAGACTGCGAAAATCGAAAATTTGAGCCGAAAAGTAAGGGTTCTGAGAAGAATCCCGCGCATTTGAAAGCAGAAAAAAACGTGAAATGATTCATAAGGTCAATAAAAATCTCTAAGCGAAAGCTTTTTGAACAGGTAGGAAGACATTTTTCGAAAAGAGATTGAAAAAATAAAACTCAAGAAAAATATTTGAGAACGGATGAGGATGAGGACTTTACTCAAAAAATAGTTCTAAATTATCCGAATTTCAAAGAATGAGCTCAAAAAACAACCTTCCAGTTCAAAACGGAAAGAGGCTCACGGAAACTACAAAAATTTCGGAAAATTTTGAAATTGAAAAGGTTTGAACAAAATAGTAAAACTAAGAAAGAGAGATGTTGGAACTGTACGAGTGTTTGTTGAAATTCGTCCTCTGGTCGTCGTACCAAAATGGTTTTCACACGTGGAAAAATCAGAAAAATCGTAAAAACGACAGAAAGGAAATGCAAATCAGGCCTGTGAACGTTTCACCTTGGAATCGAATTTCATATCTAACTTTGTTATTTTCTGTACAGTTAGGAAGAAGGCTGACTGAATTTAGAATAACTGTTTGAATGCAGCCTTGGGAACGAGAAATATCATATTAATTATCAATGAACTTTTTTTTTGTATTGGTCCTGAAGTCTCTTTAAAAATATACAAGCTTTTTTTTCTCGATCATCATTTTTCTGAAAAGTGAAGGAAAACCTCAGAATCTGCAATATTTTGAAATATTTCAAGTTTTTAACCTGGTCGAAGTCGGAAAATAATGCCTGTAGTTTGTATAGCTCAAAAGTAAGAGAAAGGTAAAATTCAAACAAAAAGACAAAATCACACGGTCCCGAAAAGCGATCAATAACGAGAAAGGAAAGAGAGGAACCTGGAAAACAGTTATCAGTTTATCAGGAACGTCGCGGAGCTATGACTCATGGAAACACGGTCAAATATTTGACGGAGCCATCCCAAAAACGGCGCCTTTCTCGTGACCGCCCACGTTCAATTCTCCTCCGGCCGCCCGTATTATTCATAACCTGCCACGATTCGTCATCTTTTCAGCTTCGACAGTGCAAGAATAGGAAGGAATTACGTTAGGTACAGCTAGAGGAGGAAGAAGGATTGTGGATAGGCAGGAAGTTGCTGAATTAGCAACAAAAAAGTTGGAATGAAATTGAAAAAAAAAATGATAAAAAAACCCACTAGTTCAACGAAGGTTTCAAAAAAATTTGAAGTTTGAAATTTGAAGTTCTGGCCGTGGAGAAATTGATCGAAAGATGTTTACTAATGTTGGTAGGAATAAAGATCATGAATCGGAAATGAAAGAGAAAAAACTTTGAAAAATTAAATGAAAAATTCGGGCCTTGTGAATTATTTTTATAGACGGAAACATTCAAATTTTTTCTTTAACAATTTCTAACATAAAAATCTTCCTACTTCGTTCATTCCAGTTTGAAAACGTCGTGGTCGCATTTGGAATGGCTCGACGCGTTTTGATATGCATCAAGTCTTCAGATAACTTGATGTTGAGCAGTAGTCTTTATAATTATTTCATAATTGCTGGTAGAAACTCGATATTAATGACACGCTTCTCAAAAAACTCGATTTTGTAACGCGGAGAGTCATTCTACGTGCCAGGAGCTTTTAACTGAGTTTTTCAATTTCCCAGAAACTGCTCTAAAAGTGATAAAAAAAAAACTCTATTTCTCAGAAAATCTGAGATAAAATACGATAGAAAAGCAAATAAACAGGCTGGTAATTACAGGTTACGTGTACAATGGCCCTACAAGAATATCGCCAACACAAGAGGATCGTCCTCAATCCCAAATAAGGAGACGATCCAAGGCCGCCGATTATTTGTTCACCCGTGCTCCGAACGCTTTCATGGAGGTTTGCACAAACAGTTACCACATATCAAAGCCTTGAAAAAAAACAATTACGAAATGATAATTGAAAAATAATCCAATTCAGGGAAGCAGAGAAAAAAAATTTTGTGACAGGGGGGTTAGACTTGAAAACATGAGACCCCGTGAAAATCGTGTTTTTTTGGCTTTATTAAAAATAAATTCAAAGACGGTAAAAAAATGATATTACACTTCGACAGCTCGAAATTTTGTGTTCAACGGAGTGTCGTTCAGAAAAAGTAAGGTGACTTCTGGTTTTTCACTTGTAAAATGAGTTGAGATCTCCTCTTTTCAATTTTTTCCGATCGTATGAAAATAAATTACTGTTATTTCAACAACACTTTAGGATACCGTTTAGCTCGAAATCATCTCTATTCTAGGGCGTCATGATTTCTGTAAGGCTAAAAAATTATATGAACTTTTAAAAAGCTTCTCTAAAATATACTCCATCATTGAGCTTGATCTTCACCTTTCTTTCAGCGTAGCTCCAAAAAATGTTCGAAATCGGTTTTTTTTAAATGTTCATAGAAAGGGGCGTTTTCTCCAGGCTAAGGGCTCGTAAATCAGGATAAGCGTCAGATCTAGAATGAAGAAAAGACAGAAAAGTCGCCGCTCGGCGCGAAAATACACACGCGTTGGACCACGCCTCCTCGTAAACAGGCCTCGGAATGCCCCGAGGGCCAAAAGACGCGGAAATCCGAGCCGCGCGGCTCTTTCTTTTCTCTCATATACCTGTCCGTGAGGTAGGACCGCGTTATTAACGTGGGATATTCTTACAAGGAACGCGGCAAAAGGGGAAAGTAAAGCAAAAGTTTGTGGCGTTGCGGGAAGAGACATGACAATGGCGGCGAGGCTGTGCTTGCCCAATGAATCATCCGACGTTCTTTCTGAAACTGAGCACAGCTTCAGTAGCACTTCGGAACGGTTTCACTAACAACTTTATGAGAAAATTAATCTGAAAAATTTCGACTTGTAATTTTTATCTTCATCTTGAACTATGCGGTAGTCCTACTGACGAAAAAAAGAGCAGAAAAGTCCTCATTTTTCAAAACTTAGCGACTCAGGTATAGGGCTCACTATTAAGAACAGTTAGCTTGAAAAAAAGGAGTGCGAACTTTTTTTGATATTTTTTTGAAAAATTAAGTATTTTTTTCAAATAAAAAAAGAAAACGAGAAGCAGTTTTTTATTCAAAAAAACACTGTATGTAAAAAGCTCTCATATTGAATTATATTTTTTTTTTACAATATTTTCTTGCTTTATCGTGGAGTGTCGTAAAACGTAGACAATATTGATTATTTTGCATTATTTTGCTTTTTTTTGGTTGGAAAATACTTCATTTATTTTCGATAATACCTGATTCGTTTAAGTGCTTAATTTACTTTTTTTATTTCCAAAAAAGACTAGATTAAGAAAAAATTTTCAATAGCTTCTCAACAATTGAAGCTAACACGGGAAGTGCGAAAGGTCGAGGTATTGGAATTCAATGAAACTTGGTATATAGGTTCTTCCGAACACCCTGAATCCAAAGCAGTTGAAAAAAAGTGCGCCTTTTTGGTTTTAGTCGAGTTAGGGCGCCTCAAAGTTTGCACGCAAAAAATGCATTGAAAGGGAGGAGGGAATGTGTTGCGGCGGCTAACTCTAGCTGCCAGCAGGCAGCGTGGTGTAGTGGCTAGAGGCCTTGCGCTGGGAAACCTATGATGCAGGTTCGGTCCCTTTTTGCTGAAATTTTTTTTTGCCATGAAGTTTTTCGAAAAAATTGATGAATTTTTGAAGATGGAACGTGTAAGGTGATTAAAATGGGTCAAGGAAGATTCTTGAGTAACTACTGTAGATAAACTTCAATTTATTTTACTTAAAAAATCATACAATATTAAGGAGTTGAACTGGAAATTGAGAGAAAAAATGGGAGAAATTGAGCAAAAGAAGAAGAAAGACTGTTTTTTGTTATCACTGCGCGGTGCAGGTTCTGCTGGCGAGCCGCTGGTGTTTGTGCTGAGCTTCTCGGGGCGGCGATTTGGTGTCCGTCTTCACGGTCACTTCGTTTTGGACACTCGTCCCACTACTTGTCATGTAATTGTGGGAATCGGAGATACGAAAAGTTTTTTCCTTAACAAGAAATATGCTTTCACTTTGCGTTGGGAATTTCCTCAAGTTCGGCCAGAAAACTCTTCGATGTACCATATGAAGATCCAGAAAATTCCATCCTGTACAATTTCTTAGTTTTCTCGAAATAACACCTCAAAGCCCCAAAAAGCACATTTAACGGACTTTGAGGTGTCCTTTCTCAAACACTTGGAATTTTTTCAATTTAGGATTTCCAGCATCCTTATCTGAAACATGAAAGAGTGTTCAAGCCAATTTTCGGAAAAATCCCAACCGCAAAGTAAAATGACCTTGTAAGTTGACTTGGAGGAATATCCAATTTTGAGAAAATTTCAATTTGGTAGTGGACAGTTCACGAATGAAACTTTGAAGTTGAAAACTGGCTTAAAATAGTCAAAAATCTGAAACTGGGTTATACTAACGGAAACTTTTCTGGATCATAGCCGAGCTTCTTTTGGAAATTATTTTGAATCTCATATTTATTTCACAACTATGTTCAAATGTACCCCACTCTGCTGGTCCCTCTTCAAAATTTTAGTTTTTTTTTTCTGAGAAAACCACTTTTCTTTTGAAAAAAAACCTAATTAATGCTTTTTTCCGAACTAATTTGACCCTAGTTGAACTAAACGACAGAACAGTCGTCAAACAAACAAACCAATCTGTTGACAACTTCTTTCTTTCCGCACCTCTATTTATTTTCAACTGACTTGCTCTTCGCTGTCTGTGTCTTCCACTCGTTCAATGATAAACCATATTTATCAATCAAAAAAAAAGCTCATGAAAAGACTGTCAGCAATGATCGTCGAGGCCCGTAAATGTGGTAAATAAATGAGAGGCAGAGAAGGCTTGAAGCGAATTGAAAGGCGTGAATTTACATGAAGAAAGGGTCATTTACCGCTGGCTTGTGGAAGAACTAGAATGAGATATTCGTAAGATTAGCTGAGTATTGTGTGGAAAAAAAATATGAAGACGTCTCTTTAGTGGTTTCTGACCCAAGCTAGCGGTGAATGGATGGTAAAGGAATTAGGCGACGCTTTCCCTTCGAAGCTTCCTGAGAAGTTCGAAACGGCGGAACATTGCTGGTGGTGGCATCTGTAAGAGAACAAAACTATATACAACATAAGAAGAAAGGAAGAACCTTAGGTTTTGATTCAAAAAGTTTTTCGTTTCAAAAACTATATAGCTTGATAGCTAGACTTCGTTAGAAGCTTCTAAAAAGCGTGAAAAAAAAATAAAGAAAAAATCTACAGTCTTTGGCTGCATCAAAAAATTGAATAATACCCTGAAGACTTGTCTCTTTTTGAAATTTGTTAATGTTTCTGTAGAGTAAACTGATAAGGAATCTCGGTAAGCTTACCTGAAAAGATTGGAGCGAAATCTCGTGTTTCTCGAGAAGTTGAATTTGCTTGTCGACTTCCTTAAAATAAATGTTTTCATTTTAAAAAAATAGGAAAGAGTACCTCTGTGCAAGATTCTCCAGGCTTGTGATTGACCCAGATATCTCTTAGTTCTTTCTGAAGTCTCATTTTAAAATTCGAAGGGAAAATGAAATCGAACTTGTAGATCTGGCTCGAGGCGATCGATAAAGTGCGGCAGAGCGCAATCAAACGTCGGAGGGTGTAGAAGCTTTTTCATGGTCATTGGCAAGTTAAGGAGGAGCAGCCTGGAGTAAGGATACAAAATGACGATGAAACTCTGACATGGAAGCTCATGGTCGCATGTGGAATGGCTCTGCGCTTAACACGTGCGAGACTTTTGCAACCGGCTTAAAACGACTTCAGCTACGAATCAGTCGAAAGCTGCTCTAGCGGAAAAAATTTAAGCCATTTCATATGCGATCATGGTTTTTTTCAATTCGAAATCAAGCATTTACTGAATCCAAGAATAAGATAATTTGAAAGGACAAAGCTAAATGGAAAATGATTGGTTAAATAAATAAAAAAATTTATTTTTCAAGTCAAGCGTAACTAACCTGGTCCTCTTTTGCTGCTCCCAACAGTCGTCTCCCGTTTTGTGATCTTTCCAGATTTTCATGATTCTCCTCTTAGCCGTTTTAGGTAATTGATGAACGACGTCCGGTACCTAGAAATAATGATTTCACCCGTTTTCAATTCAAGTTCGTAGTACTTACTCTGCAATCTTTCGGTGGCTTTGCTATCTGAGACCTTTCCTCAGCTGTCAGACGCAAAAGGAGATTCCTTGTGCGAGCCATTTCGACCCAGCAGTTTCCGTTACGTTCCACATCTTTCCAAATCAGTTCGACTCTGAAATCAAGTAAAACAAAATTGATTTCTTGTTGAATTCAAAGACAAACTTGGTGCGAATTCTTATGGGAAGCCTCGAGGTGAAAGGCGGCTTCTCACATGGGAATTCGTCGACAGTTGAGTCATGGAACCTCTCTCCAAAACCGCTCATTGACTTTTTCTGGAAGAAATAATTTATTCAAACTTTGAGAAAAGTATTCACTTCAACTGTTAATGATTGTTTTTCCTATGGAAGCTTTGAATTAGAGAAAAACTCACGTGTGAAACTCCTCGCGCGTCAAGAAGTACAACGAAAATCATTGAAAATATTGAAAGGACGTGAAGCATTTTTCGTGTGTATCCTGAAACTTTCTTTCTTCATGATCACTTTGCAGTGGCCTAGAAGTCACTAGTTACAGAAGGAATAGCTCAGCTGCAAAGCGGGAGCTTTAAATTGCGGCCGACCTGAAACGAGTTTGGTTCAAAAGCACAGTGAGGCATCAGAGCGAGCTGGTAATTTTTAAATTTTGTTCTAACCGCAAGGCGACCGCGATGCTTTGAGTGATTCCTCTTGCGACATGAATAGCACGAAAAACGAAATCGTATGCGAAAATTGAAGAAAATGTCATCAGCGAACTGTTAAATATTGAAACAAAAAAAATTGAAGGAATCTTCCAAAGAATAGTAGATGAATGCATCAGAGCGGAATTAACAAAAAGGTAATAGGAAAACGCATGAAATTCTGTACTTATAAACTGGAATAAGAAAATTATTCGGCTTGCTAACGGTTCAGAATTCAAGGTGAAGGCAACTCGAAAGCCTGACAACTCTTCTTAAAAATGTTAGCCAACCACATGTGACACTTTGGCGAGTTGGAAACGTACCAGATTTCGAGCGCAGATAAGACTCTTTTTCCAAACGCGGAACGCAAATTTCGTTGTAGAGGTGTCTGAGGTCTCAGAGAATGATCGGAGACCGGCCAAAAAACTGGTAATGCCTTTTTTCAGTGCCTCCTCAACAATAGGCCCTTGAAAGATCCTTCACAGGAACTCCACTTGACTTGAGAACCACGTTTCCCGATTTTAATCAGAACCCAACTTCGATCTTTAGAAAATAAACTCGACAGAGAGGCCAGATAAGCATTCCAAAGGAAAGTTTGTTCTTGAAGTTGAGGAAAAAAAAACTTTGAAATAAAGAGGTTTTGGAAACGTAAACTGGAAGGTTTGAACGTGACCATCGGAAGCGCATCTCAAAGAAAAAAACCGAACAGAGAGTTCAGATTTTGTCTTTTTTTTTCCCATTCAATTTTTTCTAGTTTTTCTTGGTCTCAGAGCTCAAATAATCTGGAAAGAAGGGAGTAAGAACTGCTGAGAAAACCTCAGACGTTCAGCAGTTGACAAAAATAGCAAAAAAGGATAATCAAATTAAAAATGATCACGAAACGGAAGAGGACTGTTGGAAGCAGCAAAAAAGACGAGGTTGCGGAATTCAGAGTGAATGCCTCGAAGCGCAAGTCATTTTGAGTCGGGCGGGGCTCAAAGCAGCCGCTGTGCATCGAGTTTTATCCTTAACTGAAAAGGAAAATGAAAAGAAAATGAGAGACTACTGAAATGTGTACAAGAAATGAAAAAATAGAAGAATCACAATGTAACTTGAGACATTCTGGAATGTCTGTGATCTTCTCTCTCTTGTGCTCTCGCGTTTTAGTTGTCGCGCTGATGAGGGAATAGAGAGCGCAGGCAAGTAAGAACAGTTCGAACCGTGAAGAATGATTCATGGATTGACACAATCATCATGGGCTTGTCTACCTTTCCAGGAATGAATTCTCAGATTGGTTGTTCGAGACTGATTTTTGGAGTTTTGAGCCAAGGCAAGGCAATGAGACTTTTTCATCGGAGCAAAGTTCGTTCGTTTGACAGGTCTGGTAGGAAATTCCTATGAAAAAATGAGAAAAAAAACTTCCGCTTTGCATTGAGCCGCGAGACCTCCACGAAAAACCATTTTATACGGCAGACCCATGACAAAAGGCCCATTAATAAGACGAGGCCATGGAAGATAAGAAAAATGGGAAGGCCGAAAGGCGTCACTCGAACTCGGAAAAAAAACGTCTGCCAAATTAGTTTTCGCCGTTCCAGATTTATCGGTGCAAGATACCGTCGCGACGTCTACAGTACTCTTTTTTGATCTGACTCATATTGGTGATTAACCTAAAAGTCCTAGGAAAAAAACGTGAAAATTCGTTGATGAGAAGTCGACAGCCTTTTCGGCGTCTAGAATTGGTCTGGATGATGTGATTGGAAGTGTTCTTCTTGAAAAGTTCAAGTTGGAAAATGTCGTTAACTCGTTTGCGAACGGCCCTTTACTGCCACGCTAGAATGACCCCAGGGCATTTTTGATCTAACTGGTTTTTCAGCAATGAATTCTTCATGATACTATGAGTTATGATATGACTAGTTTTCTGGTTAATCCATCAAAGTTCATTCGCGGAAAAAGTTATCAAAAAGATGTGATAAACGGAATCGGGATTTTCATTTCTTGACGGGTGGTAGCATTATTTTGTACTCTTTATTTTCGAGTGACGAACGAGAGTTATTATCTGAATATATCATGTTGAAAGCCCATAGAAATGTTCTCTCAAGTCATCAATTCATAACGACTTAAATCGTCAAAAGTCGCATTAAAAGTCTCAAGCTTAATGCTCCAAATTTGATACTCAATCTTACAGTTCAAAAAAGTCGCACAAACAAAAAAAGCCTTCTGTTCTTTTGTTTTTGTTGAACTAACACCGTCTTTACCCAACTGGAAAGGAACTTGATAAATTACAAGAATGTTCACGGTATTCGGAACTCTTTCTTCAAAGTTCAATCAGATAAGGAAATTCGAAGCGTTCTCGAGTAAGAAGTCTGTCGTTTCAAGAGCAGACTCTAGACAAAAACGAAAAAAAAAGCGAAAAGAATTCCCCCGATTATCTGACTCATCTCATCTGTAAACTTGCCGCCAAAAAAGGGCATTTTGGGCGAGTTGCGACCAGAAGAAAGAAAACAGGCGGAGCAAATCGGAACGCAACGAATTTCGATTTGGAACGAAGGTCGATTTAATCTGGGCCTTCGATCGGTTCAGAAGAGTTCAAATCTCTTTCGAAATGCTTCAGAGACTAAGAAAACACGATTTCGAGAAAAAATGAGTCGAAACAACATCTGTGAAGACAAAAAGAACCTTGACATGCGTATAATTGATAAGAATTCGTTGAAATCATGTTCAAAAAGGTGACGAACGTTCACAAATCACGCGCCAAATGGAATTAGGCGGGAAAAACCTGGTCTAGTCTGGAAATGGGGTCGCTTCTTTATAATTGGACGAACTTCTTCTAATTGCCAGTATCGAGACGGAGAAAGCTTGGAGTAAAGTTTTCTTTTGATGTAGCGGCTTGGCAAGAGAATGAAAAATGTTTCGTGGAGATGGAAAATCGGAAATGGGGAAAAAATGGCTGAGCGATGGGAATGATAAGTAGGTTGATCATTTGAACTGACAATGGATGACTTGAAAAAAAACTTTACAAATCAATGGTCAACCGTAACAGAACAAATACGTTGATACTTGCAAGTTTATTTTTTTTTCGAAAGTCGACTGTTTCAGATTATTTGATTTCGAACTTGCGAGTCCGGAAGAACAGTCGAATCGTGAATAAGAGGAATGGTTCGACGCGCCGCGGCTGCGAAGCGGTTATTTTGCGAGGACGTTTGACCACGAAGCGACTTCTGCCAGGGCAATGTCAGTGTTAGTTTCGAAAATATTGAAATTTTAAAATTCATGAAAAAAAAGTTAAATGATATTGTCTCTTTTGTTTTTTTCAAATTTTCGAGCTTATAAATTTTCTGAAAGTCAAAAAAGCAAGAGGTTCAGGCCAGGCGGGGAACTTTTCTATGGTTTGATTGTTGTGCTCGTACATTTTTGGAAACTTTTTAGATTTCCTTGAAAAAAATGATACGAATTCTAAATATCTCTACAAAATGGCCCAATTATCTCAAACAAAAATTGTTTCAATGCCTTGGAAGTTTGAACCGCAGCGCGACCGCGACGCAAGCTCATCCATTTTATCTTCACGCAGATTTTTGATTAAGACCAACTCCTTTCGAAACAAAATCTGCGAATCTAACTATCAATAACCACATCTTGACACTTTTCTTCATGCGGCACATAAAACTGCGATTTTCATTTTATTTGATTTTGCCGAGCAATGGATCCGTCCAGAACTTCTCTCGTCAACACGAGCTTTGATTCGGCTGGCAGTGTGATTATTTCGTCAGGAACACTTTTCGAGCCCCTAACGAATGGCTGTGGCACTTCAGTGATAAAGAGCCGGTGGCAAAAAAAGAAACAAAACAGCTCTCGGGGCGGAAAAATTCCGCAGAGCTCACGCCAACAAACCCGCCGCCGATTGGTTGTAACGACGCGCCAGGCTTCTTCTTCTTCTTCTTCTTCTTCGTCTTTCCACGCTTTTCTTCTCGTAACCAAATCCTTAACACCCCCCGAGGCGCTATTTTTATGTTGATGATGGCAATTGTTATTTTACTTTTTATTTTTGAAAAGAGCCGAGACTTTTTGTTAGGGTGGTAGGAGAGACTTTGATAAGTCATATATTTGAAGAAGATTTATGAGTTTTAGAATAGCAGCCGACGTAGGTATTATAACTTCCAAAAAGTGAAAAAAAAGAATCAATTTCAAACTGGAAGCCTAGACTTTCTAAGTTTTTTTTCTACACAAACTTTCAGCCAAACCTTGAAACAGTCTGACCTGTCTGTACTCTCCTCTCTCTCACAGCGTTCTAGTTTTCCCGCGCCATTTAAATTCATGTAGGACTGTGTTAGTGAAAGAAGAGAGATAGCGCAGAATAGATGGAGTTTTTCAAGTTGTGGTTAATCGAGATCGTCCAGTAGGATCTGAAGATGATGAGTCTAACCTTTGATGGCTTTTCATTGGAGGACCATTGACCGTTTGTTTTTCGACCGTAACTGGGCTGAGACTGGATTGAATTTCAATATTTATTATACAATTCGAAAAATTTCTCGTAATATGAACTATAGTCTGTTCTTTTACTCAAAAAAAATTGATCTTAGATTTTTTGAGATAGAGGTGATAATTAAGCAACTATAGGAAATAGCTAGAAGCTAAAATTTGCTTCATCTTAGGGACCCATAGTTTCTTTGATTATACAGCTATCAATAAGAAAAAAAGAAAAAGTCTGGCAAAGCAAGAGAATCTTCTTTTCCATCTCTCAAGAGCCACCGATCCATTCCACTAATCATTCAATGATCGCAGAGGAGCTGTTCGGAAGCGCTATAAAACATTTCAAGCTCTGCCCTGAAGCTATGAGTCGTTGAAAAAGGTCCCTGTTATATATGAATATAAATTCTCTTCTTCAAGGAAAAACGGGCTGGGTAGTACTAAAGTTATATGAGGAAAGAGTCGCCAAATTGAGATAATTCTCAAATTCGAAATATTTTTCTCGTTTTTTTCTTCAAAGTTCAAAAATTTTTTTCTCATTCATTTTATTCAGCGGCCTTCGACTGCGGCCAAAAAGGGCTTCAAAATGCCGCAAACCGTCCATTTGCAGTACAACTCGCCCATGGGCCTCTACTCCAAGTTGGTCTTCCTTTTCTCAATTCTTATCATAGTAAATTCCACTAGTATCAATAGAGAAAATAAAGAGATCCTTACCAAAAATCAGTAAAAATTAAGAATTCAGACGCCACTGATAATTCTTTTCCAAGAGTAGAGCTCAAAATCGGCTTTTCGTTAATTCTGAAGGACTTTCGAAAGCAAAGCACAATGATAAATCATCACTGGAGACCAAAAGGCGGTCTTTTGTGTCAGAGAAGTCGAGAAGACGAAGGTGATTGATCTGCACCTCCGGAGGCTACGTTAAATAAAAGAAAAAGAACGCTTTCTCATTGATCAAACCCCAATCAATCGCCAACACTCCAGGGAAGCTGCCGTCGAGCAGTTCCAGCAGCAAATCGGAGAGAACCCGGGCGATTTGCCGGCACCTGACAAGCATTTCGACCCATCCAAGAGTGCTACCTTGAAGTACCTCAGGGTTTCGAAACTATGCATTTTTGAGGATTTTTTGAAAGTTTGTAGGAAGCTGAGAGAGACGACGGATTCGGGGATAATTTCTTCGAGAAGGTCGCTCAAGCTGAAGCTCCCAACGTGCCCGAACAACAGGAGCCTTACTGGGCTAGAACTGCTCGCGAGAAGAGCGAACGGGCCAGAAGTCGGACTCCAGCTGATCCAACTCAGGGAAGGTGAGCATTCATTTGAGAAGAAAGCTAGAAATCAAAGAGTAAGTTTTCAGAAAAACTTCTCATAATCCCAAGGAAAAACTTCCTGACAATTATTCACAATTTTAACATAATTGATGACTTTCGTGCCAGGAAAAGAGAGACTAATAATCAAAATGAAGAGAAATAACAAAAAGGCGAATATTCGGTCTACGTTACAGTTTTTTCGATATTCTGAATTCATTACGAAGATTTTCAAACCGTATTTTCCCTGAAGAGCTACTTCACCGTTAGATACTCAACTAAAGCTCCAAAAAACTGGCAATTTTACCTCAATTTCAATCGGTTATTCGTAGGTACCGCCCTTCCTCATCTCCAGCCCCTCTCAACCATCCCGTACATTACGAGTCTGCAAGAGAGCACGCCGAGAAGAACAAGTTTATTCCTTTGAGTGATAGAAAACACTTGAGTGGTCTCTTAGGGTGTTCACGAACAGCGTCAACCAACCTTGGGCCCCAAGTTACTACGAATCGGTTGCTCACAGGAACCATGGCCGACGAGCTCAGAGCCTTGGAAGAGAGTAAGATTTCCACTACCAAAAAACTCATTTTACTTCGAACGCTGAAGTTTTCTCAAAACTTTCCGGCTTAATCCGGATAAACAGGTATTTTCAAAATTTCTTTTTTCTCGAAAACTAGAAAATCGTACAGAGAAATAAGTGAAAAACGCTCGTTCAAAGAAAGGTTGACTAGTAAATTTATTATGGACTCAAAGTGATGCCTAAACTAAAATTTGAAAGTAATTTGCTTTTTTTAGGCTGAATTTCAGTAATAATCGTAAAACACCCTCCTTCTGAATAATTCTTTTTTTTAATCAAACAATTTATCCAGTGTGCCACGTGGCTACGAACTCGGCGGAATGGACTTCACAGGTGGACTACCTGTCGACCAGGGCAACGACTACTTCTACTACCAACAGCCGCGAAGAGCGACCGAGAAGCCGAAGCCGGCCCCGGGCTACGAACTCGGCGGCAGCGATTTCTACCGCGGCTACGTTTCGACGGATGGTCCTTACCGTGGACACGGACCCGATCCACCAAGACTTCGGCCCAAGTATACGGCTGACGCCCGTGATCCTTGCAACGTGGCGATCGCTCCGAACGTCGATGAGGTCGACGCCAATCTGCTTGTCGGCGACACCCTGTCCAACCAGAAGATCAAGCATGAGGTCCTTTTTATGGTATTGGTAGAAGCTGTTTCACAGGGTTTTTGAAAACTCTGAAATACCCACTTTGATCTAAAATGATTAAGAAATAATGAAATTTGACTTAAAGTGAAAAAATATAATTTTTAGAATTAGATTGACCAAAAATATTTACTTTCTAATACCTTATTGAAAAAAAGATGGACGTTGGGAATAAAAAGAGGATATGAATAAACTTAACAATATTTGAGATTTAGAAAAGTTTCTTCATGAAAGTTAATACTTTCTTTTCAATTCTGTTCGAAAAATTAGTAAACTTTTTTCTCAAAATATTTAAAAGGTCGTTTGGAGAAATGACTGTATTTTAAAAGTATTGAAGTTTTGTGATTATTTTTTGAATTGTTGGTTTTTTTTTAGTTCTCGAAAAGTGGAACGCGTACTAATTTTCTTTCATTTCTGGAGCTTGAAGAAGATTTTGTACCTTTCTTTTCAGACTTGGTTGAGATAAAATGACCTTCGCTTTCTAAAATATCTTTAAGGCCAAAGTAAATACTTTAGCGTCAATGTTTCATGATTCAATAAGTTATCAACACAAAAAGCAAATTAAAGGTTCGCCACATCGACCAGAGCGAATTCGGAACGTCTTTCGCTCCGCCCACCGGATTCAAGCGTGACCATCTCACCGTCCGACAAAGCCCACAGCCGCCGCAGCCGACGACTTTCTCGATCTCAGCGAATCGAAACCGCGCCGCGTCCGTTCCGCGCAGCTCCCAACCGCCCGAGCAGCAGAATGTGTGGCGCCAGCGACAGGACTACGCCGACAAAGAGGTTTCCATCCGAACGCTTCTCAACGACGAGGCCATCCGAGCCCTCCCCAACAAAGAGACGCAGCCTCATTGGGCTGAGCACTCTCTGCAGAAGCACCAAGCGTGGCATCAACGCGTTGATCCGCTCCTCGAGCGCTACCAGGTCCCTGCCTGCGTGTTCTTCTAGCTTTTTCTGTCACCTGTGTGAGCTTCCTAGCAAGGAATTTTGGGAAACAAATTCGGAACTTGGTTGAGAACTTGATGGAAGTTTTTAAAAAGGGAAGATTTTTTTCTTCATACAATTCTACGAAACTCTGACGTACTAGGAAATTTATAATCTGCACAACTTGCAATTCCTCAAAAGCTTTGAAAATTGAGATATTTAGAGCTTCAACTAACACAAAAAAATACTTTTTTTAAAAATCAATTTTGGAGAAATTCAAAAACACGAAGTAAAGTTAACTTTTTTTGAAGAATCCATTTCAGTTTTTACATTTCTCAAGTTCGGACCACGAAAATGAAAAAATCAGGCGGTGAGAGCCAGATATAACAGAAAAATTGCAATCTCCATTCATCTCCTTAATTTCCAAAAATTAAAAAAATAGTTGCTTCAAATTTATCAGAATATTGAAACACCAAATGATATCTCTAAAAAGATAAAAAAATGTATGAAAAAAATTATAGAAATTCAAATCATAATTTTTTTCGAGACGTTTTCTTGTTTTTGGAACTTTTCATGGAATTTCTTAAAAGAATAAATTTTTTTAGGAATGTTTTATCTAAATAAGGGTGAGCTAAAAACAAACTAAATTCGTAAATAAAATTAAAGTTCAAAGTTTTGAAAAGCTGCGAAACAAATCATTGCTCCATCAAAACAATAGAAAGTTTTCCTTGACCAAACTAGATACAAATCTCGTCCTCTGACAGCGTTCAATCTTTGACGTGCAAGATCTGAACTCTGATTGTCCTAAAGTACATCTAATCTGAGAATTTCATCAAGTTTCCAACCAAGGTCTGAAAAATGTAATGAATAACATTCTAACAGACATAAAAATGTTTTTTTTAGCTTTCTAGCCGCTAGACACTCGCTTCTAACGTAGAGCCACGCTTTGTGCTTCCCCACCATTCACAACTTCTGAAATAATGCTGAAACTAGTCGATAGTACATGGCAAGGAAGTCTCTTTAGACGTATATCAGTGAGCCGAACTGGCGACGCAACGTCGATCAGCGCCGTAGAGCGTGGGAGCAGAGAGCCTTCGAAACCGAGCACCAACTGACCCGGGCTAACTTTGACAAGGTTTTCCTTCATCATTTTTTTTTGGTTTAGATCAAACATAGTTTGAACTTCCATTGAAAAAAGACTGAAAGGAAAAATTGGTTAGAACTTTCGAAGTTTGCTTTGACGTCGGTTTTATCAAGATGGCTGATAATGTGAGTCCGATTTTGCGTTTTATAACTCAACTAAAAAAATGTTGATCAAATTTATTTTTTTAGAAGATAATAAAATTTGTATTCAATTTTCAACTTGCTGATCAGCAGCTCACTTGATATGGAATTTTTTCCATCATGCATTCAAGCTTTGGGATTTCCAGATCCTGGTTAAAAATTTGAAGTACTTCGAGTTTTGTCACTTCTGATCCAAACAGCCTATTGCCCCGAATTTAATCTCTATTTTTTTCGATTCTATTTTTATTCCGATTCAATTTCTGAGCCATTATTGGGCTCCTACTTTAAAGTACCATGCTCAAAATTCAAACTGTAAATTTTTTTGCGAAAAACATAAAAATGTTCATTTCGTTTTCCATTCTATTAAAAAAAAATCGAGCACAAATTTTCAATTTTTTTTTCTAACCTCACTTCGTTATTTTTTTTTCTGAAAGATCACAATAAAAAAACCATTTTTTAATTCCAAAAAATCGGGAACAAGAATATTAGCGAGCCTATAACTCATTTCCTTGTTGGTAACTGTTTTTCTTTCGAAGGAAATAAGATTTTTGGTTTTTGCAGTTTTTAGTGCATATTCCGTATCATCCTGGTTTCCGAAAACATAAACATAAAGAAAAGAAAGAACTGGAAAGATTTTCAATTTGTTCGCGTTAGTAAAATTCTCGTCAAACCTGGGAAATCTTCATCATATCTTCAAAACATTTCGACATCAGTGGAAAAAGCTGGAGACATTTTTTGAGAGAAGGAAAAAAACGCAGTAATTCGCCAGACTTTTGCCGCAAGCCAATCAGCACAAGGGGCCGATGTAACAGAGCCCGCTTATGAAGGGGCCTCGACATTCATTTCAAACTCTCGTTGCGATTCTTTTTTTTGTGTTGTCTTGTGTTCGTACAACAGCGGCGAGGCGGCTGTGGCGGAGGAAGGAAAAGCCTCAAGTTTTTGCAGAACGCGCCTGCCGCGCCGCCGTTCTGGCAAGACCGAGCCGCGAGGACCCACGAACAGTGGCAGCGACAGGCCAACGACATGAGCACCTCTTCCCATTACCAGGTTCCTCTAATTTCCTCCTCATTTATTGCTCAACTTCTTTTTGTTTTCACAGAAGCTTCATAGAACTTTCAGAGTACTTATTTGCAAGCAATGATGATTCAGTTTACTTTCAAATTGTCTTTGAACTTGGTTTTAGATCTTAGCCAGTCACGATTGTTTAGGAAGTAAAGCTAAGAAAGGTTGTTTCTTGAGACCTTTCCGATGAAATTGATTCAGGAAAATTCTATTGTTCTTTGAAACTTTAAGGAGCTGGAATCGGCCTAAACAGTTAGGAAAAACTTCTACAATATCCCTTTCTGCTACTGCGGAAAACTTACTCGATAAATAAGCTTTATGACTTTTTTTTTGAAAGCGTGTGGCCATGTAAAAATGAACTATCGCTGAAAAATAATTTTCGCTTTAAAAAAAACCTTTTTTTCACCGAGAAGCACGTTAATAATGCTCTACGTTTTTTTGGAAAGTTTTCTTATAATCTCCGATTTTTTTCATTAATTTTCAATTAAAGAATTCATCATTTGAAATTTTTGCGAACGTTTTTCAAAAAGATGGAGAGAAAATTAAAAAAAAATCTGCAGAGGCGGAAGTTTTCTCGAAACTGCGAATAACCACATCACATGAAAAAAATTACAGTTGTTTTTTAAAGATTCTAACGACGCTGAAAAATTATGTGTTGCACATGTTAAGCCTATTCGCTGATTGTTTGAAAGTTTCAAAAGCACATGGCGAAGTCGGGAAAAAAAGAACTGGGTTCAAACGCTTCAACTCGGATGCGCGTTATTTTTCATGCAGACTCATGATGAATCTTTTTCAATCTATCGTCCGTTCATTGAACTTTGCAAAAAAAAAGTTCTTAGAAAAAGAAAAAAGAAAAACGAGTCATGTGATGAAAAAAACTTTGTAAATCGAAGCTCCCATGAAACCGTTAAAAAAATTTTATTTAGGCAAGCGAGAGAAGCGTCCCTATCAACTATCAGTACGAATCTCGCCATGAAACATCCAACTCGGTTCAGGTTTGAAATTTAATTGTTCATCAGAAGTGCAGAACATTTTAAATTAAAAAGAAGCCAGTACTTTTATGAGTTGGCATGTACACATTACAGCCTTCAGAAGGTTGCTTTGATCAAAATAAATTCGCGAATTTCCAGCAGCCGCAGCAACACGAGCGGTCGCCCTACGTGACCGCTCAAGCGGACGCCAACGTCCAACGACTTCTCAACTCGGGGTACAACTCCAACCAGGTGGACTACGTCTTGGGACACAAGGACCGCTTCGTCGACGGCCAGCACTACAATCCGCCCGTCGTCAACTCGGGAGCCAACATCAACCAACAGTTCTCCTCGTCCCAGTTCAACCGCACCACCACCAACACTCAAAACAACAACAACTTCGGCCTTCAGGTTGACATAGCAGAGATATTGTTTTATTCATACTCTCAAGTTAGGAAGCAAATGTCTTAAAGGAAAAAAATCATTTTGAATATCAAAAGAGAGTACTGACTTTTAGAATGGCCCCCCATGCGCCCTAAAGAAATCTTATCTGTATTTGAATTTTCTTTTCAGCATCCGACCTCTGGTAACCAGAACTACAGCTACCACACGGAGACCAGCCGCACCACTGGAGTGCCAAATTCTGGAAACCACAACTACAGTTACCAGACGGAGACGAGCCGCGTCACTGGAGGACCCATTTCAGGACATAACAACTTCTCGTCGACCAACTTCGGGGACCAAGTCTGACTTTCCTAACTTCCCATCCAACATCTATTTTCTCCAGAACCATCAGCAATCCTTCCACAGCTCTTCCTACTCTTCTCAAACCAAAAATATCCCCGTCCAGCCAGCTTCCAACTATCAGGTCAGCTTTGATTTGAACTAAGTTGTCGAAAAGACCGGCAAGACCTTTTTCTCTTCTCATTCATACAGATGGAGAAATTCCATTCCACGAAGAAGAACTCGAAAGTAATCACCACAACCAGCACGACAAACAATGTCGCTCCGAGAATCATACCAATTTTGAAGGTTTTAGGGATGATTTATGAGTTCTAGCTAGTTTCCTTTTTGGTTCTATTCACTAGATCAATTGCTAGTAGTCAAAATAGAAAATAGAGTGGCATAGTCTAGCCTTTTTAGTTTCTCGGTTCAGCTTCGTAGAGTATAAGTATATTGAGTTAGAAATAGAAAACTAGATAGAAAAGCATGTTTGGTTGATCTTTTCTTTTGAAATATAGTTCCAGAAAAAAAAATCAAGAAAACGGAAGAGGAAAAACGTAGCTAAAGTGAAGAAAAGAAGAATTTACCACTACAAATAGCTCTTTTTTCATTTTCGAAAAGATAACTTGTTCAAATTTTGAGAACCTCCTATTCTGTGCTAATAAATTAAAGCTTTCTAGCAAAAGCTCAAGCGAGACGATTTTTTTGAAGAAATAACAGCATAGGCGCAAAAATTGCAATTTTTTTAATGTAGCGAAGACAATGATTACACAAAAGTTACTATATCTCAGTTCTAAATTTGAAAGTTTTCGTCATTTTTCCGTTTTTTTTTCCACAAAGCCTTGAAATTGTACCTGTGGAGACGAGGCTTTTGCAGGAAAACTATGTTCAACAAGCCGCGATCCCCTTGCCGGTTCCGAATGAGCTGCACGAGGTGCTCGGCATGCCCTTTTCATCAAATTGCATAACATTCCCCACTATTAAAATTTGCTAAAAAATGACGCTATACTCAAATTTAATCAACCAAGCGTGTTAACCACCAAACTTGAGTTTAACATCAATATAACCCAGAAAATAACACAGAAGCTACAAAAAATGTTTTGAAACTCCGAGTAAACAGTTCGAAACAACATTGTCTATGAAGATTTAGCGAAGGTCTTTAAAAATATGAAGTTTTTTTGTTATTAAAGATTTAATCAAAAATATTTATGGTTTATGAGAGATTACCTATTAACTAGTAATTGAGAAACAATCGTGATCAGGTTTTAATTTTGGTGTCTTAAATATCTTTTTCTCACTAAAAAAAAGCTCACAAAAATAGGCAATATTTGAAATCTACTCAATCTCTAACCTAACTTCAAAACTCGAATTTTTCCTCCCAAAAGTGGTGTTTTCAGTCCCAGTCGAACTACAACCGGACCTTCAACCAATCAACGACGACCCAGCAGCAGCAGCTGGCTCCAATTGCTCTCCCAGCTCCCCAGAATCACTCGACGAGCTACCATACCGAGACTCATACCACATCTGTGAGCAATCCTCAAAAAAAAAACGTTTTTTTTTGGGTTGGAATCAGGGGACTTAGATGACCATACCCGTAAAGTTCCATCACAATTTGTCATTTTGCAATCACCTTGTAATCTCCTACTTTTCCTACTCAGCAAACCCCGATGATGCACTCGCCTGGCGGTCAGTCTTACAAGAGCACCGAGTTCTCCTCCAGCCGCCACACCAAGCAGGTAGAACTGGAAAAATCCCTTTTCTTCTCAAGAGAGAAAGATTTCAGGAAACGACGACCACCACCAAAACGCAGCCCGTGTTCCAGACGACCACCCTCCCGATCACTCGCAACACCAGCTACAACTACAGCCAGGTGAGAATGACCCCTTGAGGGGAATATTTGAAGCTGGAGCAGAATCTACAAGAATGTATTTCGAAGTTTCCGAAAAGTTCGGGTTTTCGATGAATGCTTAATAAAAAAGAAGAAGAAAGAAATAGTTTTTTATCATCGCGTAGACCTTTTCCAGCACCATGAAGATGGTTGAATTTGCCTTTTTTTTGTCTAAAAATTAAAAGATGAATTTTTCGAACATGGAAAGTTCTCGAACGAGTCTTTCAGAAAAAAGGCAAGGATTTCCAAAAATTACTTCAACGGAACAAAAAAATCATTTTGTTATATCATTTCTAGCTTTGAAAAAGGTCCTATCTACTATTTTACATCTCTGATCATTTATATTTATTTATATTGCTTTTTCTGCTTTTCTGAAGCAGCAGAAGCATTTAGAGCAAATTTTCCGCCAAGTAATTTATGATCTGTAAAATAGACTGCAAAAAATTGGTTCAGCAACAGCATCAAGTGCAGCCCCCTCAGCCATCTCTTCACCAGGAAAGCTACACTTCCCATAACGAAAAAGTGCGTGATTTTCTCAAAAAAATCTATTTCTCATGTTATCTCAGACTAGCAACAGCGCTCCTCGCCAACAGCCTGGATCCTATCATTATGAGAACTACCACAGCAGCCGGAAAGAAGAGGTAACTTTTGTGAAAAACATGAAAAAGACGGATTTATAGAACCGTCGAGAGGAAACCAGCCGACCGGTGTCACAGTTGAGCCAGTACAGCGAATCGCGCAACTACAAGCGAAACTATGAGGAGAAGACTGAAACCACGTGAGCTTCGAAATTTATATTTTGGACCATCTTCCAACCCATCTGAAACTCAGTTTTGAAAAAGCGATGAGAAAGAGTTCAATTTAGCAGGAATCCTTTAAACTTTAAAAATTTTTGGATGAATTTTGAAAATAGTTGACATGACTGTAGCTTATTATTTTCACAATAGGAAGTCTACATCTGAATCTTCGAAAGCTACTAAGTGTTTCTGAGCATGAGAATTTAGAGAAAAAATCGCCTGCTCTTTTAATTTGAATTTTCTCTAATTTTTGAACATTCAAACCTGAATTCATAGGAAATATGATTGAAAAATAAACAAAAAACATACTTTTTCGTTTTTCAGGACTATTCCGGCTGGAGTTCCCGTTGCTTCCGGCGGCAACACGACGACCACCTACAAAGACTTGTCCAACGCCCAGAACGTCGACGACGTCTTCAACAAACGCGAAGAAATGGCCGAGAACTTGCCTCTGGGCAGTGTTTCCAACACTCACAACAACACAGAGGTGAAAAGAAACTTTAGGCTTTAAAAAATTATTTTTATTTCATTTCAAAATCACCAGATAAGTCTTTGATAAAAATTGATAAAAGTGAATCAAGATAATTTGGTTTTCAGGGCGGCTACCGTGACGCCAACGGCCACGACGTCTCCTACAAGCGAGAGACGCAGACGTCGGCGGACCCGAACAAGGAGACGTCGTTGCTCAAGGAGGAGGAGAAGCGCGTCATCGAGACCCCGCTTGAGCCAGGCGTCATCTCTAGGTCAACCACTTTCCCAAGAACTTCCCCCTATTCTTATTTCTCGCTTATAAGCCTAATCGTTTTCTCTCAGACACGTCACCACCAAGTACTACAAGAAGAAGACGGTCACCGACACGACCACCACCACAACTCCCGCATAATCGATCGAAAACTTTTATTTTATTACTTATTTCAAAAAAAGGTTCTGTCTTTGAGAAGTAATTGCATGCCTTTCACGCTCGAGTTAGTAGTATATATAAATGAAAAAAAAACGCCGCTGCCAATTAAATATTTCTACATTTTTTTTTCTCTTTTTTACGCTAGCTTATGTCAATTTCTAATGTATTTCTGCAGATATAAACTTTGTGCTGTCCTTCTTTTTTTATTTGTATGAAGAGACGAAAAAAAGGAGATCAAAATTGATGGTTAAAAGATTATTTTGTGATTAAAAAAATTGATTAAAAATCACTCAGAAAGTTCTCAAGTTTCAATTAATAAGAATAAATTGAAATTAACATGGAAATAAAATTTCTTGATCCCAGATTCCGAAACCTTACTGCCTACCAAGGCCATATCTTCATCAGGAAAATGAAAAATCCGAATTCTGTGAAATTATTCAGCGATAATTTCAAACGTTTGTGTGACGTTTAATTTCAATTTGATCATTTTCAAGGCCGACGGTCTGAGAAGCCGCTTAGGTTCACTTCAAGAAAGCCCATCCTTCACAATTTGGAGTAGGATAGCAACTGAGAAGACTACGTCATGGCTTATAACTTCAACAACGTCGCCAGCAACATCCAGCCGTCCTCAGCCCAATCTCAGTCTAACCAGACCGTTCCCATCAGTTTGAGTAACGTCGGATCTCAGGTTGCTATCCTAAGAATTGAAGCAGGGGAAAGCTCAAAATCTTCTTTTTTAAATCAAAACTTCTTGAAAATTTAGTGAAACAAAGTTTTTCAAAGGAATTCATTTTGATGTTGTTTCTGCACATTTCGACAGCTTTTTATCATTTTGTGGTTCAAACAGATAAATTTACCGGAATGGATTGAAAATCTGCAAAAACTATTCTAGTCTAATCTATAAAAAACCCCTTTTCCATAAATGCAAAAAATATTTCGGACAATCATCAAATGTTCCAGCTTTCGACATCGGGTCGCACTCAACAGACCCAAGTGAATACCGTTACTGGAGCGCCAATGTCTGCAAATTACTTCGATCCCAAACAATCTCAAGCCAGCAATCTCTCCAGTGCGTCTGCTTCGAGTATTCAAAGCCAAAGCCAGCAGACTGCAAGCTTCGCTGCAGCGGGGCTTTCTGCCAGAAGTCAGCAAGCGAAAAATGTCGCTAGATCAACAACTAAAAGTTACTTTGACCCCATCAACGCCAAAACCAACGACGTGGCTGCGGTATCTCCGACGTCCAACTACGGATACGAGGTCTGACTTTTGATCATAATAATTTATTCCCAGATCTGTGAGAACCCCTGAAGAAGTCACTTTGATGCAAAATATAAGAAAGGACATAATACAGTCTTGGAGAAAATTATGAGAAGTAATGGTTCAAAGGTGATCGATCAGTGACTTTTTATGAGCTCGAGGTGATGATTGAACTGAGATCATAATTGTTCCAAGTAGGAATTTTTCGGAACAAATTTAGCAGAAAAATCACTTTAAGAACGCAGTCGAAGTTTCAATTGGAACTCAAATTACTTAAATCGAGGGTTCTATATCCACTGTTTGATGAAATTGCCAACTCTTGCAAAAACTATTCCCAGAACCTGCAAGAACTGCTGCCTCCAACCAGCAATATTGCTTCGGTCAATCCAACCCAGAGTCCTCAGTCTATCAACAACAACGTTGCTGCATCCCCGAGTTCTGCAAAAAACTTTGACCCCAATCGAGCTCCAGTCAACAAAGTGCCTGTAGCTTTTGGAGCTTGCAAATCGCCGACGACAAACTATGAGGTCTGCGGATTGCAATACCTGATGAAATCCCATCTTCCCAGAACCTGCAAGATCTACTGGATCAAACCGAAAAGCTCGCAGTGACTTCAGCTTCCAGAAGTCAGAGCCCAAGTTCTCAGCCTATCTCTAACAAGCCAGCTGTCACACCAATTTCTGCGAAGAACTTGGACCTCTACCAGACTCAATTCACCAAAGCGCCTGCGCCACCAACTTTTTCGAATCCCAAATCTCCGACGACGACCTCTGAGGTAAGGCTTTCTGACTCCACTATCAAGGATAAAAATCAATCATTTTCAGAACAATCAACAGACGCTCAGCACAATTTCGTATTTCTCTCTAGTCAACAAAGACGCCGTACCGCAAAAGAACAATAATTTTCAGGTCTGATCCATTCGAAAGTTCAACTACCTAGACTAACAAGGAATTTCAACTTTCGGTCTTTAAATTCAGGGTTTCCAAGCTCAGAACGCTTCGATGGCTCCTCCAAATGCGGCTCCTTCTAGCGAGGCTCGCTCCGCATTTGTGAGCCCTTTTTATGTTTACAAAATTCGTATTTTTTATTTTTAGCATCTTCTCTTGACACTGTCGCCCGCAAGTCCGTCCCAGACCAGCGACTATAAAAAGAAGGTCTAATTAAAATATTTTCCAGTTTTTTTGAATGAGAAATTCAGGATGTGTCAGCCGCTAATGTTCCTCGGGACACCGCACAAAACCCTTACTTGGTGAGAAGTTCGAGCTATTCTTAGTGTTTCTTCTTTAAAAAATCATATTCTAGATGTCCTTGGCTTTTTTTCAGACACAATACAAGTAGGCAGAAGACGATCACAGCTTTACAAAGGCGTCGATCGACATCCTACTCTTCAAATTTAACCCTTATTCCAAAAATATTCTGTTTTTGAGAAATAAATGCATGCCTTTCACGCTCGACTAGACTGTAATTACTTGAAAAGAGGTCATTGGCGTTTAATTGAAGTATTTTTAAAAATTCCTGTCTTTACTTTTGACATTTTCAAAATTTTAATTTCTTCAACATGAAAATGACAAATTTGGCAAAAATGAGAAAAAAAAGCAAAATTTTTAGGGTAAAATAGCTCACGAGTCATAAATTTGATAGAAGGACAGAGAATCGTCTCAATTTCTCAAATAATTTGAAATATCATCGTCAAAGTGAGCAAACGGAGCTAAATTGAGTTTTGCCGCGTCGAATCGAGAATAGAGAGAGGGAAAGAAAGAGAGTCAGGCAATAGTTATGGAAATTGCTTCGAAAACGCCTGTTTCTGGCGTTTTATACCACAAATAGAATCCCAACTTGACGAGCTCTTTGCTCGAATTGAACCTTTCGAGGCAAATTCCTTGGTTCATCAGATCGATGGTTATGATTGCCCGGAAGATTCTTGAGAATCTGATTAAATTCCCCTCGGCAGCTTTGCTTTTGACTTCTTGAAGGCCCCGCCCGCCGGAAGGATGCACTCCAAATATGGTTATTCACCGACATTCTTCTCTTTATTATCCTCTTCGGGACATTATTACACGGCCCTCGTCTCGTTAGTCCAACTGGCACATTCCATTCTTCCTGTTCTTTAATTCTACACTTTTTTGCTCTTTTTTGGCGACCAACTTACTTTGACCTGGAACCCTCATTTGAAAAGAGGAAAAAAAGAATAACCCAACCCATTGTTTTTGTTTTTTCCTATTATATGTGGCTGCATAACTTCTGGCAAGAGCTCACAACGTGTTTTTACGCTTAACGTTTATTGAGCCCGCCGTTTTTGCTATTATTTTGCTCATCCGGCTTATTGCCTAGCATAAATTAAATTTTTGTCCATTACAGCTTCGCTGAGGTCTTCTTCGAGATCCTCTAGACATTAAAAAAAATCTTCGGCATTAAAAATTTACCAAGATAGGGAGATCATTTTGTAAAGCTTTTGATTGGGATTCCGAGGCAATCTGCACTTTCAAGAAGAAAAAAAATGGATTCTAAATGGAAATGGGAAATTTATTGAATTCTCTTGAAAAATAACATCTTTAGCAAATTGCAAAAGTCATTTTTTTTTCTTTCTTTCCGTGAGAATCAATATCACTCATTTTTATAGATAAGTACATTGGCCGCAAAAGGGTTCCATGGTTAGAAAATTTAGAAAATTCAAACAAAACTTTCTAAAACCGTTCATTTCGAAAAATTAATACGCATCAATGTTTTCAGACTGTTATGAAACATCCTTTTCGAAAGCTACCTAGTATTTAGAGCGGAATTGGAATTTTTGAAACGGGAATGGCGAATTGTAAGAAATTTCCGGAATGTTCGGTGAGAAAAGTACGGTAAACAACCATTTTGTACTTTTTTCTTCACCGCGCTGAATTAAAATTCAGTCTTTTTTGAAAATACAGATATGAATTATCTCGAAGCTCGGTAACGCAAACCGGATGCGCCCCAGAAGTTTCTGAGCATTTCTAGTGAGACCTTTAGCGGCGTTACCATTCTAAAGTGATCCCTAGAACTCTCGAAAACGACCGAAGCGCGTTCGGTTCCCGCTACCTAGGACCAAGTACCACTTTGATCTGAGAAAAGGCTCTATGAGGTCGCAATCATGCTGAACAATTTTTTTAAAAATTTCAAACAAGCCTTCGAAACTAAACTCATGAAAAAATAACCTCGGTTTGGAGAATATTTTCTCCAAGTGGTTTGCAACCTTCAGCTTTCTGAAGAGCACAAATTCCACGTTTACGCAAAAAAGGCTTGGAAGGGGATTAGTTTGTGTTGCCAAGCCATTCTTTCCGAGGCTAGAGTTCTGCCATCTTTCTTCTATCTCTCAGCGTGCTTCCTTCCGTCCGTTTGCAAATGTTTTGAGTTCCCTCTTCAAAACCTTTTCCCTGTACTTAAAGTAAGAAATATATATTCTAGATAAAAAGAGATGCCGCGGAAAGCTTTTGATTTACGTGAACGCCGGCAGCGAAGCGACGCAACTTCTTCACGTCGGTTCGTTTTGATTTTTTTTTACTTTTTGATAACGTTATCTTGAGTGGATCCGCATCGAAAAGGATGAGAATAAATCACGATGTAAAAGAAAAACAGGTCAATGTACAATTTAAAAAAATTCTTTTTTTCGTTTCATTGATGTCTCAAAGAGATCTTCGAAAAACAGTTGAAGAGAGATAAAAAAATTTTTAAAAAAAGTGGTAAGTTCTAACGACAATCTAAAAAAATTTTTCGTTGTTCATCTGGTACCCAAACAAAGAATTTCATCATCATCATCATCATCATTTATTCAATACGAATAATAATACAGTTCAAGGGCCGAAAAAGACCTCTAACAGAACCAATTTTTCAAAAAGGGAAATTTAAACATTGAAAAACAGCAACAAACCGTTTAAAAAGTTAGAAAAATATTTTAAGAAAGTCAGCGAGAAGATGGGGGTTGTTTTTCTAAATAGATTTTTGAATCGCATAGAATCATTACATAAATCAAATACAACATCGACGCTAGAAAGTCAAAATTAACCTTTGAAATCGAATTTCATTATTTTTGGTAATATTTTCATTAAAATGAAACGCAAACTTGTTGACCTATAAACTAAAAAAAAGGCTGTTCACTCCAAGATCTCAATGAAAACTGTCTATGCTCCTTCAAATACCTGAAAAATTTTTTGAACGAACCTCGGCGCCGCTATTTTTTTATTCTTCCTTTTCCATCAAAAAGAGCTCAAAGAGCGCTTCCAAAATTTCTGGAGAACTTGAAAAAATTAGCCTGAGGCTAAGGGAACACGGTTCGGAGCATGCTAGTAAGCTCGTGGCTGGCTTTTGCCCGCAGGCACCAGAATTTTAATCTTCTAAGAACTCACATTCTTGAAATGAATTTAAGTCATTTCTTTCGGTTGGAACTGCTTTTTTTTTCTTGATTGAAGCGTTCCTCTCAGAAGACGTATTTGGAAAAGTTGAATGCTCCTTTCAAGTCTTAAAAATGGGAGTTTTTTTCATATCTCTGTCCAATCAACATTTTCAAAACGTTCACTCAGCCGCCTCATCATCCGTTCAACACACCCATCACTCTACTTTTTTTTATTTCAATGACCACCTCGTCCGCTATGCATCGCTTCGAACCTTCAATTTTCTTCCTTCCTGCAAAAAATGGAGGATCCAGAAACTCTCAAGTTCAACAAACTTTGTGAGACTAGCAATGACTAGGAAAGAGGCGGAGAGATTTATGTTACGGAATGATATATAAATCATTTGTGATAAATGAGAAAAAAGCAAATATTCTTCGGAAATACTAGACTCATGATTGGAACGCCGTACATGACTCTAAACGCCGTACATGACGATAAATCAAAAGAAAGCGAGCAATTGCGGAAAAGCTTTTTATGGTCGTCATGGCCCTAGGTGAACTCATAAATAAACGCGTAAAAGTTTATGGCTCCGACAGCATAACAAGCAGCGCGGCCATCTCGGATTTCGGCGGCTTCCAAGTTTTGCTTTCCTTCTCAATGAAGACACCTTTCGGTTTATTTTTCTTCCAGAACTTCCTAAAAAGGGATCACTTTTTTCTAAAAATTTAACGAATTCATAAGCTCAAAAAGACTTTTGATACTGCTCTTCTAGTTCATTCATCGGTAGCTTAAAAAGGATCTCAATAAGATTAGCAAGATAATGACGGATAAGAAGACGCCGTCTTTTTTTAAAATTATTTTTGTCGTAGCGATGAATGGAGTACATCCTCTGAATATTTGACTCGCTATTTCTCTAAAACTTGGAAGTAATCTATCCTGCAAGTTTCAGAAACTCCGTTCTGTACATTGGAGAAGAGTTAGCCCAAATTTCGAGAAAATCTGAGCATGAATTGAAATTAACTTCCTTGTTAGGGGCTAATTTAAATAAAGTCAAAAATTTTGTTAGCGAGCTCTCAAACTACGCTTTCGTTTCGTAAAACCGCATTCAAGATTCTAGGAGACGTATGCATTGAAAAAAAAGCTCAAAACCGAAAATTGTTTTGACTGGCACGCAGAACTTGTCCGTTGGTAGTTATAATTTGATTTTCCTCGCGGAATACCTTTTTTTTTACTTTTTCTTCTAGATATCTTTGCAGAATAGTTTTCACAAGTGAGCTTGAGATTTATTGTTATTTTAGCTGTAGTAGCTGTACGGTAGCTGAGAGATCCCAGGAGAGACTACCAAAACATCCAAATTACAGTTTAAGGTGATTTATCGAATAAAAATTCAAAGATCAAGCTAGTTGTTTTTTTCTTACTCTTGTACACCTACGCCTAGTTCGAATTTCGGCGCTGAACCGCGAAGGAGCCGTCGCGACTATGACGCCGCGACTTTGACGCCAGGGTGGTTTTTTTCGGCTCACTACACACTGACTGAATATTTCACGCGTTCACGTAGAAGTTTTCTCGAGTAAAGGTTCAGGAGGAGAAGAAGGAGGAGGAGAAAAGAATTCTTCGTGCAACTCCTCAAAAGGCGCCACACATCGGCTCATTCTTCTTCATGGCTTTCCTCACGTTTTCCCTTAACCTCAGATTTACCTGACGGAATAAGCCTCATTTTTCCTGGCACCTCCGAAAAGGAAAATGCCTGGCGCGAACGCGAAAGAAAACAAGAAATCATCGAGTTCTGGCATTGCTGAAAAAAGCCTTCAAAAGTGCTCCACCGCTTTTCGAGGCTCTCGGGAATTGGCCCATGTGTGACAAATCTCGCCGCCCGTGTATTTTCCATATTTTTTCTTCGGCCATTCTTTTGCACTTTTTCGTACTTTCCATAGTGTTGAGTAGTCGTTAAGCTTCATTCAGACATAAAATGCAATCATCGTAATT